GAGAACAAGTGACAGGAGGAAGTTGAATGAATTGCCCATGTCACCCAGCTAGTGGTTACAACTGAATCACTGTCACGTGGGACCCAACCACCTCCATGCTGGCGTGGTATTTTCTGTGTGTGTGGATGGGCTGGATTTCCTTGAGCCATAGGCTACGTCTCTGCAATGTTTGCAGAACCCAACTATACACACAAAACTCCTAGGCACAGGGGGAGGGCAGCTTTGATGGTCAGTGACCAGGGCGTTAGGAAAGTCAAGTATTGTAGACCACCTGCAAACTGCAAACCGTCCCATGCCTGACAAACCTAAGGGAAGAAGCTGAAAAGAAGTTCACCCTGCTTCTGTGTGACCCTACAGGTCGAACTCATAGCAGATACCTGGCTAGAAATAGAGACCCTGGACGTGGTACGCTAGTGCTTTTCTACACAACGCTGTGCTATGCTGTGGCTCCCCAAATGCGGAAGTGAATGCAGATTCTCCACCAAGAGCAAACTTCCCACTTTCCCTCCTGGCTGGTGGGTGCTAAAATATGAATTTTTTTTTTTTGGCAGTACTGGGGTTTGAACTCAGGGCCTCACACTTGCTAAGCCGGTACTCTACCATTTGAGCCACTCCCAAGACATTTTTGCTTTAGTTATTTTTCAGGTAGGGTCATGCATCTTTGTAACACTCTTTCCTATGCCTTCTGCATAGCTGGGATGACAGGCATACACCACCACGCCTGGCTTATTAATTGAGTTGAGGTTTCAACTAACTTTTTTTGCCTAGGGTAGCCTCAAAGTGTGATCCTCCTGATCTCTGTCTCCTGAATAGCTATTAATTATAGGCTTGAACCACCATGCCTGGACTTTTTTTTTTTCTTTCTAGGAATTGAACCCAGGGTCTTGTGTATGCTAGGCAGGTGCTCTACCACTTGAGCCATGTCCCCAAACCTTTTTTGCTTTAGTTATTTTTCAGGTAAGGTCTCCTATTTGTGCCTTGGGCCAGCTTCAGACTTCAATCTTCCTACCTACACCTCCTGTATAGCAGGGATGACAGCATGTACTCCCACATCCAGCTATTGGTTGAGATGGGGTATCACTAACTCTTTGCCTCGGCTGGTCTTGAACCTTGATCCTCTCAATCTCTATGTCCTGAGTAGCTGGAATAATAGGCATTAGCCAGCTGGTCTAGACTTTTCCTTTCTTTTTTCCTTTTTCTGGTGGGGGGACTGAACCCAAGGTCTCATGCAAGTTAGGCAAGTGCTCTACCACTGAGCTACTCCCCTGGTCAAAACAGGTCAAAAAATGGCTTGATTTGTTGCCCTTAACGCAGAGAAACTACAGCAGATACCTTAAAAGCTCCTGAGGCCAATAGGAAAAGGGGAACAGGAACTACAGAAAAGGTTAGATCAAAAAGAATTAACCTAGAAGGTAACACACACACACAGGAAATCAATGTGAGTCAATGCCCTGTATAGCTATCCTTATCTCAACCAGCAAAAACCCTTGTTCCTTCCTATTATTGCTGATATTCTCTCTACAACAAAATTAGAAATAAGGGCAAAATAGTTTCTGCTGGGTATTGAGGGGGTGGGGGGGAGAGGGAGGGGGCAGGGGGGAGAAATGAACCAAGCCTTGTATGCACATATGAATAATAAAAGGTAAAAAAAAAAAAATGGCTTGGGTAGCCCTGCCTTTGCCTGGAAGTCAGGCAATTATCTTTGGGCTGTTCCTGCCTTACTCAATTCTATGCGCAGAAGCAGATCAAGAGTTAAAACGGGTGGAGGGTTGAGGCCCTGACATTTCTAAATTGAGCCAGCAGAATTAGAGGCTTGGTCAGCTCCTTTCAAGCAGGGAGTCACTGAGTGGTGAGGGACCTGGGTCACAGCAAGAGATGGGAGCCATCTTTTTTCCCACTGTAGATGAGGTCAGAGTGAGCCCCTGAATTTGGAGGGGCCTACCAGGGCCAGGAGCGGGGGTGGGAGCTGGCAGCCTGGGACATTCTGGTGCTATGAGTCACCTAGAACACAAAGAACGTTATGATTTGCAGGAGGTTATCAATAGCTCCGGGCACCAATTCTTCTAGTTTATACAGATACACATCTTAATTATTAATGGTTAAGATGGAAAACAACTTAGGAAATTCAAAGGGACTGTTTCCTGGGCTCCCGTCAACACAAAAGGGGTCTGTTGTTTTGCAAGCTGCAGCTGGCTCAGCCTGTTCCAGGGTCATTTCTGTTCCCTGCCTTCCTAGATCACTGCAGAGACACACCTGGGAGTGTGAGTGGCTCATCCTGGACCACAGTGGCTTCTCTGAAATGCACTTTTGAGAAAGGCCTCATTAACTGAATGTCTGGGGGTAACTAAAAAATGGTGATTGCATAGCTGCTGAGTATTTTATACATCATACCCAAGAACAGCCCATCCTCGGGCCAGAGAAACCAGTGCCAGGCCCAGGGTGAGAGGCTCCCTGAGCGTGAGGAATTGAAGGCTGATTCTTGTGCATTGTGGGTAGGTGAGGACTCGGGTCAGTGTGCACTGTATATGTGACGGATTACTCAGTCAGATCATAAGTGTTAAGTTCCCACTAACTGCTACAGATAAAATTAATACATGCATTATTAAATTATGAAACACACACATGAGATTACCGTGCTGATGGGAACGAGATGAGCTTAGCCCTTCAAAATGACCTTTTGACAACATGATGGTATTAGTGGGACCGTCTGAGGGGACTGAGGGAGGCAGGAGAGGGAAAGAGAATGGTAGAGTGAATACTACTGAACCCATGGCATCTGTGTGTGAAGATGAGGTGACACAGTGCACGCTAAGCTGCTGAACAACAGGGGAGCGGGGCGGTAGAGAAAGAGTAGGTCATGGAGCGGGGATAACCTGATTAAAGCACGATATACACATGTCTGAAATACTAGGCGAATCCCCTTGGACTATCAATATACGCTTTTATAAAATGAAGGACAGAAGGGAAAATAGGCCTTTTCTGGAGTGGATACCAGTGGAAGTGGAGAGGGCACAAGGAAAGGGCAAATGAGGGTGAATATGGTGGATGTGTTTTGTATTCATATTTGAAAATAGAAGAGTGAAACCTGCTGAAGTTGTTCTAAGACATGGAGGGGGAGGAGGGAGAAGGATGGAGGGGGTGAATCTAACTAAGATACATTGTAAGCACATGTGTAAATATCACCATGTATCCCCTGAACAAATACTCTAAGCTAATAATTTTTTTTTTTTTTTTTTTTTTTACAAAAAACTTCTTTTGGGGACTAACATGCAAGACCTTGGGTTTGATCCCCAGCGTGGGAATAAACAAAACTGCCTTTGTGACACTTTCAAGGCATCAATTTTTTCTTTTTCTTAACTTCAATGGGAGTTCTGATCTTATACCATAATGACATATGTGTATATATACACATATATACACATAATGACATATGTGTATATATCCTGTATGACATATATAGATCATTTCATATATAGATAGATTTTATATATATTTATCTATATATCATGGCAATATCGTATTGACTTTTAACTTGAAATTTTCTTGACTTTTGGAGAGAGGGTCTCACGATGCAGCCCAGATGGCCTGAAACTCACAATACTCCTGCCTCAGCTCTCCCAAGTGCTGGGATTAAAGGGCTGTGCCACCATATCTGGCTTACCTTGAGATATATGTTTACTTTTTAAAAATCATTTTCTTTTTTTATTAAGGGTATGTTTTTGAAATCAGTAATGGATATAGAATTGTACTGAATGCAGCTGTAGAGAAAATCACATGTTTAGTTTCCTCCTGTTTGGGGTGAAAATTATGAAACTATTTTTCTGTTCTTAATTTTTTGGGAGGCAGTACTAGGGTTTGAACTCAGGGCCTCACACTTACTAGGCAGGCGCTCTACCACTTGAGCCAAATCCCCAAACCTTCCTGCTCTTTTAGTTATTTTTCAGATAAGGTCTCTCATTTTTGCCTGGAGCCAGGCTTAGATAACAATCCTTCTATCCATGCCACCTGTATAGCTGGGATTACAGATATGTACCACCATGCCCAGCCTCTATTCTTGATTTAAAACTCATTCCGCCATGGGATATTATTGTTTGAATCTGCTGGTAGATTTGGGGGTGGTGGTGCTGGATATCAGTCATACTATCTCAGTATTTTTAAAGTCCAACAACTAACTCTATTAGGATTTGCTTTTAGTTTTAGTAGACTTGAACTTTTATTTCATATAAAAATATGAAATATGTCCTCTGGTCATCTTTGCATTCACTCCCACAGCACTTCTGTGTGGATGTGACAGTGATTTGCTGCCTCTGTTCTTTGTTTTGGGACAGAGATCTTCTCCTGGTTGATCCACTAGCATCAGGGACAGGCTGGGGCAGTGGCCCATAGCAGGCAGTTCAGGTCTCCTCTGCTTCAGGGGGACCTCAGTGCCACCTGGTCATGTGAACTTGATGGCTCTGGGCTGGCAAAGCATCTCTCTAGGTCTCAATGACTTTGCTACTGGAATGTCCTTAGCATTGGAGCTCAGAGATCTTTCTTTTTTATCATGTGACCTAGCATGGGAAGTGGCATTTGTGTTGACGTTAGCTGGCAAGTGGTGCAGTTGTAGGCCTGGGAGCCATGAGTGGTTCCTCCTCCAGGTCACAGTGATGACCACCTCCTCATGCAGAAGCTTCTCTGCTCTCCTGTCAGTCCTCTGTCCCCAGATCTCCATGCTGCTAGGGTTCAGGGAGACTCTTTCAACTCTTTTTGTGTTTATGGTTGGGACCTCCAGATGGGCTGTCCAATTTGGAGCATTCTTGAATGAGGCAGCCCGCTTTCCCCTCTGGTCCTCGGTGACCTTTGTTGGCATTACTGGTTGCATTCTGGGTCACAGATATTCCTCAGGTTCTGGGAGGATTGACTTTCTGCTTCTGTTTTTTTTTTTTTTTTCTAGTCTTTGTTGATTCCAGTTGTAATCAGCACTGAATGTTTTAAATTAAGCAATTTCTCAGCACTTACCACTAAAAATATTCTTACAGAATATTCATACAAATGGACCTATGACTTAGAACAGCAACTATTTCAAACCAATTCTAAGAGTAGAAAAATATGTATTTTCTATGAAGAAAAGTGACAAAATTGATCTCATATAGAATTACCCCAGTAGCTTAGTATCCTGTCATGCTAAGAAGGGCTCCCTTCTGCCCTTGCTGCCACCGTCCTCCTGGATTGCTTTTCTAGAATGGGTAGCTCTAGGCTGTCATACAAACCATTGATCTTTATCAGAAGTTCATCTAACAGGCTGGAGAATTCATCGAGGTAGTAATTCTGAAAGGAATAAAGTTAGATGAGTCAATACATTCAAGAACTTAACTTTTCTTCTTTCCTCATTATCCAAAGCATTGGGGTATCAACTGCAGAAGGATTCTGCTGTATCAGAAAATGTGCCAGACCCTGGGATCAGAAGAGTGGGTGCTACCTACACCTGTGTCTGTCTCAGTTCTTTCATTTATAATGTGTTCACACCACCACACACATAACTGCTATAATTAGGAATACCTACGAAATGAACGACTGAAAGGATGAGGCAATACTGGTGAGGAGGCACACAGCAGGCAGTAAGGCCCTACACAAGCCCACAAAACCATAATTCCATGTAGCAGGCTTAGAACTGACTGATGGGTGAATGTCAGCCTGGAAGACAGGCTGCTAATCCACGTGCAATCCCTAGCTTGACTTGTCTGCATTCAAGGCACTTGACTATTCCATATGTAAACACTTGGCTTGACTTCTCTGCATTCATGTCTGGGGGTGACCAAACTCAAATAAAGCACCTAGGGTTTTCATGTTTTCGTAGAAATTTGGGTCTGGTAGCAGGTACCAAAGGCAACTGTACTCTCAATCTCTCTCTCTGCTTCCCTCTCTCTTTCTCTCCCTCCTTCTCTCCCTATCTGTCTCCATCCCTCTCTCCTTTCTTCTCTCTCCCTCCCTCTCTCCCTCTCTCTTCCTCCTTCTCCTTCTCCCTCCCTCCTTTTCTCTTTCCCTCTCACTCTCCTCCTCCCTCCCTTTCTTCCTCCTTCTCCCTCTCTCTCTCTCTCTCTCCCCCTTTCTCCTTCCTTTTTCCCTTCCCCCCGTCTCTTTTCTCTCTCTCTGCTCTCATGTGTGAGTTCTCTGGGGAAGACCAGAAAGACTCCATCTTTCCAACTGCACAGGGTAATTATAAGCTTGCTGCACATTAATGGAGGAGCATGCATTTGGTAACCTGTGAAGTACTTTACATTTTCAAGAGAAGGTTCGATGAGCTACACTATGGTTGAGAATTGAATTCGAGTCTTTGCAAGGATGTATGGCACAGAAGTACAGTTGTGTTTTGATAACAGAAGTGTCTGCAGTGGAGCCCTCATCGCGAGTGTGTCACCGCCCTCCCTACTCCCAGATCCCACAGCTCACATGGTCCACAGCCACCTCAGCCTCTTCCAAGTTCGCTGAGTCCAGCCCCGCTAAGGTGAGGACTTTCCCCCACACATAAGCAGCGACATCTTTAAGTGTTACAAGAGATTTACTCTGAACGGATTTTCTTTTTCGGAAAAAAGTCACGAGAGAGGCACTCAGCTGGAGAAGAAAATAAAATGGACAAACTCTGTGTTAGCAAACTCAAAATGGCTTTGTTGATTTAATAGGCTATGAAACAGAGATGATATCTGATGATGCTATTTTATGAATTTTGAGTAAACTGCTCAGTAAAAGAGGAAGAGCCCTCTCAGGAGCTGAACTACAGGACAGTGTGCTGACATCAGCACTGGAAAGTAACCTTATCACAGAGGGTATTTTCACATCTAACGGGTTGTGCATTTCCATACATGGTATCTGCACCTCAGCATCAGCGCCCCCTGGTGAGCCACCTCGGGTTGTGCATGAGTTCTTGCTGGAGACATGGGATGCATCCTACTAAATGAGCCAATCACTGCAGCTGAGAACGGTTAGCTCAAAAGCCTGCTGGCACCAATCTTTTTACATCTAGTTATTCTAAAAAAAAAAAACAGCCCAATTTTTAGCCATTTACAACTTGCCTGCTTCAGTACTCCCTTCAAAGGCTCACAGGATAGCTGTCACCCATTGAGAAGGACCACACACTGCTGCCCTAGGTGCCTCTCCTCCCTGTTGCCAAGCAACCCCTCCAGTCCCTCTTGCCTGAGACTTTCCCTTGTCCTCTCCCCTCCTGGACTTTCCTTGTCCCATTTGGCCACAAGCCTCCAGGTGTTCTCATGTCCACCATGTGGGAACCTGTCCAAATGCCATCAGATAAAACTTGTGTGGTGTCATGTCTCTCATACCGTATCTTTATCTGAGATCAGCTCCTGAATCCCTGCAACTCCTGGCAGTGTGTCACATTGTGCAGAGACATGCATAAGTCTGAGAGGACATCCACACAGCTGTGTGCATGTCTGAGGCCTCCTGGCTGTTCCAGCAAAACAGCCACATGTGACAGCGAGGCTGACTCTTGCACCTCAAGACCTCAATGCATTATTGCTCCATGTTTTCCATCAACAAAGACCCCTCGTGTTAGCACAGCATTCCTGTTCCAGCTATCCTGTCCAGTGTCACATCTGCTCTGCCCAGAACCCTGGCATGCCCCTCCCCTATGCTCTTGTGTGTGTCCTGTCTAAAATGACACTCATCGCTCAAGTCAAAAACCTCTCCTGGTGTTGTGCAGACTCCCTGGTCTTTTCAAGGACAGATGAGTCTCTGATCTAAGTTCCTTGCCCTCTTAGGAAACTTCTTGTTAGACTTTTTTTTCTGTATGCAGAAAATTATAAAATACAATGAGAGAATTCAAAGATTGAAATAAGTGGAGAGGCATACAGAATTCTAGGGTTGAAAAACTTAATATTACTGACTTTGATTTCCCCAGGTTTGATTTATATATTCTCAACAATCTCAGTGCAAATCCCAGCTTGTCTTTTTGGGGTAGGTGTTGATAAGGTGATTCTGATACTATGTGAAAAGTAAGACAACTAGAACAGCCAAGGCTAAAAGGAAAAAGGTTGGTGGCTCACCTATGCTCTCTCAAGACTATACCTATAGCAAGACTATGTCTATACCTTGCAAGACTATACCTGTAGCAACCAGCACCCTGTGGCGTTGTTGAAAGGGAACATCAGTGGAGCGGAAATGTGAGAACATAGGTACATGTGGTCACCATTTTCCAACAGAGGAAAAATCACATCAATGAAGAAAGGATACTTTTTAAAAAAATTGTGCTGAAAAAGCGAGAGCACACAAGGGAGGGGTGAGGATAGGTAAGACACCTAAAAAACTAGCTAGCATTTGTTGCCCTTAATGCAGAGAAACTAAAGCAGATACCTTAAAGCAACTGAGGCCAATAGGAAAAGGGGAACAGGTACTAGAGAAAAGGTTAGATCAAAAAGAATTAACCTAGAAGGTAACACACATGCACAGGAAATCAATGTGAGTCAATGCCCTGTATAGCTATCCTTATCTCAACCAGCAAAAACCCTTGTTCCTTCCTATTATTGCTTATACTCTCTCTACAACAAAATTAGAAATAAGGGCAAAATAGTTTCTGCTGGGTACTGAGGGGGGGGAGGGGGAGGGGCGGAGTGGGTGGTAAGGGAGGGGGTGGGGGCAGGGGGGAGAAATGAACCAAGCCTTGTATGCACATATGAATAATAAAAGAAAAATGAAAAAAAATTGTGCTGAATAACTGGATATCTGTCTATTAAAAACATGGGCTCTGATCCATAGTCATGTCCTATACTGAAATTAACTCAAAATGAGCCATCAACTTACATGTAAAAGGTAACACTGAAAATTCTTGAAAAAAACAAAGCATAAAAATATGTGTGACTCCAGGTTTGGTGATTAGTTTTTAGAGATGACACCAAAAGCATAATCCACACAAAAAAAATAGACTTTATCAAAATTAACTTCTCAGGGCTGATAGAGTGGCTTAAGTGGTAGAGCACGTGCCCAGAAAGTGTGAGGCCCTGAGTTCAAACTCCAGTGACACCAAAATAAAAAAATTAACTTCTGCTCTTATGCTGTTAAGGTAATGAAAGGACAAGCTGCAGGCTGAGAGAAAATAGCATCAAGTCACACACCTAATGAAGGAATTCTACTTAAAAAATATAAATTGCTATAAAGACAAGTTCATGTCTTCCCCTATGGACTGTGAGCTCCAGTGGCAGGAAGGTTATAGTATTATGTTTGGTTCACCATTGCCTGACTAGGATAAACATTTTTAAAGTCACTGTTGAACAAGTGCATAAAAGAACAAATGAGAATGCATGGATGGATGGATAAGTAACAATAAGTAGTTGGGTGGGAGGGAAGGTGGATGGGTTAATGTATGCATGTGTGTATGTATGTATGGATTAGTGGATGGATAGATGGATGGATGGATGGTTTAGTGGATGGATGGGTGGAGAAAGAGAGAAGGTTGCATGGGTGAGTGGATAGATGGATGGATGGCTTAGTGGATGGATGGATGAAAGGATGGGTGGAGAGTTGATGGATGGAGAGAGAAAATTGCATGGATGAGTGGATTAGATAGATGGATGAATGGATATATGGATGGATGGAGAGTAGATGGATGGAGAGTGGATGGATGGATGGATGGATGGATAAAGAGTAGATGAATGAATGAATGGGTTAGTAGACGGATGGATGGATAGAGAGAGTGAGAGAAAGTTGCATGGGTGGGTGGATGGGTTAGTGAGCGGATGGATGGATGGATGGATAGATAGAGAGAGGGAAAGTTGCATGGGTAGGTGGATGGGTTACTGAATGGATAGATAGATGATGAATGGATGAATGCTGAACCATGAATGGGGGTTAGAGGTGTTAAAAAGCAAAGGCTGTCCACCCGAGTGCTTCAGGTGTGAGTACATGTGTCTCTTCTAGCTTCACTATGTACTAGATGAGAGTGCTGGTGGAATTTGAAAGACTGCAAAGCATCTTAACTCACAAAGTCTGACTATAAATTCATTTCACTTGTATTGGGCTCTACAGTGTATCAAGAACTACCCTGGGAAGATAGGGTATTTTGATGTATCTGCTCTGAATGTGACCAGAGTTCAAAGGGAGTCAGGAAATGATCTGCCAGGGCAATGGTGCAGGCAGGAGGCCTGCCCAGGGCATCTGGGAATCAAGGTGATGACCTGCTGCCCTGGGTCTGTGTGTGATGCCTGGGCAAGGTCCATGTTGCTGGGGTTTGAACTTGGAATCTCACACTTGCTAGTGAGATACCCTAGTGGTAGGTACCCTACCACTTGAGCCACTCTGTTAGGCCTGGAAGGTCCATGTTGAATGCAGTCTTCTGAGAATGGACAGGACTTAACACTGAACAAGATGCAGGGGAGGGAGCCAGCAGAAGGCCCACATGGCGGAGGGAGCAGGGAACAGCTGTGACACACAGAGCAGGGGCTTTCAACTCTGTGTCCAATATAGGAACATGTATAGGGCTTTCTCACAACAGAGGTGCTAGGTCCAGCCCTTGAGTTGTGGACACAGCAGCCTGGGATGGCCCCTGAGAAGGAGTTGAGTACTGGAGGTCGTGTGGAGGGTAAGTGATGGGTGGCAAGACTGAGGTAACAAGGAAGAGACCGCTGCAGCAGACCAACATCAAGTTCTAACTGAGAAGAGACGTGGTTCAGCAGGTGAGAGGCCAGGAAGACTTTCTGGAGGAGGCAGCATTCTGGGGTGGCTATTGTCTGGCTCAATTGTTCTAGACACTAGTCAAGCCGACTGTTTCTAACTTCTGCCCAGTGCAGATCAGATGGGTCTTGGGGAGGTCCATTCCCATGAGACTTGGCCTGAGCAGCTGGGAATGATCCATCCATATGGACAGAGAGCACTTCACCCCAACAGTAGACGAAACTTTCAAAAACCATGACTTTGATGTCTACATACCATCCTGAAAGACAATGTGGTCATCAGCAGAAGGAAGACCATGCAGTAACAAGCCATCACTTGCTGGTCAGACTTGGAGAGGCTGTAGATTGAGTCTTTTTGGCTTCTTCCCAGAAAATGAAACCGCCAGGGGAAGGACTCTGTGGAGGTGCCAGGTGGCAGTGCCCAGGTGAACAGCAGAAACTGGAGCAGGTGAGAGTGGGCAGCCAGAAGCAGAACCCCCATGAGCTGCAGGGAGAAAGCCCATAACTGGATCTTGTCACTGGTTCTTAGGGTGAAAAACTCCTTTGGGTCTTATAAATGCTTTCAAATAGTGAAAAGCTTGGAGAAGGAGGGTTTGAGTGAGGCTTACACCCTCCCTGTTTAAGAACTAATTCCCAAAGGGACAGTGTCTATGCCCACTGACCTTTCAAATTACACTCACACTGCAAACTGGACTATGCCACCCCTCCATTTCAAGGGCTCTTACTGCCCTGTGCCACTGTCCTCCCTCAGCTTGGGAGGTCCCCTGATGGCCAGGCCACAGTCCACACACACAGCCTGTGTGGACCTGTGATGAATGACCAACTGTAACATCTCCCTTCTTATCTGCCTTTGACATTGGTGGCCTGCCTCTCTGGCCCTCAGCCCTGGACTGCTTGCTCACAAAGCTGGACTCTCCCGAAGGAGGCCACTGTGAAGGTGACTCTTTCACCTTTCTGTCCCCGCACCCAGCAAGGGCGGGGAAACAGACCATTTAAGAAACAACATGAAAGCCTTTTGTAAGGCAGATTGGCTCTGGTGAAGCTCACAGTCCCAGCTGTCACAGACGGGACCTTGGCCTAGGGTCTTCAGGGTTGTGTCACCTGGTTTGTTTCTCTCCCTGTTCTCTGAAACCATCTCTGCTGCTCACAAATACTTTCTTAGACTCCCGTGGACCATCAGTCAGTCATCCACCCACAGGTCCACACAGGCCCTGTACTCAAAGACTTTCCTGTTCCCCTTGGAACTCATTTTGTTGTCATTTGCACTGTAAGTGTAGTCACACAACCTCAGTAGGACTCAGGCGAAAGAAAATTCAAGTCCATTTGAGCACATGATAAAAGCAAGAGCACACAAGGGAGGGGTGAGGATAGGTAAGACACCTAAAAAACTAGCTAGCATTTGTTGCCCTTAATGCAGAGAAACTAAAGCAGATACCTTGAAAGCAACTGAGGCCAATAGGAGAAGGGACCAGGAACTACAGAAAAGGTTAGATCAAGAAGAATTAACCTGGAAGGTAACACACACGCACAGGAAATTAATGTGAGTCAACTCCCTGTATCGCTATCCTTATCTCAACCAGCAAAAACACTTGTTCCTTCCTATTATTGCTTATAATCTCTCTTCAACAAAATTAGAGATAAGGGCAAAATAGTTTCTGCTGGGTATTGAGGGGGTGGGGGGGAGAAATGACCCAAGCCTTGTATGCACATATGAATAATAAAAACAATAAAAAAAAATAAAATTCAAGTCCACATCTCTGCAAACCCAGCTGAGTGCGCCTACACACTTCTGAGCTCTATGACCCATACTTTCTGCACAGTTTGAATTCTGCTACTTAATTTGGATAACATTTCTTTATATCCTGGACCTTTTGTTTTCTTTGCACAAAAACATTTTTGTTTATTGCTAGATGGTGTTAACGATGACCAGCTTAATTTCTGGATAAATTCCACATACGTATAATTTCAGAGGTTAGCAACTGCCCTCCCGGGCACACACCATCAATGCACTTCCTGCACGTGAAGGTTTGATAATTAGTTCATGGTCACAACAGCGACCTAGTGAGGTGGCAGCTATGTCTGACTTCTAGGTCTGCTCAGGGGTGCTGACCTGTCTCTCTATGCACAAAGTCAGCAGGGTTTGGAGACTGTGTTTCTTGAAGCAGGAGACCTGTGCTTAGCAGCCTGTGTGCTTTTGTGAGCCTGGAACCTGACAGCTAGATCTCCCTCACTCTGGTCACCTGGATATGTGGCATCCTCAGTCCTGACCACAATTCTGTGCCACAGAAGAGGTGGCTGGAGCCTCTTCTGTTGTCAGGTGGAGCAAGTTCTTTCCTGCCATGACTAAGAGTCACCAGCACCCAAGAACTTCATCAGGACACCTACTGTACTCTGTACCTGCCAATTTGGGGTTTCAGCCTCCAGCCCAGACTACAGGGCCAACCCTGGACAGAGACCTATGCCATTCTGCACTCTCAAGAATGCAGGCCAACAGCTAAGTACCATGTATCTGTTTTTCTTTTCTTTCTCCTGATTTTTTTTCCTTCTGTGTTTCTCTGATGCTGTATGATTCTACTTGTGAGGTACATAATACAAAAATGAGTTCTGGTGTGATTAGTAGAGAAGTCTGAGAACTGGGCCAGGTGACAAGTGAGTGTGGAAGCAGCTCGAGGCCATGCTGCCTGAGTACCTCAAAGTGATAGCCTCGTCTCTTCTCTTGGTCCCTTGCTCCTGCCTCTGTAAAAATAGCCACACCTGCCCATGGCCTGTTGCTACCATTAAGTGAGGTGATAGCACTCAGAGAAATCTCACTAGGTGTTAATAACTACTTATAGTAGTAATAAAAATAACATTCTGTGGGAAAGTCTCATATAAAAGTGTTTACTACATCATGGTTTTTGTTGTTACAACCATAATTTATTGTAGAAGCACTAAAATGAGTTACATAAAACCACACTGGTATGGATTAGGTAACTAGAATTCTGGGTGATGTTTCTTTCACCTTGAGAGCAGTTGACTTTTCCCCAATTAATGGCAGTAGACTGACGGTACTGGTAGACCAGGAAGACCCCTGGATTAAGGAGAAAATTCTTACCGCTGGTACAAAGCCTCTGGAGAGAAAGAGACGTGTCACAGAAGAGCAGGGTGCCATTTTGTTTAGAAGGCAAAGAACATGAACACATTTCAGCATCCAAAGGAAGGAGAGGAGTCCCCGGAGCCACCTCGCCCTCTGAGACAGAAGAACATAGCAGGTCAGCATGTCAGGTCATGTCAATGATGAGAAGGTCACAGACACACACTGTGGATCCTGTGTCAAGTAGTCATTGATTGATGAAATTTATACAGACCATGGATCTCCCAGTGACGCCAAGTGCCATTGTCTGCAGAGGGGAATAAATCCATTTGTAGGATGGGTGGGATACCAGTGCCTGTTTCCCTGGATGGTACATAGGCGTCCAGCCTTGTGATAAAGACAACAAGCAAGTTTGTACCTCATAGATCTTAGCAGATGCTAAGTGTCTGCAAGAATGGTCCAGGGGTGGCCGTGGCTGACCTAGTCTTTCCTCTTTTTCTTTGTGCATTTCTCAGAGTAACTGTAGAATGCACTGAGAGAATAACACTGAGTGAAGGAGGAATCGGAATAGCTTGAGCTCTTGCTTCTGTCTCTCCTAAAACAGCATGCTTTACAACACATTAGTCCAGCATATCACATGGCCCTTAGCGTATAAAATCTAGGGAGGCTGCTTTCTGGGGCACCTCAGCTGTGTGGCGCAAGGTGGGACATAGACAGATGAGACTAAAGCTGCTTGGGCAGCTTTTCTGAGCCTCGGGATGCCAGTTCACCATGAACCATGGGCTTTGGTTGCCAATTGCTGTCTGTCCGTCCTTTATAAAGTTGCTCTGCCCCTGTTGTCTCATCAGGCCCATGCACACTGTAGACGTTGCAGCCTGAGAGGTAGAAGCATCTGGACTCCTCTTCTTGGTGGGCACAGGGCTGACGCACGCTATTTTCCACTGTCTCCCAGGATCCTAGGATTGGTCACACTCACTCTGAACCCACTTCCCAGTGCCATGGGGGAAGGACAGGAAGTGCAGGATGGATGCTCAAGAAAGGAATGACTTTAATAAAGACTTGAGGATTGAACTGTATGGATGTCTCCCAGCTTCATGCACAGCTTCAGGACCCATGAGTCCCCACTGAGCTCAAGACTAATGAATGGGAAGTGTGGTTTCTGGGCTCCCCTGGGCAGGGCTGTCTCCCACACACTCACAAGGCCATAGTTCTAGTAGTAATTGCAAAAGGAAGACCATTTGTGTTCCTTTCCTTCCAGGGGAAACATGAATCTTCCCCTGCTTGCGCTCCTTCAGAGCACATTTTATTTCCTGGGTCAAGTGGTTTCTGGTGTTTGCAACAAAATGACCTCTGGCAAGTAGACAGGGACTACAGAAACAAGATCTGGTCAGGAAACAAGTGCTCACAGTTTGGAGAGGAGGACTGCCAGCCTTGTGCCACACAAGGATCACAGGAGGACAGAATCCCCTTAGGAAAGAAGAGACTGCCTGGAATAGCCTGAGGCATTGGAGAGGGCAGAGGTGGAGGAGAGGAGCTGAGGCTGGAAGGGAATAGGACCCCTTCTCCAATTGTTCTGGGGGCATCCTACCCCAGGGATGTGAAGTCACCTAGACTACGGGGTGGCCTCCTGACTGCCCTCAAGGTAGGTGGAAAGTGAGGCTAGGGAGGCCTGTGGTAGGGGAGAGGTTAGCTGTGTGTGCAGCAGGGCAAGGGAGAAGTGTAGCAGAATCCACACACTCACTTGGCATGAGGTGGGCAGGCTGTGATGGTTCCCTACCCCCGACCCCATGAGGCTTGCCTAAATCCATCCTGCACACATATACCTGCTTCTTCTGGTAGGAGGCCCTATTCTGTAGATGGGAACCCAGGGGAATGGAGGTATAAGGCTTGGAGGCCAGATTTCTCCCCAGCAGGGGATCCAGGTCTTTCCCTTTCACTTGTAAAGATCACCTGTGGCTAGGACTGTCACCAGAAGAAGGGAGACTTCCAGGCACGTCACAGTGCATCAATGCCTGCTTCCTCTTGCCACCGTGGGTACTGTGGAGGCTCAGGCTCTCAAGTCCTGCCCCATGCGGGATCCACGGGTGCCCAGCTTCACACCAGGCCGTCAGTTCCCCAAGCTATTAGCTATTCTGACCACCACCCTCTGCAAGCCCAGAGCACTAGCCCTGAACATGGCACAAATCCACCATCTGTACATTCTGAACCTGGGCGATGTCTGTCTTGGACAGCATCAGTCATGGTGGCTCTGAGCCTTCCCCCATACCTGATTCCACAGTGCCATCACACTGAGGTCCACAAACACCAGACCAAGTCCTTGGCGGAACTGATCAGCGACATCCCCAGCAAGGGTAGCGAGGTAGCCAGAGGCTGTGTAGTAGGCAAGGGCCACTCCAACCACTGAGAGCTGCAACCACAGGTAGCTGTGAGGAAGGGCCCTTCTGGTAACCACTGATACTCAGTCATAAATTGACTGCAAAAACGCTAACTAGACACATAAAAAACTACCACAGTGGCTCCACCTCACAAAGAAAATATTTGAAGGAGGCTACCTCCAGCCAGGTTCTTGGGCTTCGCCAGTAGCTGAGGATGCCTTTTTCAACCATTCTGCTGAGTTGAAAACAGAGGTGGGTCAGGTTGAGCACCAGGAAGACCAGCTGTCAGGGAGAAAAGAAACAAGAAAGGCAGCTAAAAATTAAGATACATTGTTCTTTCAAGATCTGAACTTCTGGCTGGCTTCCCTGGTGTTCACTTTCTTGATCTATAGCATTTGATAATAACCTTGCCTTCAATAGGCACTTCAAAGGCTCACAGAAACCCAACAATGGGCTCAACAGAGATTGGAAGAGGGGATATGGATGTCCAGAGCTACCATGGGCCACCTGATCTCCATGCAAGCCCTTTCTTAGCTCCACTCAGGGCAATAAGTCTTCACACACACATGAGACACCTGAAATATGAAACCATTGTAAACTTTCTCTCTCTTCTATCTTTCTATCTTCTGTCTACGTATCATCTCTCTATCTATCCTTTATCTGTCATCTATGTATTTATCTATCATCTATATTATCTGTCTGTCTATGTATGTATGTATGTATGCATCTATCTATCTATCTATCTATCTATCTATCTATCTATCTATCTATCTATCTCAGTTTCCTTGGCCAAGGAAAGTCTTCCAAAGATCTTGTATGATAGAGTTCTTTCTAAGTAGTGTTCCCACTATTATGTGTTGCCTCACAGCCCCTGTATTCACGCACCAATCCAGACTCTTTATTCACTCATCAGTGACTGTCTGCAACCCCCTCTCTGTCCTCTTTTGGAGCTGTACGGACTGTGTCCCATGGGCTGCTCTAAGATGCTAAAAACACAGTCAGAGCCAAGTTCACTTTGAGGTTAAGGGAAGGTGTTAGGAACAGTGGTTCTATGCTGTCCTGAAGGTCAAGGCTGAGGAAAAGTCTAAACTTGTAAAATTTTGTCCATCATGGTGTTTTTGCATAGATTCTGGTACTTTAAAATATCGCACCAGCCTGATGCTGGTGGCTTATGCCTGCAATCCTAGCTACTCAGGAGTCAAAGATCAGGAGGCTTGCAGTTCAAAGCCAGCCCAAGGCAAATAGTTTGTGAGACCCTAGGTCTAGAAATCCCATCACAAAAAAAAAGGCTGGTGGAGTGGCTCAAGGTGTAAGGCTTGAATTCAAACCCTAGTCCCATGGGAAAACAAAAACAAAAACAAAAACAAACAATGATCTCACTAGAGTACAAATCACTTTGATTACTGATTTTTTTTTTTTTGGTGTCAGAGGCAAGTGTCCCTCCACCCCATCCCAAGAGAGCCCAGACTCTGCCCAGTAGTCCTCCCACCTCCTGTCCACCCATGCCACACAGTTCTGAGCTCCTTCCCAGATTCAGCCTTGAATGTGCCTCTGAAAAGTCCCTAGCCTCCAAAGCCTCTTGGGATTCCTCCTCTCCACTCCTGAGGCCAACTACCCTTGATCTGGAGTGACAACAAGAATTGGTTCTTCACGGCAGAAAATCTAAATGAGGCAAAAATCTAGCAAAGTTCCTGAGGCGAGCTCAAGATGGCTGCTGGGTCTCTGTTCTGTGAACCACTCCATTTCACCCAGACTTGGGTACTTTATCAAAGGTTGGTGTCCCCCAAGCTTATTGTTCAGATCCCAAGGCCTCTATGTATCTGTATCTGGAGATGGAGGCCTCAGAAGAAGTGAGATTAATTGAGGGTGTTAGGGTGGGGCCCTGATCCTTTATGATCATGTGTCCTTACCCAAAGAGATGCCAGACAGCCCATGTACTCTCTTCATTCACTCTTGCAGAGGGAGCCATGGGAGGACACAGTGAGGAGCACAGCCCTTACTAGAACCCCACCTTCCCAGCACCTTTGATCTTAGATTTCCAGCCTTCAGAACTGTGTTAAATAAATGCTTGTTATTGAGTCACCCAGTTTCTGTACAGTGGTTCTGTACAGTGGTCCCCCTGGTCCGGGCAGGATACATTTCCAGATACCCCTCTGGGTGCCTGAAATTGCAAACAGTATCAAACCCCACAATGGGGATTTTCTTTGTCTCATGTGTCCCACACCTATGATGTGATGGGTACATGACAAGGGTATGGGTGGAGGGGCGAGCCAGTGTCCTTTCCAGTGGGGGTGCCCAGCCCAGGTGAGGCCTCACCAACTTATGTTCATCCAGGAAGCTGGAGAGACAGGTGAACTCACCTTGGCAAGCAGGAGGTGGTAATGCGGGGTGGAATCACTAGTGAAGATGCTGAATGACTCCACTAGGAAGGATGGGACCAGGCCTCCTGTGGGGAGAACCTCTGTGTTCAGGGTCACACTCGAGAAGAGTTGGGCTGGAGGGTTGAAGAGGGTAAAGTGCACAGACACCACCTTGGTGCTGCTGTCGATCCACCTGCTGGCCCTGAGGGCGGTGAAGGCCTCATAGGCTTCCGCTCTGGAGAGTAGAAAGGACTCACTTGGAGGAGAGGGAGCCAGGCTTTGGAGCCCACAGAAAAACCTGACCCATTGTGCCATGCTGGGAATGCCTAATGCCTTCACAGGGACAATGACCCCTGAAGTTGCAGAGTGCTGGACAAGGTGGCTGCTCAGTGTCTTAAGGACCACTGTGCATCTCTCCTTGCTCTATCCTTTTGCCTACAGCAGATGGGAAAGGATTGAGCTCATTTATACAATGTTGGGGACAGATGCTCAATACCCTCCCCAAGCCTTCTAGAATATTCACTCTCCTCTTTCTATAATGGACTCCACTGTTGGAAAGAAGCCACTTTTCACTAATCCCTATTTGGTAACAGGTAGATCATTTCCTTCTTTTTTTTTTTTTTTTTTGCATTCCTCTGAGCACCCACTACTGTAACTGAACAGAGATGTCCTGTTGCCATGAGCTAAGGACCATCTGATAATATGTCCTCTCTGGCCCTGATGGTGGTGGCATTGTCTCCCTTGCTTGCTGTAGGCACTCCACGTCCATGGTGCCTGGGCTGGGAACCGTCCAGCAGGCTCAGATGGACACTGTCCCTGACTTGCACCCACCTTGTTTTGCCCAGGCTATGTACACAGCCCTCCTTTCTTGCCCTGCAGGCCCTGGGACCACTGGGGGTCACATTTCTGTCCTCAATGACTCCAACTTCAGGGCTCCATTTAGGAACAGAGTCTTCAATGAGTGCCAAGAATGTCCTGGAAGGCTGTGGAGGAAAGTGCCAATCAAGGGAAGCTATAAGTCCCTATTCCCAGTCTGCTTGCATGCAGGGCTCTTGAGCCCTGGCCACACCCAGGAACAACCTAACCCCACAGTGAGGTATCCTGGTCCCTCATAGCCTGTTCTGCAGACGCGTCAGTGTCTCTGGCTCTAGCAGGATGACAACTCCACCTGCTGAAGACCAGTACCTGACCAACTAGCAGAGTTCTCCATTACAGGAAAACACTTATCTTGGGGCCCTTTTCCTCACATGAAAAGAAGTATTTGGTTCTTTGAGTAAAAGACCTGCTTCTGACTGGAACACCAGACTCTAAGCCCCAACAGTGAGCAAGGTAAACCTTGTCACCAGAATGCCAAGATGAGGAGAGGCCTTTGGAGAAGAGCAGAGGCTGAGCGTCCTCCTCTCCCCAGCCCTGGCGGCTAACGACTCATTCTTGAGTGCTCTGGGAAGCTGACATCATCTGTCAGGCTCCTATTCCAATGTCTCCCAGACTTTTCCAGTTCAACTCACGTGTAGAAGCAAAAGCAGAGCGTCTTACCTTGTGTGTTCTGCTGGGAGAAACTTTGGTCTGCTTCATTACTGAAGCACCAATTAGGTAGCATTTTCCCCCGAGGGCTCCAGGCTGAAAAAAGCAAAGAGACTCAGAGCACTATACACATGCTGTCAGCAAGTGGCAATGAAAGGCTCGGGGAAGCTTGGGATGCTTGTGCCTACCAAATTGGAGGTCAGGATTCTACCTTCTTTCGAAAACCATTCCAAAGATGCCACCAACTTGCTAAGGAAGATGGCACCTCCCTCCCCAGCCTTGTCTTGGGGAAAAGCTAGGGTTCGAATATTGTCTTCAATGAATGAAGAAAATGTGGCATTTATATACAGTGGAGTTTTGTCCAGGCACAAAGAAGAATGAAATTTTGTCATTGGCAGGTAAATGGATGGAACTGGAGAACATCATGTTGAGTGAAGTTATCCAGGTTCAGAAAGACAAAGGCTGTCATGTTTTCTCTCATGTGTGGAATACAGACCCAATACAAATACAAGAAATGTTATGGAAAACAGGTCACGCAAAGGGAAGGTTACATATGAGAGAGGGAGGGTAAAAGAAGAAAGTTAAGAGGGTGAATATGGTTGAGGTACTCTCTATACAGGAATGAATATAGAATTTTTAAACCTGTTGAAATCACCATAAGGGGAATGAGATAGAAAGGAGAAAAATAGAGGGGATGAACTGATTTGGGTTATAATACACATATACATGGAAATGTCACAACAAGGAAACTCCCTGTATAGCTATCTTATACAAACAAAAATGTCTTTTTTGAAAAATGGAGAACAGGAAGGTTAAAACAGGTCCTGTCTTGGGGTTGGCACCAGTGAGAGGGGGAGGATATAAGGAAAGGGTGTAGGAGGGTGAATATGGTGGAATATTATGCACTCATGTATGAAAATGGAAAAATGAGACCTGCTGAAACTGTTCCAGGAATGGGGTGGGGGGGAGAGGGGAAAAGGGAGAATGATGGAGCAAGTAAAAAAAATGAAGGACAGGAGGTAAAAATAGGTCTTTTCTGGAGGTGGGAAACATGGGAAGGGGGGTGGGCACAAGAAAGGAGAGAATAAGGGTGAATATGGGTAGGTGTATTTTGCATCCATACATGAAGATAGAAGAATGAAACCTGTTGAAATTTTTCTAAGTAGGGGAGAAGGGAGGAAGAGGGAGAAAGATGGAGGGGTAAATCTAACTAAGGTAAATTGTAAGCACATTTGTAAATATCACAGCGTACATCTCTGTATAACTGTTATGTGCTAATAAAAATTTTTTCAAAAAGAAAACACACTGGAAAAAAAAACTCAAGAAAAAACAAATGTCATCTTCATAATCTGTACCTCCTAAGAATGATCTATTTTTTTTTCACCTTTTCAAATTTCACCATTGTTGTCACCTCACGATACCATGTAGAATCTGACAAAAATTTAAAAAAGTAGCATTGGGGGAATTCAGGACAGAGATACTGTGTTTTTTAAAAAAGGAGGGAGGGGAGAAAGTCAAATATAAGCAGAGAATGGGATTGAACAAAATACACATTTGCTTTTTCTGCTGAACTTAGGACCAGCCTTGCCTTTTTCCAGAAACTTCCCTGATGCTCATCTTAGCTGGTTGTTCCTCCTCTGCTCCAAGTCCTCCTGACACCCCTGGTCAGGCCAGTCCACCAGAACTAGGGTCTTCCATCTACTCACCCTGCACCCCATTGGCCTGAGGGATCCTATATGGTGTCCCTCTGTCTGGCTCATGCTGGAAAGTATAGAATTCGCCTAGCCAAGAAGGGTGTAACAGGAAGAATAAGCCAGCCTAGCAGGTGGAGTAACAGGAGCTCTGTGGCTACGGCAGAGCCACAGACCATACACCGCACAGTCATCAACACCTTCCCTGGTGTCACCTGTGCTGACCCCACTATGAATTCGGAGGAGATGTGCAGAGGGGAGGAGGGACACACACCTGAGCCCCCGGCCCCCCAGCAGCAGAGGGGCCTCTGGAGTGCAGCCCGTCCAGCAGTGTGGTCATACTCCAGTCCCACCAGTCATCGGTGCTTCTCAGGCTCCCCAAGGAGTGTCTGCCATTTCTAAATTCAAGAACAAAAACAAAAGGTTGCTTCTATATCCATGAAACAAGAGAGAGAACAAAAACATTCTTTCCTGACAATTGTTCTTTCATTGCAATTTCAGGGACTCTGTGGAAATTCAACCAAAGCCACCAGCCACAGAAGACATGAACTCTGGGATTGACTTTGCTCTTCAGTGGGAAGAAAGAAAGATGGAAGAAGTACTTGTTTGTTTTCTAACTCCATCATTCAACAAGTGTCACTCTACAACTTCTAAGCACCGTGTGGGGCTCCCCAACAGCAATGTTTTCTTTCTTTCTTTTTTTAGGATTTTTTGACTTTACAATGGTATAAAAGTTCAGTCATTAACTGTTCTGTTGTTTACATCTGTGGTGTGACAGAGGCATGACAAGAGTGTGGGTGGAGGAGCAAGGCAATATCCTGCCCATTGGAGATGCCCAGCCCAGGTGAAGTGTTACCTCCCCAGGAGCCAATAAATCCTGCGAGCACTCCAAGCCTTTATCATAGAGCAGGTTTTTGTTAAAAGATGTCACCCATCTGTAGGTGAGTGTGACCACTGTGAGCTCAGTCAAGGCAGGCTAGTCAAGCTAGTGCACAAGACAGGCCAGGTGTATTGTAATCAATGTGTTCTCAACTGATGATAGTTTCAATTTGTGATGGATTTATTGGAACAGAGACCCATCTTTTTTTTTTTTTTTTTTTTTTTTTGGCAGTGGGATTGGCGGTACTGGTTTGAATTTAGGGCCTCATACTTGCTAGGTAGTTACTCTACCACTTGAGCCACTCTTCCATCCCTTCCTTGTGTTGGGTATTTTTGAGACAAGGTCTCATGAACTATTTGCCCAGGCTGGCTTTGAACTGCGATCCTCCTGATCGCTGCCTTCTGAGTGGCTAGGAGTATAGGTGTGAGCCACTGAAACCCAACATAAGCAAGGAACAGATACATAAGTGAAACATGCAGTATGTCAGTGATAAATGTGAACAAGAACTAGGAATGATGGGAAGTGGAGACTGGACAAGTAGAGATTTTAGTTCAAGAAGCCATGGAGCACACCAGTATGAGGTTACACATTAGCAAAGATCCAAGGGCCATGAGGAAGGAGTCACCTGGTCACCAAGGAAGGCGTTCCAGGACAACAAGGACATCTATGTGCCTGGGAGGCTAGCAAGAGAGGGGAGGCCTGCATGGCTGTGCAGAAGGCACAGGGCAGGTAGTGGACAAGGGAAACCAAGGCTCCATCCTCTCTCTACACTGACTGCCAACAAGGCATATCAGAACCTGTCTCCCATGATGGCTGTGAGCACTGGGTGACAGCCACAGGTGAAGGGCAGTCCTGGACAGCAAGGAGTCAACGAACTCTAGTTCTCTATTAACTTCTTTGGTCTGTGACGAAGTGGGTGGAGCCAGGGGCCTCATGGGGTACATGCTGGGGTACCACTGAGCCTCACCCCCAGCTTCCCCAATAAACACCCTGATTACACTTAGTAGCTATTAGCTTCACTTTTCCACCAAGGCCTGAATTAAGGGAGCCCTGAAAGAATTTCAAACTGACTAAACATGTGACTTTAGATCAGTCACACAACACAAAAGGGTCACAAACTTAAGCTGAGGCTGCTCTTGGCAGCACTGACTTAGCTCTGGACTTCAGCCAGAGGTGAAAGGGGAAAACTACATGTTCCCCAGAAAAGCAAAGTACCTCTCACCTAAGGCTACAAAACTCTCTCAGGTGGACTTCATGAAGGGAAGAAAAGAGGTCAGGATAACATGCTCATGGGTACATCCACAGCAAGTAGAAATGGCTGTGATGTGGTTGTTTATCCAAATCTTTGTCCATGAAAAGGGAAGACCAAAATACTTCTGAGGGAGAAGTGATAAGATGCTAGAAAAGGATATAAACACAAAGGCCAGGTGTGGTGATACATGCCTGTAGTCCCAGCTATATACGTGAGGTATAGATGAATAAAATCAAAGTCTGAGGCTGGCTCTAGGCAAAAATCACAAGCTGAAAAATAACTAAAAGCAAAAAGGGCTAGAGGCATGGCTCAAGCAGTAGAGCATTTGCCTAGTAAGCATGAGGTCCTGAGTTCAAAACCCAGTACTGCAAGAGAGACAGAGAGACAAAAAAAGAGAGAAAAGAAAGTCAAGTCCTCCAGGTATGCACAATTTTAATTGTCCTGTCTATTCCACAATCAAGTCTAGCCTGTAGCAAGGGTTCACTCGAAATTCTCCCTTGCCCCCTCAAATGTCTCCTCTATTTCCTCAGGACTGGCCTTGACTAAATCTGTTTCCTTCCCCTGATTTCTGTCTCTCCTTTTTTTGACAGAGGGGCAAGCAGTAGGTTCCTTGGATTCTGGTAACAAGACTACTCCAAAGTATGGACTGCAGACAAGTCCTTCCTTTGTGGCCTTGACAAACTGGACTTGGGAAGAAAGTTCCAGAGAGCTTGTGACTGAGCAGCTAGCTCCAGCCTGAGATCCAGCTGTGCCCGTCTCTTCCCAACTCATGTCCAGGGATGTCACCGTGGTAGTGTGAAGCAGATGATGGTGGTACCATTTCCATCACGGAAGTTGGCAGGCAGACGCTATCCAGCAGGGCCTTTGTTCTCCAGAGACAGCAGAAGGGTCGAATGACAAAAACCTTATTCCCATACAAGGGTGTGGAGCAGGAACTCATTCCCTTGGCGACTGAGGGCAGCTTTTGTAGACAATTTAGGAAATTTTTTTTAAAATAAATTTTTTATTAGGATATATTCTTTATACTGGGGGGTGGGATTTGTAGTAATAATTCCAATTAGTTTTATATTGTACACTATTTACATTGCCCCTGTCATCTCTCCCCATCAGCCCCCACCTAGAAAATGTGTTTTTAAAATCTTATAGTCTTTATACACAATGGAATTTTATACAGCCACGAAGAATGAAATCTTATCATTTGCAAGTAAATGGATGGAACTGGAGAACATCATTCTGAGTGAGGTTAGCCTGGCCCAAAAGACCAAAAATCGTATGTTCTCCCTCATATGTGGACATTAGATCAAGGGCAAACACAACAATGGGATTGGACTATGATCACATGATAAAGCGAGAGCACACAAGGGAAGTATGAGGATAGGTAAGACACCTAAAAAACTAGATAGCATTTGTTGCCCTTAACACAGAGAAACTAAAGCAGATACTTTATAGCAACTGGGGCCAATAGGAGAAGGGGACCAGGAACTAGAGAAAAGGTTAGATCAAGAAGAATTAACCTAGAAGGTAACACACATGCACAGGAAATCAATGTGAGTCAACTCCCTGTATAGCTATCCTTATCTCAACTAGCAAAAACCCTTGGTCCTTCCTATTATTGCTTATACTCTCTCTTCAACAAAATTAAAGATAAGGGCAAAATAGTTTCTGCCTGGTAGCGAGGGGGTACGGGGGTAGGGGGTGGGGGAAGGGGAGAGAAATGACCCAAACATTGTATGCACATACAAATAAAAAAAAAAAAAACCCAAAAAACAAAAAACAAAACCTTATAGTCATGGACTGGAGGTGTGGCTCAAGTGGTAGAGCACTTGCTTTGCAAGCGTGAAGCCCTGAGTTCAAATCCCAGTCCTCCCTCCCCCAAAAATTATATAGTCATGACCAAAATATTGGTCAGTATAAAAAGAATTCAAGGACAAAGGAAAGGTCATTAACATATGGATTAATAGAGAGCTGTGGTTTCAACAATTGGTATGGACTATAAATTGTTAAATATTTTCCAAACCTGGGAATAAAAGTCTAGATCTGACTGGTTTTATTTCCTTTTCCTTAAAGAGAGATTACTTCCCTTCATTTGAGTGCATGGTCTTTGCTGGTTTTACATTTTTAGAGTCTAGTTTATGCAGGATGTTTGTTGGGTGTTGGTTGTCAATTCTACACTTGTCTAAGACCCTAGTCAAACTATGCATGAAACCCTGAGCAAATGAACACTATGTGTTATATGTACATGTTAAAATGCAAAGATTAATCATTAAAAAAAAGACAGCAAAGGAAGGTGAAACTTCTAAACCAAGGACTAACTGTACATCTGACAAGGGATTAATAACCAGAATAAACAGGGAGCTGAAAAAACCAAACTCCCCAAAAATCAACGACCCAATGAAGAACTGGGCAAATGAACTGAACAAATCTTTTAAAAAAAAACATGAAGAAATGCTTACCATTTCTGGTCATAGAGGTAATGCTAATCAAAACCTTGTTAAGATTCTACCTCACTCCTGTTAGAATGGCTACCATCAAGAACACCACCACCAACAAATGTTGGTGAGGATGTGGGGAAAAAGGAACCTCATATGCTCCTAGTGGGAATGTAAGCTAGTACAACCACTATGGTAGACAGTACGAAGACTCCACAGAAAGCTAAAAGTAGACTGGCCGTACAAAAACATTCCTAGATATATGCCCTAAGGAATGTAGGTCAGGTTACAATAAAGACACCTGCACACCCATGTTTATTGCAGCATTATTCACAATAGCTAAGCTGTGGAAACAGCCAAGATGCCCCACTACCCGAATGGATCAAGAAAATGTATTCATACACAACGGAATTTTACTCAGCCACAAAGAAGAATGAAATTTTGTCATTTGCAGGTAAATGGATGGAACTGGAGAACATCATCTTAAGTGAAGTTAGCCAGGTTCAGAAAGTCAAAGAACGAATGTTTTCTCTCATATGTGGAATATAGACCCAATAAAAATACAGCAGTATTATGAAAAACAGGTCATGCTAAGGGGAGGTCACATACAAGAGGGGGAGGGCAAAAGAAGGGTGTCAAGAAGGTGAATATGGTTGATGTACTCTCTATATGAGAATGAATATAGAATTTTTAAACCTGTTGAAATCACTATAAGAAGGGAACTTCTTATAAGGTAGAAAGGAGAAAAATAGAGGGGATGAACCAATTCGGGTTATAATACATATATACATGGAAATGTCACAAGGAAACTCCCTGTGTAGCTATCTTAAACAAACAAAAATGTCTTTTTTTTTTCAAAAACAGAGAAAAAAAAGGTAAAACAGGTCCTATTTTTTGGGGGGGTTACCAGAGGGAGGGGTGAGGATTTGAGGGAAGGGTGTAGGAGGGTGAATATGGTGGAGATATTATGTCTCATGTATGCAAATGGAAAAATGAGACCTGTTGAAACTATTCCAGGAATGGGGAAGGGAGGATAAAGGAGAATGATGGAGGGGTGAATTCAACTTAGATATATTATAAGAACTCTTGTAAATCCACAGGTACCCCCAATACAATAATAATATGTTAATAAATCAAGGAATAACACAAAGGAGTATGACAGTAGAAGGGAGGAAAAAAAGGGAAAAATGATATACTAATCTAGAATAAAACAGGAGGTTTCACATAAAAATTCTAAGCACAAATAAAACACACTTACATGTGCTTATGATATATACGTACACAAAGAATTATAGACAGGATGCGTACAACCAAGTTGAGAACGGTGATGTTGGGAGGTTGGAAGCACCAGGAGAGGACAGAAAACAGGCTTCAGTCTTGTCTGTCATGTTCTATATCCACATTAATAAAGAATCAAATTAAAATGGAAAAAAATTGGTAAGCAAGTGGGAGAGCTGCTGAAGTATACAAAAGGTGTGACTCAGAAACAGAGGCCCCAGGAGAGATGTGAGGAGATGAGACAGGCACACCACGCATGCAAACACAGCTCTGCAGTCACTGCCATCAAAGAAAGGAGCACAGGGAGGCAGTGAGAGGGAAGAGGAAGGAAAAGGAGGGCGCTGAACTTTCAACACAGAAAAGTGTTCAGCATCTGCTCTTGGCAGCACGAGCATGTGACAGACAAACTGACTGTACATTGATTGCCTAATGTGGGCCATATTCTGTATTTTTAAAATAATAAAGTAGTGTAAGTTTTTTAGCCACATTGAACTTGCCCTTCATTCCTCTCCCTCCAACCTTCTCTTCCCCTTCCTTCCTTCCTTCCTTCCTTCCTTCCTCCTTCCCTTACTTTCCCTCCCTTCCTCTCTCCCTCCTTTCCTTTCTTCTTCCACCCCCTCCTCCCTTCCTCCCTTCCTTTTCTTCCTTTCCCCCTTCCTTTCTTTCTTCCTCCCCTCCTTCCTTCCCTCCCCCTTCCTTCTTCCTTCCTTTCCTCACTCCCCCTTCCCTTCCCTCCTTCCCTCCCTTCCCTTCGCTTCCCTCCCCTCTCTTCCTCCCTCCCTTTCTTTCTTCCTTCTTCCCCTCTCTCCCCTCCTTTCCCTCCCACACTTCCCTCTCCCCTGTCCCTTCCTCCCTCCCTTCCGCCCATGCCAAGGCATGACCCAGGGCTTTGTGCATGCTAGGCAAGCATTCTGTCACTAGACTACACCTTCAGTCCAAGTTTGCACAACTTCAGAGAAATGTTATATCTCTGAACACTTGCTCTCTGCTGGGATGGCATTAAAGGAACGAAGTCCAGAATGACCTGAATGTGACCAGAGCTGAGACGTTCCACACCCAGATGAATCCGCCCTGTGCTCATTTGTGGCACACCAGAGGGCAGGAAGTGAACCAAGGGGTGCAAGAACATTTCCAGCCTTGTCTATACTAATCATAGCAATTACACAAAGTAGGTCTACACAGCCAGCTAAGCAACATGGAAGATAAAACAGCAGTGTTTTTCCACATATGGTCCTTGGATGGAGCACCTCTTTCATTTATTGGTGCTTTATTTGGTTTATTTTTGTTTTGATTTACTTGGCGTTGCATCAAGTCTTTACTGAGTTCAAAAGCACTCAGAATACAACATTTAAGTATGACAGAGTCCAGCAGCGCAATCATTTCTTGTGTGTGTGAAGATTAGAACTCCAAATAGCCCACCCCCCTCCTCACACCCTTCCTCTGCAGCTCACAGTCAAAAGACAGCCACTGGTCCCTAGGCCACAGAGAGCCCAGGCCAGTCCCTGCCTTTCAATTAATCCCTCTGCCCTGCTGGGCTCCACTCCTCTCTGGAATGCAACTAACAACAGATCCTCAGGTGTTGTTGATGTTTCAGATTAGGTACTGGGTGGGGGGGGGTGAGGCTGGGAGGGTCCACTTTAAACATTCCATTTTGAACCAAGACACATAAATTTATCACTGCCTGATGGCAGAGCAGCCAGAGGGGTGAGGTGTTGCATCTTTGTGGGAAACATAGGGTCTCTCCCGGGGTGGGGGGTCACCATTTGAGGGGTTCATCTACACATGCGTGTGGATAAGTCACAAACAGCTCAGCGTGGTATTTCTGATTTGAATATTGAGAGGCAGCAGTGCATACGAGCAATGTCAAGAGTTATGACATACGAAATGTGAAATGAAAATAAATTAGCCAAAGCTAGCAATCTTTCATGCTTGGGTTTCCTTTTCCACATAGTCTCTTTGTTTTGCTCACAGCGTCATCTACTGGCACTAGCTGTGCGCCTGTTCTGAGGGACAGCTGAGAAATCACTACAGAAACCACTGTGACTTTTGTAGACCTTGGCACAGAAAATACCAGCTAGCTTTACTGCTAGAATCTCAGAAACATGAAGTCGAGTCATTGAGCTCACCATTGAACGGTGACTTACCTTGTTAGTGAGTCCTAAAACTAACAAGAAAGGATGATATTTGCTGACCACTATCTGGTTGAGTAGCAATAGCCCTCTCTTTTGCAGAAGATAAAAATATATTCTTTTTTTTGGCAATACTGGCATTTGAACTCAGGGCTTCACACTTGCTAAGCGGGTGCTCTACACTTGAGCCATTCTGCCAGTCAATATTCTTAAGTAATATATAGAGCAAATAGATTTTCTGACCACCCACTCCTGCTCCCCCAAAACAACAAAAATATTTACATCAAACTGGATTGCTTAGTCAAAAGCAGCACATTCGTAGAAATGTTGCAGAGATGTGCCTTAAAATATTCTGTGTAGAAGGAGAAAGTAAATCCTGGAATACAGACAATGATTTGACTTCCTGTCACTGAAATCTTAGTGAATCACCAATAGCACATCAAATTGTAAACTTCAGAATTGAAATCAAACCACCTTGAAAAACCTATCAGGCTGCCTGCTTTTGGCAGGTGCAATACAGTCTGATCATGGATTTAATAACAACTTTCAATAAAAAAGGACCACTGAGTTGAATACTGACATTGGTGCCAGCATGCATCCAATGTCACAGACTCTGAGACACAGGAAATGGATACAGCCTGACCACTGCTCTCAGACCTTACCTCTGCCTCGGGGTGACATGGGAATTTTCCTACTTTGTGATTTTCAGTTCTTCCATGATTACCTATGATGACAATCTACTGCTTTTAAAAGTAGGAAGAAACAAACGAATACTTAAAAAATAGTATGGAATTTGAGGGAATAGTACAGACAGTTTGAAAGTGGGTATGCTGCATTACGAATTGCAACCAAAGCTTTTTGTTGAAGATTCTGCAAACAAACAAAACAGAAAACCCCAAACACAATGGTAAGACCTTGGAACATCCTTGTTCCACGACTGACCCAATATGAAGTTGCTAGGCGCATGCCCTAAGTCTGGGAATGGAGGCTCCCCTTAAAACAGGGAAATAATGTCTAGTGAGTTAACTTAACAACCTTCCCCAGACTTCATATGTGGGATGTGGTGACCATTCTCTGGGCTTTAATCATGCATGGGTAGAATGGCCCAAAGGAATGGATTAGACTGTAGGGTTCTGTCTTCTGACCCTGCTTGTACTGAAAGACCAAGACAGAGCTGGCTTTCTCAAGGAAGGGAAGGAAACCCTGTGGAACTCTGAGCTTCCTTTGGGTGTGCATTGACCATGAATTACTGCAACTACAGGAGTTCCCCAAATCTCCTACCTGATAAATTCCCTCCGGATGGCTTGATTGAGAGAGTACTCATCTGGGGAAAATGTCCCATGTATTATAAACAAGAGCAGAAGCGGCATGAAGACACACATGGAAATGTCTCTGCAGGAAGAGGGTTTGGAATGAGCACCCGGGAGACCCCATGTGGGTGCATGGGCATCCCAGTGTTTCCTTCAGTAAAACATCACGAATGAGAGGAAATGTTTGTGTAAGGTATGAGATGTACTGGGGATTCTTCTCTCTCATTGACTGCTGTTCATGAGTGATGTCTACATTCATTAACTCATTAAAGGTTGAAAAAATGTTCAGGTTCTAATTCTGGTTTTTATTTATTTATTTTTTTGGCAGTACTGGGGTTTCAACTTAGTGCCGCACACTGGCTAGGCAGGCACCGTACTGCTTGAGCCACTGCACCAGCCCTGTTTTATGATGGTATTTTCAAGATAGGGGCTCATAAACTATTTGCCCAGAATGGCCTCAAATTGTGATCCTTCTGATCGCTGCTTCTAAAGTAGTTAAGATTATAGGCGTAAGCCACTGGTGTCTGGCTTAAATTATTTTAAAATGTCACTGGGCCAGACTGATGCCTGGGGAAGAAGTGCTGTATTTACCAATGGTTTCTCACAGCCTTGGGTGCCCAGGTCTATTGCTTGTCTACTGAGCTGTGGGTAAGATTGAATGTGATTGTGAGTGAGTTGCTGGGTACCAGTTTTCAACCCACTTCTCCTAATGGACGGGCTACAAAGCCAACCTTCCTGACTCCAGTTCTGTTTCCCTGCATCCCATGTGCTGGAGCACAGATGCATTATGGGAGAGGATTTTGCTGTCTACACACCTCCTTCCTCAACGTGGACAATCTCAGAACAAACACTGGTACAGGACACTACCTCTGAAAGGGGCACTGGACCTGAGCAAGTTCATTGTCATCCAGGCCACTACCTACCTCACGGCTGTCTGCGTGCGGCTCTTTCTCCTCAGCCTCTCTCTGGTGACCCTTAGCTGTGACATGGATGGTGGCCGGGCCCAGCGCTGCTGGCGCTGTCGTTGTCGGGCAGCCAAGACCTGTTAGGGAAGAGTGCTGTGAACCTTGGGCTGGTGGTAGAGGGAGCGAGGCTGTTGGCATTCCTGCTAAGCCAAGAATCAAGTCATCACTGCTTTTTGCCTGGTATTTGGGTCAAAGAGGTACTTTGTGCAGATAACATATACAGGTTGTTGGGGAGGGATAGGAATTGGAGAACAGCCCCATTAAAAACTCCATTCCTAGCAGGGCACCAGTGGCTCACGCCTATAATCCTAGTGACTCAGGAGGCAGAGATCAGGAAGATAGTGGTTCAAAGCCAGCCCTGGGCAAATATTTTGCAAGACCCTATCTTGAAAAAAACCCATCAAAAAAAGGGCTGGTGGAGTGGCTCAAGGTGTGGGCCCTGAGTTCAAACCCCAGTACCACACACACACACACACACCGAAACAATAACAACAACAAAAATTCCACTCCTGGCTCAGGCAAGCCTTTTGGCCTGTTTTGCAGCTGGGCCACTGCAAACTGTGGGTTCACAGGAGAGGCGTGCCTGACCCTGTGAAATTTCAGGAGTTAGCCTTGACATTTGCACAGTAGTTTCTCTTAGAGACCTTGAAAGACTGGAAAAGTCATTCTAAAGTACAGTCTTAGCGAGGAGAACTTTGTCATGAATGCTACATTTACGGCTCTCATACTGTGTGTGTTTATGGTCAGGACATAGCAGCAGCCAGAAAAAAATGAACCCATCAGAAGTATTCACTCATTTATCTCTCACCCATTCATTTGTCTACTCAATGCACAATCCAGAAGTAGGTCTGGGTCAGGCTCAGGGGACATGTGAGAGATGCCAGCCCTTCTTCCCAAAGCCCTTGGGCTTTTGAGAAACATATAGCCACTACAAACGCCATGAAGTAAAGTTTGGGAACTGGAGCTTGAGATTCAAATGCTTGCAGCTGAATTGTCATCCTCAGAAGGGCACTCTCTGTGGCTGAATGTGTGGGAAGCCAGTGGGTTGGATATCTGGACTTTAAGATGCTCATGGGATGGGCACAGGGTTAGAGAGATCAGCCTGACCCACAGCCTGACTGGTCAAAGGAATGTCAGCACTGAGAATGAGATTGTAGAAAGAGAATGGAGCTGCCCAGGGCTGGTGCAGCTGTACGTGGGGAATACAGAGGAAGAGTCATTGAGGCAGCAAGGGAAGCTGACATGGATGGTGTGAGGAAAGCAGGGTGCTAGAGGGCAGGGTGCAGGAGAAGGGGTGAGATGCCTCTGCTGGCTGCTATGTGACCTTGGCCTTGTTATTTCACCTTGCTGAGCCTCTAGCTCCTCGTCTTAAAGTGGGGTGCAATGATGCTGCCTAATTCACAAGGTCATGTCAATGTCAGTCACATGCAAATGTAACAGCACAAAGACAACTACAGAGCTGATGGTGACTGCATGTTCTCAGCAGAGGCAGAAGGTCCAAATGAGGCCAGGATTGGGAGAGGAAGGCCATGGAAAAGTCATCTACTGTAGATGTGTGGCCTGTTGGAACATGGGGCTCCTTTGAGATCTGGGGTGGGGTGAGTTGGAGAGAGACCATCTGAGGGAGACTGCTATGTCCTTGGTTTAAGGTCTTACAGTTATTCTACAAGGATGGGGTTGCATTCCACAATAGGAGCCCATGAATTTCTTCATGGTGGTTGGATCACCTTTCTCTTTTTCCTGTCATCCATACCACTCAAGAGAATGCATGGATAAAACAGGTAAAAATTGAGTATTGGAAGGAAGGAGGGAAGGAAGGAAAGAAGGAAGAAGGGAAGGAAGGGGGCAAGGGAGGAAGAGGGCAAGGGAGGGAGAGAAGAAAGAAAGCAGGGAAGGGATGGAGGGGAGAAAGGAAGAGAGAGAAGAGAGGATGTAAGAGAGGGGAAGGGAGGGAAGGGGACAGAGGGAAGGAGGAAGGAGAGATGGAGGGGAGGGAGAAGGAAGGAAGGAAAGGAGGGAGGGAGGAAGGAAGAAAGGGAGGAGGCAGGGAGGGAAGGAGGGAAGGCAGGGAAGGAAGAGGGAAGGAGGGAAGCAGAGGGAAGGAGGGAGGGAAAGAAGGAAGGAGGGAGGGAGGAGAGAAGGGAGGAGAAGAAAGAGAAGAAAGGAGGGAGAGGGAGAGAGGTAAGGAGAGAGGGAGAGGGAAAGAAGAAAGGAAGGAAGGAAAGAGTACATGTCCTATGTGCCCACTGAAATGTAAATGGCCTAAAAGTTCTCCAAAAGCATGACCAGGAATTATTTCTCACTTGCTTCAATACTTTTAAACACACTCACTTTCTTGAGGCTCTGATTTCACTGAGTTTATGCACTTAACTGTCACATATGTATACATGAAGAAGCATAAGAAATTAAAATGCATACTGTGGGGTCCCAAAAGGTGCAACCAGATTTGAACTCAAAGCCTGAGTTCTGATCTGCAGGACACAGGATCCAACACTGTTCTCTAGAAAGCCGTTCACATGGCAGACATCACCTCACCTTTTCAGCCTCCTCTGCACACTCAGGCATGCAGCAACTGGGAGAGAGGGGAATGTGAGCTCCATAGCCTTCTTCCAAGTCCAAGTCCAGACTCCTAGTTGCTGCACGTAAAGACTCAGTGAAAAATTGATCATCGTCTTTTCTTTTCCAAGCGAAGCCCAAGGCCATGCAGCAGATCTGGAAGGAAGGACAGGACACAAATGGTCAGTAGCGTTATGTTTGTGGCCCTTCCACGCAGAGATGCCTTCCTGATCCCTCATAGCCAGCAGGTTCCATCTTCCAGTTCTTGCCAGACACCAGTGGCCACTGTCCCCAAGTCCCTGGCTGCCTACTCATTTGTTCTTTGAGGCTCACATTCTCATCTGAAAGGTGTGGGCAAAAGTGGTTCATTCCTGGCAGGCTTTTAGGATGTCTGAATAACAGGCCCATGTGGACCTTACCACAGAGCCTGGCTCCCTGTTTTCTTACTGTCTCAAACCAAACTTCAAAGAAAAGTACTGCATTCCCAAAATGCAGTCACCATGTCCCCTCCCTTCCAGTTGTTCTGCAGACAGGAGGCACCTCTGCTGCCAAGGGGCATCTTACCATAAGTGGCTGGGTGATAAACACACAGCAGACCACGGAGAGGAACAGCAGGTACAGCCATTGCATACACTGCACTGAGACAAACCTGCCCAGGAGAGAGTGGTCTATCAGCACCTCGAGGGTACAAGTCACTGCCACTTGGCCCAGAGATGTAGTCTGAAAACCCTGATGCCCTCCCACCAGGAGATTGGGGCAGTAAGTAGGTGGTAGCCTAGGAAGGGCTGCTGGATGAGGGCATTGTGTCCTTCTGCCCATCAGAAGAGGGAGGGGATAAAAGAAGAGAGGAGACCAAGGGAGGAAGGGAGGAAAGAAAGAGGAAGTGGGGAAGGAAGGAAAGCTAGCTGGTGTTAAGAGAAAGGAAAACTCAACCTATGGACAGAACACAGCACAGATGAGGCAGGAAGGAAGATGAACTGGTTGGTGGTAAGGGGACAGGCCACTCTTGAGTATGTCTTCTGCTCCTCTCCCAATCTTTGGATCAAGTGCACTGAATGTCCCTGTGTTATAGCTGAGGGTTGGAAAGGGTTCAAGTACCCAATCCTACCTCAGAGTGGTTTCGCATGTACAGTTGGGAGAAGGGACACTGTCAGGAAGAAAGGAACTTGGGTTGGAGCTCCTCGTGGTTTAGGACATGTGGGCCCAGAGGAGCCATGCTGAATCACCCTAGGGTCTCCAATGGTGGCCTGAGTTGCTCAGGAGCCAGACCAAGAGACATCATGTGTGTGTGTTGGGGGAAAGGACAGAATGGAATCTATGACACATGAATCATAACTCCTGTCTCACAGGCATATGTTTTTTCAAATGATGCAAGAAGATGGACAACTGGTTCTGGCTAGAGTGTCCAGGTCAGAGCTTTCCCTCTTGGGAGCTCAGAGTGGAGCCCTTCCTTCCTGAGTGTGGGCCCTCTGGCTTCTGGATAAATGCCCAGAACTCCACCTAGGCTGAGCGGCTGTTGGCAGACCTGGTCAGGCCAAGTGACCCTTAGGGGTTTGCATATGATTCTACTCATCCACAGAATGTGGGGAGGGTAAGGGAGAAAACAGTAATGGTGACATCTGATGACTGAATTTTGTGAGTCTCCAGAAACAGAGGAATCTCCTTATAAATGCTGGACTTCCACAAAAAAGATGCAACGATATCTGAAAACCTCAATAACTCACCTGTAGCCAAGGAATCCTGTCCCTACACCACAGGCCAACGAAGCTGACCCACAGATGAACCAGCTTACAGAGCTCAGCCAAGGAAGACAGGCTCTTGACCACCGGTACATCAGTCCCTCAAAACCACTGCTGGGAGCTAAGAAAGAGCAAGACAGAGACAGGTGGGTTAGCTGAGCTGGTCAGACCCACCCAGCGTGATGTGAGCTGTATGTTACTTTGACTGAGCCACTTGGTGCCCAGACATCTGTTCAAACATTATTTTTGTTGTGTCTGTGAGGAAGTTTCCAGAAGAAATTAACATTTGAATTGGTCCCTCTCACTGTTTTGGACTTCATCCTGTCAAATGAAATGAATAAATGAGACACTGGTCTTTGCCTGAAGGATTGGGGGTAGCACCCTCAGGAGCTCTCAGGGCCATGTCCTCCAAAACCAACCAAGAGGTCCCCAACATTAGACATGGAGGGACCAGTTTCCATCTTGGATCCCAAATAACTAAGCAGGCTGACTTGGACCTGCAGGGTCTACTCTGATTGGACCAAGACCCCACATGCCATTTGCACACAAGGCTGTGACTCTCCATGGCCATCGTCATCCTTTGTCTGCTATGATACTTCTCCAGAGTCATACCCAAAACTGAAGTCACCCTTCACAGCCCTTTGTGTCTTGGAGGGGAGTCATTGAGCTCCGTTGCTCAAGGGATGTTGCTGAGAGGAAAACCCGTGGAGTGCACATCTGGGAGCAGAAGGCTGTGTTCATTTAGAGCAAGTGAACAACATGTCATGTCCTAATAGACTAGGGAGTTCCCAGCAGCGAGCTGGCATTGGACAAACCGGGTGGCATTTGCTGAGCAGGAAACAAGGAACATGTTGCTGTAGGGGACAAGAGAGTTGTTCTGAGCCACAATTTACCAACATGCTCCTTAGTGTCTGGTCCACCAGGGTGATCTTCAACTTCCCAGCCCAACTCACTGTCCAGCTTGTCAGGGGAGGGTGACCAGTCCTAGGGACAGCTTGCCAATATTGGTGCTGTACTACCGCCTCCCCTGGCTGAGGTCGCACCTGCTCACAGAAATGACCTTTTATCTGTTCTTCCCCTAACCACCGTGTGTACCTCAGTCAGACCCACACATAGGCCTTACTAACCACTGTCTATGGGGCTGTGCCCACCTGCTGTTGGTAACCAGTGCTCCAGGACCTGTTCTGACCATTTGCCCATGAACCATGTGGCCCCAGCCCATCAAACCTTACGCACGGATGGTCCTTCTTTCCCCACTTCTTCTCGGACAGTCAGCATGCTCGCCACTGGATGTGGCTGCCTAGGACATGAGCACCTCCAGACTCTAGCAGGGTAGTTCCCTGCCTCTTCCAGCTAAGAGCTGAACCTCCAGCATAACTTGAAAATAGGTTGTTACTCACTCTAATTTGCATTAAAAAAAGAGTGAATGGGCTGGTGGAGTGGCTCAATGGTAGAGCACCTGCCTAGCAAGCCTAGCAAGCATAAGGCCCTGACTTCAAACCCCAGTACTGCCAAAAAAAAAAAAAAGAGTGAAGCTTCAAATTTCAGAATATTTAAAGAAAAGTACAGAGTTTCATACTGACTTTTAAAGATCTGATCAAACCTATGTTAAGGTAAACCAGAAATTACCAAGATTTGGGACAAAGCTAGGTGCCACATTTTCAGATGGATCTGTATCTGTTTTTAGATGAGACTAGAGCACTTAGTGACATTTGGCCCAACTTTCTACTCACACTGGCTCTTCCAAAAGCCTCAGGCTAATGTTGGACCAGCAGGAAGGGGCTGTTCACTGCAACCACATAGGGATATTACCTTGTGGATGCAGAGATCCATGGTGGCTCTTCTCATTCATAGCAGTCTCATGGTGGCCAGCCCTGCAGGCCTCCAGATCAAAGGTTGGACAGGCTGCACTGCTGCCACTTGCTGCCTCCCTCCAGGCAATGTCACTTCCAGAGAGAATGGATGATGCAGGAAGCTAGAATAATAATGTCAGGACAAGGTCAATGCTTTCATAGATAGTTGTGGCTTCAACAGTGGTACTGTTGCAACTGCCTCAAAGGATAGGTGTGGCCTGTCCTGGTCACATCCAGGTCCTGGGGACCTGGTCAAGTGCAGGCCTCTGGTGAATTCCGAAGGAGGAAGCAAAGTCAACTTCTAGGGGCCACCTCTTAGGGTGCCCACGGAGCAATGCTGGTGGCCCACAGGTGGCTCCATGCATCAGTCTGAGTACATCCTTCTCCTTCAGAGGCATGACCTGCTAGAGGACAGCTGCAGCCAAGAGCAATGGACTAAGTAAAGGCTCAAAGGAAGGGGGTCCAGAACCCCAGCAGGCACTTAGAAGTGGAGATCATGCTGCATTCTGAGCATAACACCATGGCTAGGAGCAGGGGCCATGGAGCTATAGGGCAGGAGTGATGTGAGAATCAACTAAATTGGGTCTTTTCTGTCAAAAAGCTAGCTAGTTGATAGAGCATAAGACTCTCATCTCAGGGTCCTGGGATTGAAACCCCCACCCCCAGTATCACACTATGGAGTATGTCTGTAATTGTGTGGATATTAGCTAATATCCCCACTTCTATGTGCTGGGTGGCATGTCACCTGGTTGTAAAGTTTCTGCCTTTAAGCAGAGAATTATTTGTCATTGGATGTCCTAAAACTCAGACTGCTAGTTTTAAGATAATCATTATCCAAAGGAATCTCTGCTTCAAGGTACCCTGGGTCCGTGGGTTAATTATATACTTGGTGCTGCCATTTCATATCAAACAGTCATTTCAGGCCTCAGTTTCCCCAGAATCCTAGAAATTCCCACCTTATGGCTCGCTTTTTTGTCTTTGGGTATACCAATCAAATTAAGTCTCGTGTCTGTGCTTCTATCATGTCTACTCTTCCCCTATGCCCTCCGCTAAACCTTAACTTTAGTCAGTTGTGAAGATTGTGAATCTGAGCTCCCTCCATTAGAGCAAGGGGCAGTCCTGTATCAGGGATAAAAACTGAGGGGTCCTTCTGCTGTTCCCCACCCCCACCGGCCCCTGTGTGTGTGTGTGTGTGTGTGTGTGTGTGTGTGTGTGCTGGCTCGCCTGACTCTGGTCAGAGGCACACACACCCTTCTACAGAGGTAGATTTTGCCTTGCTCATTAACTTTTGAGCAGGTGTCTGATTTCTGGTCACAGCAGCACCCTGGTATTTCTAACAAGTAAGCTGGAAAGCCCAGGGAATCAGGCGTGCCCTGAAATGCCCCCACAGGGAAAAACTCTCCCCAGGGTAAGAGCACAGTCACACACATCCAGAAGCCAAAACCCCATTAGAAATTGCCCTTCACTGGCCTTGAGTGGAGGACTTATTGAAACCCAGAAAGAAACTCCTGCCTTTGGGACAGCTCCTTCAATCCCCACTTCTCACATGAGGACAGAAGTCACTGGCTGAGCAGATGTCCAGGTCATGTTGCTTCACAGCCTCTCTCCCTTGGGCCTTGCCAGTATTTCATGGGACATACACACAAGGCTGTCCAGATTTTACAAGGCTGCATCCCCTTCCTGTTTCCTGCCACTGTTGCAACCCTTTCTCCTGGACCCTACCTGGATCTCCACAACCCCCATGGTCTTTGGCCTGGGAAATAGCCCTCCTTCTCTGGAGGGTGGGCACTGGCCAGCATGGTGAGTCTCTCATCTCTCTTTCCCTCGTTTGACTCACGCACGGGCAGACCACAGCCAAGGGAGGATGCCAGAGAGATACAATGGTAGAGAATTAACTAATGGGTGTAGTTATTCACTTACCTTGTTTGGCTCTTGAATACCTGGTATCCTTCTACAGGAATTAGAGCCTGATTGGGAAAAAACCAAAAAGCAAAAGGCAAATGCTGAACCAAGGAACAAAGGCTTTCTAGGGGCACAACTTTCATCAGGAAATACTCCTCCTTCCTGGCCTGCCAGATGAGGCTTTCTGAGAGACAAGACAAGATAAGGACTTCCTGACAGCACTATCCTGGTGTGGGGGGCTTGGTCGACCCCTCACCCACCCAAGGCTGCCCTCAGAAACAGCAGCATGAGAAAAATGTGTCAGTAAAAAAGTAAAAAGAACCTTAATGTGAACGTATAAAAAATTTAAAAGTAATCATCAGACTCAATAAAAACTGGGAAAATATTTACTCCTCAAGGGACAACAGCCTACTTCATTAAGTAGGGGAAAGGACTTATATGTCATTCAGGAAAAAGAGATTTGACAAGGTCAATATAAACAGGGGGAAAGAAATGGATGGCCCACAGAAAAGAAGGTGGTTTTGAGCATATGGAATGAAGCTGGTGTGAGATAAACAGTGTATACTGAAAGCAGGAGATACATTCCTACTTAGGAGGTTGCCCCCAAAGGATCAGCCACAGGGTGGAGTTTCTGATTTTGGTACACATTACCATGAGGTGCTTCCACGCATGGTCTTCGTAGAGGCTGGCCTGGCATAGTCTGGGGACACCCTGTGGCTCCCTGCAGAAGTGAAAAGTTTGATTGGTGAGGGAGTCCCCCAGTCATAGAGGTCTGCCCAGGAGCACAGGACCACACAATTACTGTACCTTGCTGAGCCTGAAGAGCAGGGACAAGAGCTGTGCCCCTGGAGAAACCAGGATAGAGCACAGGAGACCCAGGAAGAAGGATCTGAAAGTGACCTCAGTGGAGCCAACATCTGGAAGAGACTGTGACAGTCCAAAAGCACCAATTATGTCGTCAGAACGAGTCCAACCCAAAACACAAGGGCACTAATAATTCCAAACAAATGTATTTAATGTGAGGATGTCTAATCATCCTTTAATCTAATCAAAGTTCTTTCCCCATGAAGTTTTTCCCACCATCCAAGGGGCTGAAAAATCAGAAGAAATCATTTATTTTCCTCCTAGACAAATCACTATAGATTGGACAAATGTTTTCTATGCACCCACTTTTCATGAAGTATAGAGTCTGTTGACTTAATTTTTGTCATAATTTGACAAGAAGTCATCAATAGTCTCAGTATACCATCAAACAGGGAAAAATGGTCAAGGTCTCAGATGAGACAACTGGTCAACCCTCCAGTAATGACCCACTGGAGATTTCCCGATGCAGGCCCCAAGCTTTTCCTAGGTAGATATTGCAGTTCTGGTCTTGCTATTTGATGATACTTATTTATCATCTTTTAAAAACTGAATTCTACCAATATAGTACTTTTCGTAAAAAAAAATTATCCAAATCCATAATTGTTACCACATGTCTATGACTGCTGGTGCTATGTAAGGGAGCCAGCATTGCTCTTCCACTGACAGACTACTAAGGTGGACCCCACCACCACATTCTCCTGCAGAGAGAATCACATGAACCCAGTGAGTTGGCCTGTGAGTGGCCGAGAGGTCATCCTAAGAAACAAAGTCTAGCTATTTCCCCATTGCCCCAAAGTCATGCTATTCCCCCCCACCCAGGAAAGACTAGGTCTCCATTTAACAGCTTGAACTGATTCTCTACATCTTGTGAGGAGTAATTAGACCAGCATATAGTACAAACTGGCATCACTGTTCTCTCAGCCAGAGGATTTGTGAATAAATTGTCAATCTTAAAAATAGCAGGAGTATTCTCACAAGACAACCTGGGCTGCCAACACCTCTGGGAATGTCATACTGTATGGCAACTCAAGGTTGGAGCTCCCACACAGCAGTAGTCACCCAAGCACAGTGGTCCCTCAACCACATGTGCCAGCTGACAACCCCTTCCACTTCCATCTACCAGCCCTCCAATCACACAGCTCACTTCTCCTACTATAAACCCTTCTCCAAGGACAGAGACTTTTGCTAATTATTTCATCAAGAGGGAGCCACACTGCAGGTATTGGATTTGTACAGTACTGTGGAGAAACCCTCTGCCTCCCACCTGTTCATGTCCTCCTGAAGTGACCAGGGCAGTGAGGCATGCATAGACACACAGCAGGAAGAAGGACACGGCAAGCCGTGGGGTATGCAGGTAGCCACTGGAAGAGGGCCGGCTGTATACCGAGAGCCAGATGTGGAAATCCTCCAGGTACTCGGTGAACTTTGAATAGAAAAGCTGAAACAGAGAACAATTCCCTGACATTGAGTGTTTATGTGAATGGAATGAAATCCTGATTGATTGCCTGTAATGTTCTGAGCTGAGACTCCAAATTTCTTGGCTTTCCTTTCTTCTTTTCCTTTTTTTGGCTGTACTGTGGTTTGAACTCAGAGCCTCAAGCTTGCTAGGCAAGTGCTCTACCCCAACCATTCTCCCAACCCTTCTTGGCTGGTCTATCCTGGCTGGCTTGCTGGATGTTATGTGGACACCCTACATCACTCCGTGCTCTGGCTCCTTTCCTGCCACCTCATCACCTTAAGTGTGGTAGCATCTTGCTATGGTCACATTCTTACCACCCTGGACTCTCGCCCAGTACAACATCTAGCTGAAGCCTCCTGAGCTGGAGTACAAAGCATCTTCTGCCTTACTTGTGTGGTTCTCAAGTGCCATCATGCCAGCTCAGAGAGACCTCCTCGCTAGGACCTCCTGTCACATCTCTCCTTTGTGATCCTAACAGATTTTCAAAGCTCTCTGTTCTCATCACTTCCCCCAACAACACAGTTCATCTTAATCAGGTCTAAGTGTAGCAAGAGCAGGGGCTGTCCACCTACATCTGTCTTCAATAGCCCTACATGTAGGGTCTACCGTGCAGCAAGTGGCCTGTTGTTCATGGACTGTCCTGAGTTTTAGAAGTTACAATCTTATCCAAATAATGTTAGGTGCTCCACACTGTTCTAGAGAAAAACCCCAAAAGTTCTTCTACATAGAACTGATATCATGGAGTACAAGAAAAATAATAAGGAAATACCAGCAAAAACAATTTTAACAGAATGAGGATATGTCTTTTGTATGTAGACTGGCCAAGAGGTAATGATTGCTTGATGGGACATAGGTATATGGGCTTATGGATGACTTAACTAGCAAGAGCAGATTTCTTGCATATGATTTGAAGCAATGTAGCTAAAAAAGGAACAATTGTCTATGGTATTCTGTCAGCGAAACAGTTGCTCTTACATGGAAATAATTACCTGAAGAAAAGTCTCAGTTGAAGCAGGGCCTTGATTTTTGATGCAGAATTTTTACTGGGCTGGAGGTGTGACTCAAGCAATAGAAAGCCTGCGTTGCAAGTGTAAAGCTCTGAATTCAAACCCGAGTTCCACCTCATTGGGAACCCTTGTTTCAAATTCATCTTGATTATGTTTCTTACTATGCCCAAGTTGGATGGGGCATAAATGAGAGACCCTATTTGAAAAAAATCCCTAAAAAGAAAAAGAACTGTGTGTGTGTGTGGGAGGGGGTATGGGTCAAGTGATAGAGGGCCTGCCTGGCAAGTGCAAGCCCTGAGTTCAAACTCCAGTATCACCTATATATAAGACAACACTCCAAATCGATTAATATTATAAATGAAATTTTCCCATGAGGAAGAAAAACTTAACTCATTTAAGACTGAGGATGTCTTGATAGTTGACTAAGGACAAAGTCAATGCAGTTAGAGTTGGAATAGCTTAAAGAAAGAACCGTGGTGAGAGACACAGAACTAAGTACTGTATGTGGCTGACCTGTTGGGTACACTGTGGAAGGGGTCCCACACAGGGCCTACCTTCCTGAAGCCAAGCCCTTGGCGCAGACAGGTAAGCTCCCGCTCCACACGGCCATCGCATCGGCTGGCATCCAGCCAGCACTGGGCAGGGAAGAACCAGCCCTGTCCTGAGTGTAGCTCCTTCACCATCACATGGCTGACAAACCAGCTCGGGGAACACCCACGGCTGTCATGCCAGAGGCAAATCTTCTGGAGCGGGCCCAGCTGGTCAGAAGCACTGGTGACACACACAAAAACATCTCTCATCAGCTACAAGTGTGCAGGATGGTGTGGGCACCTTGCCAACCCTGCACCATCCCTGGGGCGCTTATGGCCCCTGAGGGGCGGATGGGATGTGCCAAGAGATAACCATCATGCAGAGTGACAGGTGAAGTCCCCAGAACATGGCCAGTGAATAGTGATCAATGGTGCACACGGGGCCTCAGCATCTATCACAATTGTCCCCCTTATCTTCTGATTTGCTTCACATGGTTTCAGCTACCCACCATCAAACACAGTCCAGAAATATTCAGTGGAACCTTTCAGAAATAAACAATAAATTTTCAATACATTTTACTGCAGTCTATCATAGTTACTCTATTTTTGTTATTAGTGATTGTTAATCTCCAACTGTGCCTCACGGATAACTTAAACTTTAGTTGGTATGTAAGTGTAATAACAAACAGTAGATACAGGGTTCAGTACTGTCTGCTGTTTCTGGAATTCACTGGTGGGGCAGGGCTTAGAACACAGCCCTGAAGACAAGGGGAAACAAGTGTAGTTTCCCTAAACCAAAGTCACTCAGACAGAATTCACCTATCTGCATCTGGCATGAGTTAGTCTGAAGTTAATCTTTTCTCTCTTCATTTAAGACAATACTACAAATCAATTAATATTATAAATGAAATTTCCCATGAGGAAGAAAAACTTAACTTCAGTACTTTCATATTTCCGAGGATGTCAGGTGCTTGTACTCCTGTTTGGATAAATTACTCCCCTTCTTCTGAACCATGTCTTTGTGACACAATGTGTCACTGCTCTTCCAAATCAGGGATGATACTAATTAATTAACTTATTTCTATGTCTAATGACATAGAAATGCTGTGTTTCTAGCATACAAAATTAATAAGTCTCCCCCATCCTTCCTTTCTTCCCTCATGTAAACTACTTAATCTCCCCCAATACTAGATCTGATCATAAAATAGTTTGTATGTAAATCAATGCTCCCCACTAGAGACAATGTTCTCAATTTTACTTTGGTTTGTGATAAGGTGCCCCAATTCTGACTGTCCCTTCTTCCCCAAATCTGTGGTTGTAAAATTACAGAATACCTGAGGATAAAGGTGTGCCTGGAATTCCTTTCAAACAGGGGCTTCTCTGGACAGCAGAGTTCTCTGGTTTCTGTAAGCCCATTTTTGCCACATAAAATGATGAAAGCCTTAAAACACAGACACAGGGGTAAGAGCTCAGAAGAGTTCTGTACCACGAACCCACAGGGTCCTGCTGGGGCAGGGTGGGGCCTCCCTATACTTTCCCATCTTCCTCCTTCCACAAAGTCACCCAACAGAGTCACAGGATGGAGCCCTGGCATGAGAGGACTGAGGAACACATGGCCTTCCCAGCCCCTCCCAAGCCAGGGCTTCCCTGGACAGACCCACGTGGAGGACGTGAAAGTACAGCCTGGTACAGCTGGCCAGCTCTTCACATACTTGGTTGAGAAAAGGGAAGTCCCACCTGGGATGATTCACTAGCATTTGTCTTTCTTAGGAGAGTAAAAGAACATGACAATGGGGAAACAACTCAGCTCTTCAGTCTGTACAGTGGATGCTGGGGAAAGACCTGCTGGACCCTGGGGCGTGGCCAGGGCCATGGCTGGGCATCCACACGTACAGGTGCCCCTCAGAGAGGCACCTTCCCAATGGGGCTGGCCTTGTCACACAAAAACTTACAATTCTAAAGTAGTATAATCTATCAATCTTTCATTTAACAAAGATACTTATGCCTTGATTTTGAAATCTTTCCAAATCCCAAAATATATATTGTCTTTGACTAAATTTTGTTTTTCACCTTTCTGTCTCAAGCTTTTGGGATTTATTTTTTGTGTACAATGTGAAGATTGAGCATTACCTTCTTCTCCAAAGACAACCAATGTCCAAAACATTTTGTTGGATGATCTGCTCTTTCCTCTTTGGTTCATAAAACCTCAACATGTCTCCAGGTAGGTTCTGGGGTCTCTAATGTGTCCCACAAACTCGACAAGGCTACCCTGTATTAGCTATGACTTAAGTCTGGTTCTCAGTGGGGAGTGCCTGCCTGTCTTCTGTAGTTGGCGGGACTGCTCCTGTCATTCTCATGTTTTGTCAGGTTCTCTTCTGCATAAGCTTTAGAATCACTTAAATTCCACAGAAGAGCTCTCTAGAATCATGATCGACTTGGTTGAGTTTAACATCTTTATGTCTTAGGTTTTCATCTATAAATTAATAGAACCTAATTCACATTATCATTGTTGTTATCAATATTATAATTTGGGAGAAACAACAAGGAAAATTAGCTATCTGAGTCAAGAATGAACAAGCTTTTTGTATAGGTTTTTCATATATTTTGAACAAATTCTCTCCATGGTTGTTTATTTATGTTTGGTAAGCTACTTCTTTTTTTTCCTTTTGGTGGTACTGGGGTTTGAACTCGGGGCCTCCTACTTGATAGGTAAGCCCTCTACCACTTGACCCACTTCAACAACCTTTCTTTATGTTGGGTATTTTCGAGATAGGGTCTCCTGAACTATTTGCCCAGGCTGGCTTTGAACCGCGATCCTCCTGATCTCTGCCTCTTGAGTAGCTAGGATTACAGGTGTGACCCACTGGTGCCCAGCTGGTGAGCTACTTCTAGGTACCCTGCCATTTTTTGACTGTGCTGAGAAGACTCTTGCTTCCAATCATGTGAAATAAAGAGCATTGCTGTTTGACAGTGATGATAATTTTTTCCAAAACTTTGTTAAACTTACTGGTTCTAATTACTTTGCTGAGATTCATCTGCATTTGCTATGTGACAAGCACACCGTGTGTGTGCTCCTCTCCCTGCTTCTAGCTGGACCCCCCTCCTCCACACACCTAGACCTATGGGTGCCACAAAAGCAACCATGGTTCCCATGAGAAATGGGGAAAGTGAGTTATAAGTGTGGATGGAAGCTTCCCCTCATCAGGGTGACTTCTCCATAGATTTGTCTGGGCACACATCTGCTAACACACCTGGCTCTGGCCAGGACTTCAGTGTCTGCCTCTGCAGACCTCTCCTCCACAGTCCACTCTGGCATGGGTGTACCCCTGTGCTATTAGGCTGGTCCTCCTCTTTCATCCTCCTGCCACTTCCTCTTACTCACACCTCTTACCTCATCCTCTGCCTGCTCCTTTAAGCCCCTGAATGCCCAACACAGTCCTGTGCCCACCTCGCCTCAAGGCTGGTGTGGTGAATCTTACTCCTTTCTCCCCAAATCTACCTCTGTGTGACTGGGTAATGAATACAATGTTAACTCGAAAGAGCACAACTTGGTTCTCAAAGTCTCAGAAACAAAACCAGTACTTGTTGGCTGCTTTCCATCGGTGAAAACAGGAAGAGAGAAGGGGACTCCAACTGGTGGAGGGCAAGCAGAGCAGTTCTGCCCTGACATATGTGCAGGTCAGGGAGGGCAGTGGGAAGGGTGGACAAGCTGTAGTCCAGAAATTAGAATGGGTCCGGTGGGGACAAGTGATTGACAGGAACACCAATGCATTACGTTGTCACTTCTGGTGCCTGTCAGGTCTGTCCACACCCTTAGGCCCCACAAAAGACCTCCCCAAGAGCCTTGAGTTACCTTTGAGGTAAAATGGGCTGGCGACCGGAAACCAGTGTCTATGACAATGGCATATAGTTGGTGGTAAGGTGGCGTGTCTTTTTGCAGAAAAATGTGGCCAGTTTTCTTTTTTTCATGACAATCTACACATCTGGCTTTTATAACCAAGAATCCATAAAGAATCATAAAAAGCACAATAAAAACACTGGGAAGCAGGTTTTGTGGGTGGCTGTCAAGAAAGGAAGAGAAACAAAGAATTACTCAAGGATAACTTTGTTCTTTGGCAGTGCTGAGGATCAAACCCGGGGCGTCTTGCATGCTAGGCAGGCACTCTACTGTTGAGCTCCAACCTTGAGAACTACTCATGAAACTGACATTCAGGAAACACTGAAGCCCTCCCTCATGCACAGGCCTCTGCTGGCCTTGGGATGTTTCCAAACACATGCTCAAGGCTGCATGGAGGAAGTATCAGCAGACCCACGGCTGCCCCAGCGTCAGGGACCAGCACCCTGTGGCCTGGAATCCAGGACCAAGGAGGCCTGTGATGGATGACCCAGCGCCCCATGGCGGAGGCTGTACCCACTGGATCTGAGGAACCTTCCTTGGGAAATGTGGACACAAGTGCCAGTGTCACTGCTCTTGTAAAGATTCAGCAATGTGACATATGAAGATCCTTCAATATCCAGGTGTGGTGACTTCCCCAGTCCCTCTACTCCCAGTAGGGCAAGGTAAGGAGATGTTGGTTCCAAGTAGCCTCCTCAATATCCCACCTGTCCTTATGGGTGGCACTGGCTGCTCACTACTGGAAGGTCACACTCCTCAGTTCCCTGTAACGGTGCTGGTTGTAGAAGGGGTCATCCAGCCCCCTGTGGACCCAGTGTCCATACAGAATCTCCTACCTGGGACTTTAACCTAATAAGGTTTTCTGCTTGGATTCAAGCCTTAGAGAGCTTTGACAGGATTTCAGAAGGTGGCTCTGGAGTCCATGACGCGTGGGGACATTGTGCTCTCTCTACCCTGCTTCACTACTCCACCACCCTGTTAAGGATTAGGCTCTGCTATTGGTTTCTGGCCTGCTACTCTTCTTCCTTCCTCCCCACCAAGACCAGGATGTGCTTGTTCTAAGCTATACCCCTAACAGATCAGACTTACCTAGCTTCATCCTGACCTTCTTATACCTGGACTATGTGCTGGAGCCTCCTGGACTCTGACCAGATGTACCTGTGCTACTTACTGCCTCTGCATGACTTCAGAGGGAGCCTCCTGCCAAGCTTCTTCTGGTATTCTTGACCCCCTGTCCCATGGGTAGTATCAATGTTGCAGAACCCAGAGCCGGGGCTGCATGCTCTCCACCCTGACTTCCAGACATCTGGTGACCTTGTTTGGAGCCAGTACTTGTTACCTTAGTAATTAATACCTTATTTTCTGACTATCTGATCCACTGACTAGTCTACCAAGTACTACTGTGATAGAATTTCCTATTACATGAATATCAGGGAGAAACACTCTTCCACTGAACACCCCAGGAGGTTTAGGCCTGCCCTGGGTGTTTATTCAGCATGTGTTTAATGTTTACTAAGCATCTCCAGGGGCCAAGCTCTAGGTTGAACAAGAGGCAATGGGGTGAGTGAGACAAGAAAGGTTTCTGCTTGACCTTGATTTGCTCACATTCCTGATTCTAAATATAGTTGTTTAGCGGATATGTAAACATTGCCCTTCCGAGAGACAAAAGGAAGTTATTACTAATTAGGCTATGATAATAAGTAGAAACCATGGTAGACAAATGTGGCAGTGTCTTCACTGTGCACATTAACCCAACTGATAATTCACACAGCACCACAGCTAAACTCAAATAAGAAAAGTGTGCTGACTTTCTGAGTTTCTAAATCTCTTATCAGTGAGTTTAAGTAGAGACAGACATTTGAATATAACATTGCATGACAATTATCTTCTGATGGATATCAGATATTCCAAAACCAAAACAAAATATGCAACATGGATTTCAAGCAACTGCTTAAGTATACGTGGACATCTTGAGCAGGCAGTAGTCCAATAAAAGCAAGCAAGTCTTAATTTAGAAAATGGAACTTACCTCTGTAGCTTGGAAATATCACTCACTTCAAAAGTGGCATTCAGCTTTCGTCTGAGGATGGAGAATGGTGCCAGGCGATGATAGCTAAGAGGAAAATGCAGATTAGAACACCCAATATCCACCCTGCAGACAGTGTGACCGTATGCTTGCTAAGAAGTATGAAGGAAGACAAGTTCCAGTCTTTGTAGCTTCATGTAGGCTAGGTCACTGTGTCCACCCAAAACCCAAATTAGAAACACCTTTGTGACTCTTCTGATGTTCCAGATGGCCTCATGTCCAGGCATGGAGACCATCCTGAGACACCAGCTGTCAGAGACTATCAGGTTCAAGACAAAACCTTGCTGTGGACAGACTTCAGTAACTAGACACTCTGCAAACCTTTGTAAAGCCTACTGTTGACTTTACAAATACCCTGTCATTGGTAACTCGTACCATGGCAACCACTATAAATATTGCCTTTTTGAAAAACACAAAACCTATCTCAACCTCATCTTTGGGAAGTTTCCATAAGTTACTCATTTTTGTACTGCTGGCTCTTACAAACATGCCTAGCAGAGAGTAGTATGTAATAGAAAATGAAGGACTGTATTAATGCATAACTTGATATCAAAGTGCAATATTGAACCATTGCCTGAAAGTTTGACTGGCACCATGTAATTGAAAAAGGGTGCAATGGAGGAAAAGCAATAAATATCTATGAACGTTGCCGAGATGTTGGGATCTGGACACATTTGTCAGACAACCACAATAAATAATTACTTATGGTTTAATTTCTCTTAAGATGGAAGGTATTGTTTAATGTGTCTAATCATTGTTGAGTCTCTATCCCATTGAGAGGGTAAGGACAGCAAAAGTCAATGAACTAAGCCTCCCATGGAGTTGTTAGGTTTCAAAGACAGAGGTCACATGCTTTTTTCTTTTCATGTGGAAGATAGATCCAAGTATAAGCATTATCATATATAAACGTATATGCACAATATGTTTCCAAAAGTGGGACTGCTAGAAGAGATTAGGAGAGGAGGGAAAGAAGAAGAGAATGACAGGGAGTGAATAATATTGAAATACATTGCATCTGTTTAGGAACAAGACACAACAAAACACACTGAAACTGCTGAATGATATAGGGTAGGGGAAAAGGGTGAGGAAGAGTAAGAGAGGGGGTTACACTGATTAAAGTACAATATACTGACAGGTAAAATCTCCACTGAACAGTGAGCAGACCCTTAAACAATGAAGGACAGGAGTGTGACCAGGTCATGATAAGGGGAGGGCATAGTGGGAGGGGGAGGGTAAACGAAGAGGTAAAGAAGGTGAATATGGCTGATGTACTTTCTACACAGGTGTGAATATGGAACAATGAAACCTGTCAAACAATGTACCCTTAGCACAACAATAAAAAATTTTAAAAAAGAAATAAAAGAGAGAAAGAAATTTAAAAAAAGAAATCTGTTAAAGAAGGGGGAAGGGGAAGAGGGAGAATGATGGAAGGGATGAACCAAACCAGGGTACATTATAGCATATATGGAAATGTTCCAATGAAACACCCTATACAACTTTTATATTCTAACAAAAATGTTTTAAAATTTTTAACATCTCTTTGCCTCAATAAAGTCATATTAATTAAAAAAAATTATTAGTTTTGTTTCTTGGCAATAGACCTTTTCCAGCTTAGTGACATGACAGACTGCCAGAAGGTCCCTTGAAGGCTACTCATGGAGGAGCAGAGGTTTCCCTTCCTCATGAAGGTCATTTTCAAGCCAGATTCTGGGGTGGGAAGGGCTGGTGAGAGTAGAGGACCTCCTGTGCCTGACTGTGAGTTGCACACCCAAAGGCTGCTTGCATTTCTACAATAATAAAATAAATGTCTCCTCAGTCATTCACCTAGTGACTCATTTCTTAATAGACATTGAGAAATGTCCTGCCAATCACCATGGGGGAGAGGGTGAGCAAGAAGACCAGGTAGAAACTAGCCTTCCCCTAGAGTGGGAGAACCAAGATGGCAATGCCAACAGGTATAAGAGGCAGACTATTGAGGTTGTACCAACCAAGATTGCTCCAGCTTTTCAGGCGGAAGATGTGAGTCAGGCAAGGCTCTGGAATCTTGGCCAAATTTTGCAGAAGAAAAGCAGTCACTTGATGAAACTCTCAGACTTATCCTCAGCCTTGTGCCCCTACCTGCAGTTAACTTTTCCTGGAGAAGTTCCTGATTGTGGAGAGAGATTTTCAGATCTCCACTCTCTCTTATCCCAGAACAGGCATCGGAGCCACCGGAAATGTACTGTATAGTTCACTGACTTGGCGAAATATTTGTTTGGAGGTCTTCTGTCATAGTCAGCATCCAATAGGGACAAATATCCTATGTTCGCTCCTAAAAAAGAAAAAAGATAAATAAAGGACATACATGCTGAAGTTTGTACACTCTACCCTGGATCGTGGACAGAGAAGCAGGCTGTGGGGACAAGGAAAAAAAATGTAACAGAGAAAGAACTGGTACATCAAATTCTGGCCATTGCTGTCCCTGTGGAATTTAATGGTGAATTAAATGCATCTAGACCCTTGCTTGGGAATAGCAGAGGGCTTGGAAAGAAAACTGTGTTTCTAGTTTCTCCGTGTTCCCTGATCAAGGGAGACACCACTGACTGGAGAGTTCATTTGGTTCAGCTGCCATCGGAGTCACTCGCCACTGTCTGCACTCATCAGCCAGCCTCCAAACATCAATGTGAACCCAGTCTTCACCCTTCCTGGTAAGGACGGTACAACGACCCATGTGCTCTTTGTCTATCATTCCCATATAATTTTTAGATTTAAAAGCAAAATCATTTAACATTCCACTATTTAAATTTTTCTCCTAAGATTTTGTTTTTGTTTTTTGAACTCAGGGCCTCACACTTGCTAGGTAGGCACTCTATCCACTTGCCGCACTCCACCAGCTTCTCTTAAGGTTTTTAAATAAATGGTATTGCAATAATTAGATATTAGCTGTTTGTAAAAATATAGAATTAGAGCCATTCCTCCTACTGTACATAATAATAAACAGCAATTGATCAGAAATCTCAATGCAAATAATAAAACTGTACAAGGACTAAGAGAGCACATGAATGACTTCTCTTAGAACTAGATCTAAGGAATTTTTATTTTTTGGTGGTGCTGGGGTTTGAACTCATAGCCTTGTGCTTGCTAGGCAGGCACTCTACCACCTGAGCCACTCCACCAGCAATCTTTCTTTTAATGAGTGATAGTGGGAGAGCATTATGTGTCTTTCTCCATCTTTTTACTGTTTTTTTTTTTTTTGTGGTACTGGAGTCTGAACTCAGGGTTCCCTGCTGCTAGGTAGGTACTCTACTACTTGAACCAGGCCTCCACCCAGGAATTCATTTTTAACAATTAATTGAAATCTAAGAGTCACACACACAAAAAAAATTGGTAAATTTTACTATTAAAATTTCTTTGCAAGCCAAAAAAAAAAACCAATAAAGTAAAAAAATAAATGAACTGTAAAAAATGTGCTATTTATATTATGAAAATGTGACAAGTTATTGCAACATGTAAAGAGTTCTTAAAAATCAAGAAGAAACCAATTCAATAGAAAACTGGGTATATATGAACAGTTCACAGAAAAAATTGGTTAAGTGCCTTTAAACATATGAAAAATATTCAACTCCATTCATATAAAAACTATCATTCTTCCAGGGCATGGTGGCACATATCTGTAATTCCAGCACTCAGGAGACTAAGGAAGGAGGACCATAAGTTCAAGGCCAGCTTATGCTACATAGTGAGACTCTTTCTCAAACAAATAATGAAGAGATAAAGAAAGAGAGAGAGGGAAGAGGGAGGGAGGAAGGAAGGGAGGAAGGGAGGGAGGGAGAGAGGGAGGGAGGTAGGAAGGAAGGAAGGAAGGAAGGAGAGAAGAGGAGAGGGAGAGAGGGAAGGAGGATAGGAGGGAGGGAAGAAGAAAGAAAGGAGAGAGGGAGGAAGGAAGAGAGGGAGAGAGGGAGGGAAGGAGGGAGGGAAGGAGGGAGGGAAGGAGGGAGGAAAGGAGGGAGGGAGGCAGGAAGAAAGGAGAGAGGAAGAGAGAGGGAGGAAAGGAGGGAGTGAGGAAGGAAGAGAAGGAAGAAAGACAGGAGAGAGGGAGGAAGGAAGGAAGAGAGGGAGAGAGGGAGGGAAGGAAGAGAGGGAGAGAGGGAGGGAGGAAGGGAGGAAGGACTGAATGAAGGAAGGAAGGAGGGAGGGAGGGAGGAAGGGAAGAAAGAAAGGCAAGAAGGAGAGAGAGAGGGAGTCTTGTGAGCCTCCTGAGCTCCTGTGCTACTGTTCTAACTGGGGGCGACTGAAGATTCAGAAAGGACAAATGATAGAAAGCAGGCATGCAGAAAGTTGGGGCCAGGTGTACTGGGTGCTTGGATGGAGACACACAACAGCCTTGTTGCTTCTTTTCTCTTATTCTTTAAAACCTTACTTCTAAAGTTTTTCTTCTTTTCTATTCTTTAAAACCTCTTTCCATAGACTCACACTGTTCCATGTTTCCTTTAATCTCTCTTAAAGTCTTTGCCCTCATTCTTGCACTGTCCCATGTTCCCTTTAAAGTCTGAGTTCTCAGACTTGCAGTCAGACAACGGCAGCCATGTCTAAAAACTGCAATAGCATAACTCTTAAAGTCTCGGTCCTTAGACTTGCACTGTCCCATGTTCCCTTTAAATCTGGGTTCTCAGACTTGCAGACACACAACAGCAGCCTTGTCTAAAAACTGCATATGCATTAACTCTTAAAGTTTCTAAGACTTGCACCAACCCATGTTCTCTTTAGCTTTTTCTTTAACATAGCTTTTCTAAAGCCTATCTATAAAGTTCTCAGTGCAGAAAGCTGCTCTGGTGGAGAGCATAGCCAGCAGCAGCAGTGTCAGCAGTGGCCTCACAAGCAGCCCACAGGCTGCCAATCAAAATCCAGAAATCAATCTGTCAATCAAAAAGCCTCATTCTCCTTCAGCAAGTCTTTTATACCCAGCGGTAAACAAGGACATGGAGCAACATTTCTCAGGGAGGGGTGTAATATTGTAACAAGAGAAACCTACAGTTCCTACTTCTTCAAACATTAAACTTAGGAAAAGCAGCTGTGCATCATTTTGTCTCTCACTCTCTTCTGCGGCTGGGGCCATGCCAAACTCAGCCTGCAGATCATTGAGCACAACTGTGCTCATGTCAAGTTCTCATAGGCTTCTCATAATCCACTCCCCACAAGGGAGGGAAGGAGAGAGGGAAGGAGGAAGGAAGGAAGGAAGGAAAGAAAAAAGGAAAACTGTTTTTCAATTATTAGACTGACAAAATTCAACAGTCTCAAAACACTCTTTGCAAAGCTGTGGGGGAAAAAGTACTCTCCTCCATTGTAGGAAAGGTGTCTGGAACACTTACCAAAACCAGAGATGCATTTTTGATCTAGGAATTTAAATTGAAGAGCTACTCCTCCCCTAATTTAGCAGAGTGTATGCAAATGTCTCCTGTGCACATAGGTCACATAGTTCAAGGGCTGACTGAATTAACCACAATGTATACCACGGAGAGCACGCAGCAGTAACAGATGAAGGTACTGATGAGTGAATACAGGTTGGGGTGACGTCTATCATATAATTAAAGTAAGAGAAGCTGTTATGGTTTGCATATGAAATGTACTCCATGGGCATATGTGTTGAATGCTTGGTCCCCAGCTGGTGATGCTATTTGGGGAGGCTCTGGAAACCTTAGGAGGTGGTACCTAGCTGAAGGAAGTCGGTCAGTGGGGGGCGGGTCCTTGGGGGCTGTGTCTTTCCCTGGACTTTCCTGTCTCTCTCTCTGCTTCCTGTTCACCCTGAGGTGACTGGTGTCCTCTGCCACATGTTCCTACCTCAATGATGTTCTGCCTCACCAAGGACCAAGAATTATGGACTGAAATTTCTGCATCCGTGAGCCAAAGTAAATCTTTCCTTCCTTGAATCAAAATAAATCTTTCTCTCAGGTGTGCATCACAGCAACAAAAGTCAAAGACAAGAGCACATTGCAAAAGAGTGTAAGGAATTTTAAGAAAAAAGGGGAAATAGTATGTGCTTATTCCCCCCTGAAAAAGAAACGTGGAAAAGATAAAATAAGGAATTAAAACAAACTCCAACGAGGGAAAGAAGAGAAAGTAGAGGGCAAGGGTGCTGGAGGTAGGATGTAGTACAGAGTGTATATGGCCTTAAATACACTTTAGAACTGAAATGATACAGTGCTCACATATTCCAAAAATAAACTTAAATAAAAATGACTGGACATGCAGAGAAAACGGTGAACCTAACTGTATATAAAACTGATAGCCAATCCTGTACAACTATAATATGCTTATAGTAAAAACATCAAAAATAAAACAGAAAAAGACCCCACACACAAAGAGAAAAGAACTAATTCAAATAACACTCGAGTGTGTGCTCTTTGTACAATATAGTCAAAGCAAAACAAAAACCCTAGAAAGACTGAAGTTCAGTAGGTTTGTTATTGGTAGGGCTGCAAGTGCTTTAATTCTGAAAGTATTTTGTATTTATGGCAGGACAGAGCAAAGTATGTCTGAAGTGACATTACTGGGAGCTAGAGTCCTTGCTGCAAATGGATCCAAATGTGCAACAGAGGAGGTAGTAAGGAACCCAGGGTATGGATTTGAGTTGGAGGCATCAGCATAAATTCATTTCTCTCTCTCTTCCCTCTCTCCCTCCTCTCTCTCTCCCTCTCTCTTCCTTCCTCTCCCTCCCTTCCTCTCTCTTTCTCTCCCTCCCCTCTCCCTCACCCTCCTTCACTCCTCTATCTCTACCTCTCTCCCTCCCACTTCCTCCCTCCCTGTCTCTCTCTCTCCCTCCCTCTCTTACTCCCTCATTCTCTCTCTTCCTCCTTCTCTTCCTTATCCTCCCTCACTCCTTCTCTCTCTCTTCCCCTCCAGCTCTCTCTTCCTGTCTCTCTGTGTCCCTCTCTCTCCCTTCCTCTTTTTTTCTCTCCCTCCCTCACTTCTGCTCTCTCCCCCTCCTACTTTCTCTTCCTTTCTGTGCCCCCCCCGCCACAGTTATTAAATCAACAACATCTCAACAGCAATGACCACATTTCTCTCTAAATATCATTCCCCAGGAAGATGGGGCTAATTCTGAGGAAGTGCAGGTCAAGTGCCAGACAAGCTGGGTACCCTATGCCCCGGGAAGCAAGGAAAAATCTTGGTGCTCACCATGTCCTGGCAAGGAAATTCAGGATGCAACTTGAAGTGTCTCCCCCTGGAATAACTTGAGCATCAAAAAGGAAAATGTCAGAAGTGAACTGAGCATACCGAATTTTTGCAAAACTGCATGCACAGAGAGACAGAACAACAAGGGTGAGAGAGAGAGACAGAGACAGAAAAGCTGATTCCCAAATCAGCTTTCCACATAGTTCATGGTGGAATTAGAAAATCCATCATTGTGCAGATTGCTGCCTGTCATCAATGCAGGCATAAAGCCATGGTTGAGAGCTGTAGGGAAGAGGATAGTTGATGACTGACCAGCCACAGGTCGCATCTGTGACCACATCACAGATGACCCAATAAGCACAAAGAGGAAAATGTCCTGTTAGAGCAGAGCGCCTAGAGAATGTCCCCTGGGGCATCGGGCACATAGTCAAAGTCAGCATATACCGAGTGTGCTCCATGACTTTTAATAATTCAAAACAGGCAATCCTAGCGTGGGAGATGCTCAGGAAATAACCGGCCTGGACTCATGACAAAGTCAAGGTTATGAGGAAAAGACAAAAGGGACAAGCTGACTCCAGCATGTGGTGGGTCTGCCGGAGAAGTTGACAGTGTTCAAGATTTTAAAACTAGAGCGGGCTGAATGGACCAAGGTAAAGTACACCCATGGGGACACATTGAGAAACTCTTTTGAACATTGACGTAGATACAAATAAGGAAAGACAGGACTGTAAAGTAGGTACAGTGTGTATGGGGTACGTGTGGGAGGGGGAGGTGAATGGAGGAGATGAAGGTGAGGGAATATGGTGGAGGCACTTCATATACTTACATGAAATAGAAGAAACCTCTTGCAATTGCTGTAAGTGGGGCGGGGAGGGGGTTGAGGGGAAGAGATGCTGGGAGTAATCTAATCAATGTACAATGTAAACCTATTTGAAATTGTCACAATGAATCCCCCTGTACAACGAATATATCCTAATTTAAAAAGTTTGTTTAAAAAAACTATTTTCAAAACAAAACAAATAGATTTTAAAGGGAGTGGAATGGAATGCATTCATGAACTCTGAGTTAATTCTGAACTTAAAAAAATAAAGAGATATACTCAACCAGCAAAAACCCTTGTTCCTTCCTATTATTGCTTATACTCTCTCTTCAACAAAATTAGAGATAAGGGCAAAATAGTTTCTGCTGGGTATTGAGGGGGTGGGGGGGAGAGGGAGGGGGCGGAGTGGGTGGTAAGGGAGTGGGTGGGGGCAGGGGGGAGAAATGACCCAAGCCTTGTATGCACATATGAATAATAAAACAATATAAAAATAAAATAAAATAAAAGTAAAGAGATATAAAGATATTTGGGGAAATATATGTATTGCTATTCAAACTGCAAGAATTTGAATTATGAGCAGTGGAGGAGTTAATATTGGTATCTCTTTGGTTATGATAATGGTACTGGGTTTGGTAGGAGAATGCTTTGTTTCCATGTGCATGGGAAAGTATTGAAGAGTGGAATGTCAGCTGGACACTGGTGGCTCACGCCTGTAATACTAGCCATTTGGGAGGCTGAGATCAGAAGTTTGACACCAGTCCCAACAAATAGTTTAGCGAGACCCCATTCCTAAAAATAACCAGAGCAAAATGGACTAGAGGTGTGACTCACACTGTAGAGTGCCTGCTCTACAAGTGCAAAGTCCTGAGTTCAAACCCCAATCCCACCAAAAACAAAGAGTGTCAAGGGACTGAAATGTCTTCTCCACTGGGTCACCTTCCTCAAAAGACTGCTCCCTGCACACTCATGCACCATGAAGATAAAGTCAGTGTTGCTTGTTGGGCGCAGGTGGCTCCTGCCTGTAATCCTAGCTACTCAGGAGGCAGAGATCAGGATTGTGGTTCAAAGCCAGCCCAGGTAAACAGTCCGTGAAACCCTATCTCATAAAAACCCAACACAACAAAGAGCTGGTGGAGTGACTCAAGGTGTAGGCCTCGAGTTCAAACCCTAGTACCTCCAAAAAAAAACAGGTCAGTGTTGTTGCAAAAATGCCCACAAATTCCCAACCCAAGCACAAAGCCCTGAGTTCAAACCCCTGGACCACCACACATACAAGAAAAAAAGTCAACAAATGATGAATTCAGGTGATATAATACAGGTGCTCATTTTTTTTTTTTTTTGCTTTACTATCAGTTTGAAATTTCTTACAATCAAATATTGTGGAAAAGAAACATGAAATGCAAGATTTTTGAAAATTGCCATTTGATCAGTCATACAGTTTGAACCATTTTTAAAACAAATGACTAGCTTTAAAGTGAATGAAGCACAGAGGAAAACCAGTATATACCAGTAAAATTTAAAAACGATGGGCCCCCATTCACCAAGAGTCAGAAGCCCAACTCTTCCTTCGAGGGCCAGTGCATGCTGGAAGTGAGGTAAAGCAGGTGTCCCTGTGTCTTTGGATTGCCGTGTGACTTCTTAGTGCTGTGTGGCTCACGTCAACCTCTAGAGCTTCTCACCCTTGCAGGGGTGGCCACAGAGGCTCAGAGCAACCAGGGTGGGACTGCTGTGGAGGGATGAGCCTCAAAGCCAGTTAGGTCCCCTGCCTACTACTTCTGGCAAAGTCCAGTTCTCTCTGCTTAGGCATGAAACACAGACACACTCCCCTCTACAGATCTGCCCCTGACAGACAGCAGGGAGGCCAAGGCAGCAGGTCAGAGGCAAAGTCAAGGTGCCAGAGGCAGGGCAAACGAACAGTTGTGGCCAGTGTCTCAGCAGAGGCCAGTCTGAGGAAAGAAGGGTGGGTGCTGTAGGCATAGACCCAGCCACAGCCATCCCAGGACCACAAGAACAGGAGCCACTGTGCAGGGGACAGGGGACAGGCAGGCAGCATGCCCCACCTCCATACCACTTGGGGACAAGGACTATACTTATTGTGGGGTGGTTTTCACAAGTGTATCTGTTGAGAGATGGTTTGTATATAAGCAGGCAGAGAAACAACTCAGCTGTGTGTGTCACAAGGAAAGAAAAATACTGCTATACACACAGAAGGTGTCCTTGTCACCTAAAGAGAATTGAATACTAAAAAGATTCCTCTTGTCACTGACCTTGGCGTGGAATAGCTGGTATGTAGATTTGAACAATCTGCTCATCCCAGAAATAGATTTGTTTCACAAGAAACTCAGATGGACTGGGTTTCTCAGAGAATCTAGAAAGCAAAAATGAAGTCAGGATGTTTAGACTTCCTCCTCTGTCAAACACTTTAGTCATGTAATTTCTGTTAAACATCTTTCTCGGTGCAAGAACACAGTGCGAGCTAATAAGCTTCAAATGTTCTTATCCCGTGGCACCTCTTAGCCTTTTAATACAAACTTCTATGTAAGACTTTCATCCCTGATTTCATAATAAAATAAAGACTTCAGGAAAGACAACAAGAAATAACCAGCAGAGTTTGTAGGAATAAAACAAACAGTGCTGACCCCATTGGTACGGCCTGAACCACAGCACACAGACACATCCCTACTAAAGTTTTTACCATAGTTAGCCAGTATCAGAAAATCAAAAGCTGCATGTTTTCTCTCATTTGTGGAATGTAGACCTACTACAAATACAGCAAATTATGAAAAATAGGTCACGCTAAGGGGAGGTCACATATGACAAAGGGTAAACGAAAGAAGTTAAGAAGGTGAATATGGCTGATGTACTCTTTATACAAGAATGAATATAGAATTTGTAAACCTGTTGAAATCACCATAAAAAAGGGATTAAGATAGAAATAAGAAATACATATATATAAAATACATATAAACATGGAAATGCCACAAGGAAACTCCATGTGTAGCTATCTTAAACAAACAAAAATGCCATTTGTTTCTTCTTCTTTTCTTGTACAAAATTGGAGAACAGGAGCAAGGAACAGGTCCTGCCTGGGGGTAGGGAGACTGGTACCAGTAGCAAGGGGGAGGAGGTGGGGAAAGGGTGAAAGTGGTGGAAACACTGTGTACTCGTGTATGAAAATGGAAAATGAGAGCTGCTGAAACTATTCCAGGAATGGGGAGGGAGGAAAAGGAGAATGATGGAGGGGTGAATTCAACTATGATAGATTTGATATATTGCAAGAACTTTTGTAAATGCCACAGTGTACCCCCACTCAGAACAACAAAAAAAGAAAAGAAAAAAATAAAATATTTTCCTATAAAATAAAAGGAAGCATAAATAGGAAGATCGTGGTCCAGGCTAGTCTGTGCGTAAATGTGAGCCCCTATCCCAAAAATAACTGTAGCAAAAAGAGCTGGGGGTGTGACTTAAGTAATTGCTTAGCAAGTGGGTGGCCCTGAGTTCAAATCCCAGTACTGCCAACCTCCCTCCACCCACCCACACATTCTCAAGGACCATGTCTTGCTACAATCTCACTGTTGCTGTAGCTGTCATTCTCAACGAACACACCTCACTAGCAACATGACCGGAAATGCTCTTCTTGTGACATTGGAAAATTCAATTTGTATCTGCAGTGATTCCTGGGGGTTTTCAGAAAGCCCAAGGAACTGATGAGAATTCACCTTATTACGAAGCAAGACAAACGTCATCATCATATTTCTCTTATTATCCTGTCATTGAAAAGAAAACAAGTTGAGCAAAATTTGCCTTTGGCAAGGCAAGCGTGTGCAAAATCAGCCCAGATGAAGCGAGGGCTCAGGGATGGCTGTGCTTACAGGGCTGTCTTCTTCTCCAAACTCCACAGTCACTGGAGTCTCCAGTCGTCCTCTGCGGATGGGTCTTCTGCTGGAGCAGCTGTAGAGGGTGAGGCGCACAAGGCCACCAACCTTGGGAAACAAATACCATCCCAGAAAATGAAGCCAAGAGTTGACTCAAAAAGAAAGGCAGGAAACCAGAGTATAGTGACAGCACCATTACGGTTCTACAAAATCACCTGCCAGACACCAGGGGATCACACAGAAAGGAAAACTGGTACTAGGTAGGGCGATAGGATTTGGGTTGAGTTTAGTGTTTTAGTTATGTTATTTTTTTTTAAATGAGTAATTTTTAAAGTTTTTGTTTTTTTTAAGGACTGGCGGAGTGGCTCAAAGTAAGAACAAGAAACAAGATTTTGGGGTGGGGAGGCGGGGAGATGAGGGGGGCAGGCCCGGACCGCGCGTGCAGCTGTGGGACGTTTGGCGCTCTCCTCGCCTTCTCTGACACCATCATGCTCCAGTTACTGCATGGATCTACTTTTGGCATCGTGGTTGGTATGTACCTGGCTCAGAACTATGACATTCCAAACCTGGCTAAAAAAGTTGAAGAGATTAAAAAGGACTTGGAAGCCAAGAAGAAACCCCCTAGCTCCTGAGGCCCGCTCTAGCACAGTGTTCTGGATTCACCAATTCTTCTGCTTCTGAGGGGCCATCCTCACGTCCTAATCCCAAAACTCTTGCTCTCTTCTCCAGTCTCAGCGATTTTCTTCTTTACCAGATGCTGTGTGTTGCCTCAGAGAAAAATGGGACTACAAGATAAGAACTGCTCTTAATGTTTCCAGCAGCCTCACCTCTTCCCGTGTCTTCCTTCTAGCTACTTGGGAGGTTCTAAGACTGGAATTACAGCGCTAGGTTAGCAAACACAACCTTTAATTAGTAGTTTATTCCCTCTTTGGGATTTCTACTATCTTTTGTCAAAAGAAAAACTGATGAGTTTTGTATAGCTGACCAGGTATAAGTAATGCTGATTTTCACAGTTTAGCAATTATAATGGGTGCTTGCTAAATACTTGTTACAAAATTTGTTGATTAAAAGTAATTAAGATATGTAAAAGCCGGTTTCTGGTGAATTAGCCATTTATTTTATACTGTTGTCAGGCAGCTCCACAGTTGATAATTTAACCATTAAATCAGTTTGCTCCTCATTAACTGAGAAACTATATTCTGGGAATTCTGTATAGAACTGGGGAATTTTTTAAAAATATGCAAAATTAAAAAAATAAAAGAAACAAGGTTTTATTTTAAAAACTATGTTTTTACTCTAAGAATTCGTTCAAAAAGAAGTAGCTGCTTGTTGTAGATACCCAGGAAGATGTAAATATTTAGAAAGGAAATAACCCATTGCTCACAGAAGTCACATTTGGGGACGGCACATTTCAAGCTTTTTCTATGCACTGAGGACACATTGGGCAAATAATTTTTTTTGCATAAAATATTTGAAGTCCCTAAAACTCCCTAATGGATGTAATTTTAATTGGCTCTCTATAAATTATAACTCACTTAAGTGGCCCACGAGCTACACATCTTACGATGCACAGCCAGGTGCATTTCTGTTTGGGCTAGCACAAATAATGTCTTGGATAAGTAGCAAAACAAAACATCTTTCTGTAAATAAATCTTTTCTCATGTCCTCAAGTGTGGATGCCTGCAAGTGTGACAATTGGACCTGGGTTTGTGACACTTGTGAGGTCTAGTGAGAGAATGGTTTCTGAAAGCTGGTACCAACCAATCCCTTGGTTCACTTGCTACACTTCCACAAGCAGTATTGTGTGTGTGTGTGTGTGTGTGTGTGTGTGTGTGTGTGGTACAGAGGTCTGAACTCAGGGCCTACACCTTGAACCACTCTACCAGCCCTTTTTTGTGAAGGGTTTTTTCAAGATAGGGTCTTGCAGAACTATTTGCCCCAGCTGACTTCGAACCATGATCCTCATGATCTCTGTCTCCTGAGTAGCTAGGATTTCAGGCTTGAGCCACCAGCACCCAGTTCATAGCAGTATTTTTAAATAGTTGCACTTTTGTAAGTTAAAAAAGTCATTTATTGCAATTTCTTTATTGCTTTTGGTATGAATTATTTTCATATGCTTGTTAGCCATTTCTAGTTCCCTAATTTAAAAAAATATGCAAATGCATTATGAGTATTTTTGATCAAAATAAGATGCACATCATTAATTTGTACCTTAATTAATTATCAATCTATTGGGTGCCCAAATAAGCCAGGTACATACACCAGGGCTGGGAGGCTGATGACAGAGAGAAGACACAGGATGTTACACTCTCAGAGCTCTCATGGAGGTTCTGAAAGCAGAAGTGGATGTGGTAGATCACAAAATTGCTAAGTTGCTGAGACCAAACCTTCCCTTCCCACCCCTTCCCTACCCCAACCAGTATTGGTTCAGATATGCCTGTCTGGTGAGTGTGGATGAAAAGAGAGACAGTCCTGGTGGGCTCCCACAGTCCCTTCTCAAGTTTTGCTCCAGTTGAGCTGTGTGCTTGATTTTAGGCACAGTAAACCTGCCCAGGCATAATCACTGCACCCCACAGAGCCCTGTGTTCTCCAATGATGATCATAAGCCCAGCTGGGTGCCAGTGGCTCATGCCTGTAATTCTAGCTACTCTTGAGGCAGAGATCAGGAGGATCATGGTTCAAAGCCAGACTGGGCAAATAGTTTGGGAGATCCTATCTTGAAAATACCTAACACAAAATATGTAGAGCACGTGCCTAGCAAGTGTGAGTTCAAACCCTAGTGCCACCAAACAAACAAAAACCTCAAAGCCCCATGGGAAATCTGGAATAGGTCCACTCACCCAGACACCAGGGACCCTCGTGATACTAAGAGTTTTCTGGAGAAAGGGTCTTCCCTGAGGAGTGACTCTTCTCAGAGCTAAAATACAGGTGCAAGTGTGCCAACCTACTCTCCCTTTCTACCACCAAGGCCTGGTCAACACAATCTGAAATGCCATTAGAAGTGACAGTCACCCACCACTAGTACCTGCCCAGGTATCCGTCCTGTGGGATAAGGGCTCCTCTTGAAGAACACCAGCTGGCTAATGTGACACAGGTTCTGCGTTTCCTCTCCAACAGGACTGTGCCTAGTCAGGTCACCAGGTAAATGCACCAGGACGGAGCCCAGGCTCTGGACTGAGCTCTGAATTTTGTGGTGTAGAAGGGTCCGGAACTCAATCTGCCCTGTGCTCATGTAGATCTGACAATCATGGCTCAAAGACAGCCGGTCCTGAAACACAGAACACAGGGAGCAAGACGTTTGCAGGGTGAATGAGTGACCTGTGTACAGTGCAGACCAGAGGGGTTATGGAGAAGATTGCCTTCTGAACCTAGGATGGGTTTGTCCAAAAAAACCATTTTGAGACAAGGACATTAAAGGACTATTTTCTTTTGTTTTGGCACACACTTCTGTGCTATTGTACTCGTTTTAAAATTATTGCCTATCAAAAGAGAATTTAATACCATTATAGCCTGGAGACTTGACTGTTAACATGACCACAGGGCCTTTGGGCTTACTACAGGGCAGGATACAAAGAATATTTGAAAATGTGATAATGTGTAAAGACATTTATTACTAGATTCAGATGGAGTATTTAGTTACTTTCTACATTTTGGTGGCTATCAGCTGAATAAACCAGAAGGTCTGATGATAGACTACAGAAGAGGAGAGACAAGAGGCTGTCCATGAATTCACTGCTCTCTGAAAGTGCTGGCCATTTTGTAAGATGAAAACAACAATTGCTAAGATAATTCCCCAAAGGTACTGCAGCAGAAATAAATGAAATAAATTTTGGGTGATTTTTTTTTTTAGCAGTTATAGGTCAGCAGGGCTATGTTTTAAGTTAATTCTTGTAGGAAACTATAAGCATTACTTTATACCATTCCTCAAAACCCAGAAGGTATCCTGAGAGGTGTTTCTAAGTCAAACACCTTCCTAAATATCCTAAATGAAAATTGATCAAAACATTGGGAATGCCACACTGTTCCCACAAATCACATAAAATTGAAAATGATGGTTTGGCAGAGTGGCTCAAGTGGTAGAGCTCCTGCCTAGCAAGCATAAGGCCCCAAGTTCAAACCCAGTACTGCAAAATAAGTAAATAAAATGAAAATTTCCAAATAGCAAAGTACCACCAAGAATTATAAACGTAGTTCTTTGGGATCCAATTCTATTTTGGGCTATGAAAAGCGATTACAAATATAGATTAATATGTGGGAGAGGGGAACAGCCTTGTTTTCATAATTTTGTGGGGCTGGGCTCACACACACTTAGCCCACGTTCTACCACTGGGCAGCTATGTTTTAGAGATGGAGAAAAATGTCTCACTTACTAGCAGCACACCTGAGATGACCTTCATTCCTTCTTCTTGTAGGTAGTCCTCATTTCTCAATTTTTCTTGTCTGGAGGCTTCCCAGACTCCCGTGATGAGAAGGACAAGTTCAAGACTGAGTTCATTGCCACCCTCAAGCCTCCCTGAGAACTGGCCTTGAGCAAGGAGCGTCTGGGTGTATTTGAGTATGTGCACTGCACTAATAAAACTTAACTGCATGAGAAAAAAGGGACATAAAATAAAATGTTTCTTGAGCTATGATGCATATACTCATGCCTCTTTCATTCTCACTGAGTTAAAATTTTTGAACTTGAGATCAAGAGAACTGGATCAGCCATGTTTGGTCTTTAGTTGATTGTTGGAAAATTTCCTCAGTAAAAATTTGATCTTGATGTTCAGTTTCCTACTCATAAAACAACCAAGGAAAAACAAAAGGTCCCTCACCATCTTTTATACTTCCAGATGCTACTTGGTTTGAATGCTAAAATCTACTTCACAAAGCTTTCCACCAGTTGATCCAACCTCCTGGCACAGCCTTTTCTTCCCATCATCTACTTATGTTCTACGCATGATCTACTCTGTCCCAAATAATTGAGGCTTTTTCTTGGTGCCACATATTTTCTCCCACCTGTGATGCCTTTTTGCCTAGCAAAACCCTACTTTACTGTCTCTTTCCAAACCCTCACCATGGACTATTTGCAAGCATGCACAAAAATAGAGAGTGTAACATCTCAGAACAGTGAACCTGTGACTCACCTTTCAAAAAATGCTCCTTCACTAGCAATAGTTTTTCTTCTATTCTCTACTCAGCTTTTTAAAATATTTAAAGGCAAGTCTCAGCTATTATGCATAACACAAAAACTCTTGCATATATTATTGACAGATAAGGAGTCTTTCTAAAAACACCCTGGCGATGCTGCTATCCATCTTACAAACTCATGGTACTTGCCAGTTCTCTTAAAACTGACTTTAAGTGTCTGCTGAAGTAATCCACACGACTGCTTGTTTCTGCAGAACTCTGTTATTGTCCTAATTATGGAGACATAGTATATTTATTGATGGATATCTGTTTCATTGATCAGTGTTTAAACAAGGACTAAATCTTTTCTTCGCTGTATCTTTGGACATCCTAGCAATCACTAAATAACTTTGTATGTGTGATGATTTGGGGAGTCACAGAGTGGAGAAGTTTGGGGCAGGAGAGGAAAGGAGGAAGAGCTTCTGCATCCCAATGGGGAGGATCACCCTGTGAGCACCTGCTGTGGAACGGAATGTGTGTGAGTGAAGAATAAATTTCTATGTGCTCTGCTACTGAGCATCCAGGGTTATCTGTCATAGCAAATAAGTTTGCTTTAACTAATATAGTTTGTGTCTTACGGGTATCAGTCTCAAATCAGGAGACAGGTGTGCCAAAAATAAAAATGATAACTCAGAAGTGTCAAAGTACTCGAATAAAGCCATGCACACATTCATCTAGAATAAAATGAACTCTGCTTTCAGATCTCTGAAGATGTCATGGTGGCATGAGGAGAAAGGAATATGTTCCCAGATGAATAACTAATCCATCATTCCACATAAGAGAAAACAGAATCTTGGGGCTACTGGGACATCTAGAAGGACTGAACACAGAGGTTGGTTACGTCAGCCAACTACAAGATGTGGTACAGGGAGAAAGCAGGAGCCAGACAGAGTCCTTGTATGCTATGTGGAGGACTTAAATCACCCTGTGTGTACAAGGAAGCCACTGAGTATGTTACACCAAGCAGGAGATGTGGCGAGATGTGTTCTGTCAGAAGAGAGAAGGACATATTGGCAAGGGATGTCCAGCCTTCCTCCCCAGAGTGGTGGTGGTTGGAGTAGAGCAAGTCATGGTGACAAGTAGAGGACTCAGAAGAGATATGGGGTAGGTGACAGGGCTATCCAACTGTCATCCATCCCTCATTCTTCCCACAACACATCTGTCTTCCTGCTTTGTCATGCAGGTGACATTGCAGTGAGAGAAGAGAGACAGTACAGAAGTAAAGAGATAGCCATTGGCTGTGCAAACACTGAGGGAGAGAGGCAAACAAGTAGAAGAGAGGGTGGAGGACGGCTGCTCTGAAGAACTGACACTTGAGTTGAGAGTCAAAGAAAAAGTTCAAGTGATCTGATAAGCCAAGGAGACCGGCAGAAGCACAATTACCCCAGCTGGGCACTGGGTTACAGGGCTGCCAATCATGTGGGGTGGAGTGAGGTGTGTGATGTGACCTCGGATGGGATTCTGAGCACAGAGCAATGGTTGCTTGCTGGCAGGAGGGAAATCCCTCTTTTGGTGAGAGAGTGTGGACACCCACACGGCTGCAGGGACTCTCGTGGGTTCTCCTCTCACCTCTCAAAACACACTGATGGCTCATGTTTGTAATCCTAGCTATTCAGGAGACAGAGATCAAGAGGATGCCAGTTCGAGGCAAATAATTCATGAGACCCTATCTCAAAAGAACCCTTCACAAAACAGGGCTGGAGGAGTGGCTCAAGTGGTACAGCACCTGTCTAGGAAGCATGAGGCTCTGAGTTCAAATCCCAGTACTGCCAAAATGAACAAACAAACAAACAAAGCACAGCCCAGTAGAAACACCTGTTGAAGGGCACAGGAGGACTATCAGAGATTTGAGAAAAAAGATGTGACCAAGGGGAAGCCAAATACCGTGAGTTAATAATAAAAAAACCAACCCAGCCAGGTGTGGTGGTACATTCTTATAATCCCACTGCTTGGGAGGCTTGGGCAGGAGGATCAAGAGTTCAGGGCTAGCCTGGGTTCCATAGTGAGAGTCTCTAGCTGAAAAACAAAACAGAAAACAACAGCAACAGATCCCCTCACCAAAATGTCCTTAGCATGGATCACACTTTTTTTTTTTTTGATTAATTTCTTCCTTGGACTGCCAAATTTCTATCCAAAGGGAAAATTCTTCAGCCATGTTTGATGTGAACAATGCTGCCTAGATGAATTCTAGGAAATTCTAGATGAAATTCCAATAGAAATGTCAAAAGCTAACTGTAGACTGTACATTCTTCAAGAATGGAGCAGCGTCCTCATAATTATGCAAAAGAGCACTCACCTTATTAGGGAAGCTTATGAGGTCCCTTAACATAAGAACAGAATCAATCAGCTCCTCCTGAACAGTAGAAACAAGCAAAAAAAGAGAGAGGAAAGTTATCTTTTTGGTTTAGTTACAGCTTACCTATATGGAAATAGAGCAGATTTTTTTGTTTCTATTTATGGCATTACCTGAAGGCCAGTTTCTTTCCTAGCAAGACCACGACCTTGGTCTAAGTTTTCCTTCTAGTTCAGCATCTGTCCTCCTGTGTGCCCCTGGCCAGCCTCACTAGACCCCAGTAAGAAACTGACATGTGCCAGGTGCCTGTAATCCCAGCTACTCAGGAGGCAGAGATCAGGAAGATTGAGGTTCAAAGCCTGCCCAGGCAAACAGTTGGTGAGACATTATCTCAAAAAACCCATCACAAAAAAGGGCTGATGGGGTGGCTCAAGTGATAGAGTGCCTGCCTAGAAATCAAGAGTCCCCAAGTTCAAATCCCAGTGCTGCCAAAAACAAACAAAAAAAACAAGAAACCCTGACCATTTGGGAAGATACAATAAGAAAGTTCAGTGAGAATGATGCAGGGAAGGAAAATCATTAGTTCAAATGCAATGTCTTGTAATGAAACGAGGTATGTTCTTTGTAGGTGTGGATGGTCTCTGGTGACAATTATAAGTCAGAGTTGTGCCGATGCTTTGAACAGGATAGTAACTGTTATGGTGGACATATGAAACCCCACAGGCTTACGTGTTCAGTGCTGCCCAGCTGGTAGAGCCAATCATTAAGAAGTGATTGGAGCATGAGGGCACTACTACCTTTATCAATGGATTAATCCACTGAGGAATTCATACCATGATGGCACTACTTTGGGAGGTGATGGAAGCTTCTTTCTTCTTCTTCTTCTCCTTCTCTTCCTACCTCCTTCTCCCCCCTCCTCCCTCTTCCTTCTCCCTCCCCTTCCTCCTCCTTCCTCCTCCTACTTCTTTCTTCTTCTTCTTTTCTTTTTCCTTCTCCTTCTAGTGATGCTAGAGTTTGAACTCAGGGCCCTTGTGCTTGCTAATCAGATGTTATTTTTGTAAAAGGACCTCACATTTTTGCTCAGGCCAGTCTAGACCACAATCCTCCTACTTACTACACTTTCCACATAGCTGGGATGACAGGTGTGTGTCACCACGCCCAGCTTTTTTTGTTTCGATGGGGTCTTGCTAGTTTTTTGGCCTTGAATCACGATCCTCTTGATCTCTGCCTCCCATGAAGCTGGGATTACAGGGTGAGCCACCAGGCCCAGCTGCTATATGATTCTTTCTCAAGAAGTTGCGCACGATCTTGACTTTAACTCTCTAGAGTGTTGTTAACAGATAAAATCAGACAGCATCTACATAATTTTTACTTAGAGAAATGTCAATGGAATTATCTGTAATGATGACTGACTTTCTCTTTCAGAAACCAGCAACATTACTTGTGAAACGTATCAGTAGCCAAGAGTTTGTGGCCACTATGGGAACCAAGCTGGCTGCCCACCCACTAGCCTTTCTGAGTGGTGTTTTGTAAGCACGACCACTTGCTTGGAGCCAACCAGTCATAGGCCATGCTAGTTAACACAGTTTTCCACACAATGACCTCACCCTGCTCTGAGCCATACCTGATCTACAAGAATGAAGTTGCACACTGAAGAAATGAGTGCATCCTGTATTTGTGTCCATTGGCCACATGAAGCACTTCTGTTCTCCTTAGCCAAACGCCTCAGGATCCTAGTGATCATAGCTACATAGTTCCTGATTTCTGTGTGACTCCCCATCAGCTGGAGGGTAGACAGGTTTTTCAGGCTGGAATTATACCTGCAGGAAACACAAGAGTCATCATGATTGTTTGAACATGATGACATTCCAAGGGTGGAATGGAATCTGTTCTTCTTGTGTGGGTGACAGAAAAAAGACAATGGCACAAAGGAGACTTGGCCCATGTAGAGGAAAGTCTAAAAAGATACAGTAAGGCATCATACCAAAATCTTATCAAAACCCCTTTGATCAGAAATGAAAAGGCGTGAGCAGTTGCTATAGCTACACCATATCTAATAAAGCCATGTGGTCCAGAGCTAGACAAAGATGCCAGAAGGGGTACAGCTGGCTGAATTTCCACAATATCCTAATAATTAAGAGTTGGTGGTTAGTGTCCAGACATACAGTAGGACAGACAGGCGCACTCTACTTGTTGTTTGATGTAAAGCCTCAATTTCATGTCAGATCTCAATAATTGGGCATTATTTCCTTATATTAAGAAGGCCAAGTTTATGACTTATGATCTAAATAACTGACAATTATTTTCTTGTTTTAAGAAGGCCTACCCCCAATTGCACTTGGAAAGGCAAAATGATGTCCTGGAAAGAACCCTGTGTATTCAGTCAAGGCCGATTATAGCCTTTGCCCTACAATGTCTTTACTGTATGACCTCAAGAACATCATTGAGCTGAATAAATGAGCCTCAGTGCCCAAATGTGTAAAACAGAAATTTCAATTCATTGAAAAAAATGTTCTCACTGAAGTACCGGTGATTAATCATACACTTTTTAATGAGTGAGTAATACAGACCAAGACCAGAGGAAGTCTGGCTAAAGAGAAAAACACACCAAGAAATCTGAGTAGAAACACCACAGGCAGCAAAATGAGGGGAAGTAATTCTGTGAAATTAGTTTCCCTGAGTCAATAAACACAAAAGTAAACAACCAACCAAACAAAAATCATGACAGTATGCCCAGGAGGGGCAAATGGGCCAATACCCAGAATGGCTGGAATATATTATCTAAACATCCAGTTTTCATGAAAATTTCTGAGACCTCCAAAGAAACTCAAAGTGTGACCCAAAAATAAACAGAAAATAGAAATTGATCTTGAGAGCAGAGGACACAAATTTGGACTTAGCAAATACTTAAAAGCAGCTGTTCTAAATATGTTCCAAAAAACTAAAGAAACCCATATTTTTAACCATGAAAAAAAAAAAGGCATAAGAGGTGGGGCGCCAGTGGCTCACACCTATAATCCTAGCTACTTGGGAAGCTGAGATCTGGAGGATCATGGTTCAATTAGTTCAAGAGACCCTATCTTGAAAATACCCAACACAAAAAATGGCTGGAGGAGTGGCTCAAGTGGTAGAGTGTCTGCCTAGCAAGTGTGAAGCCCTGAGTTCAAATTCCAGTACTGCCAAAAAAAAAAAAAACCTAGAAAGACATCCCAAGTTCATGAACTAGAAGACTTAGTATTGTTAAAATAGCCACATTACTGAATGGATCTACAGATTTAACAAAATCCACATGAAAATCCAGCTGGCTTTTGCTTTGTTTGGCTTTATATATCTCCTTCAGCAGGTGTCGAGAGCCCCAGCACACAGTCCTGGAAAGGGCAGTCTAAGCTGGAACAAGGGGAGGTGGGCCAGCATCAGCCACTGGGCTGGGTGTGCTCTGTCTTGGTTCTGCAAAAACTCACATGCTGATTCTAAAAACTATATGGAATTTTGAGGAGTCTAGAAAACCAATCCTGTACAAGAACAAAGTTAGTGGTTTCAAGGCTTCTCAGTTTGAAAATACATTACAAAATTACAGTAAAGACAGATGACATGGTCCTTGTTAAGAAGAGATATCTAGATTAATGGAATAGAATTGAGAATCTAGAAGTAAACCCTTAAGCATTTATGGTTCATTCATTTTCAACAGAGTCAAAGACAACTTGTTGGGGAAAAAAATAGTCTTTTCAACAAATGGTGCTGGGTGCAGTTTGCTCATACCTGAAATCCTAGCTACTCAGGAGACAGAAATCAGGAGAACTGAGGTTTGAAGCCAGCCAGGGCAAACAGTTCATGAGACCCCATCTTGGAAAAACCCCATACACAAAATAAAGGGTTACTAAAAAGCAAGGAATCACACACTTTTACTGGCTAACCTAAAAAATACCTCCATCAAATTGTTTTTTTTTTTTTTTTGCCATGCACTGGTGGCTCACACCTATCATCCTAGCTACTTGGGAGGCTGAGATTAGGAGGATCATGGCTCAAAGCTAGCCTGGGCAAAAGAGTTCAGAAGACCCCATCTGAACCAATAGCTGGGCCTGGTAGCACTCACCTGTCATCCCGGTGATGATGGGAAGCTTATAATAGGAGGATTACAGTCCAGGTAAGTCTGGGCAAAAAATGAGAGCCTCTACCCAAAATAATCAGAGCAAAAAGGCTAGGGGCCTTGGTTCATGCAGGAGAGTGTCTGGCAAGCATGCAGTCCTGAGTTCAAATCCCAGTACCACAAAAAAACCCCACAAAATAACAACAGCAAAAAAATTTTGTGGGCTCTGAAGCACGTTCATAAATGCTAGCTAGTGCAAGCCAGTTGGCTATGGTGTTAGAGCCCTTGCTTCTTTTGCCCAGCCTGGGAAGATGAGTTCCTGCCTTTCTTTGAGTCCACCCCATTGCCGTTCCCTGCTCTAGGATGTCTGTGTGGTCTTGTGTTACTCACAGGTCCTCACCGGAGCAGTCATCCCCATGGTAACGAGGCATCACAGTCACTGCTACAGCACACGGCTGTGCCTTGGAGCCTTCTCCATCTGTGATCTCCGTAGAAACCATGACTGTGAGAGAACGTGACAGAGGAGGGTCAGTCTGGACATACAGCTGCGGAGATGTTTCATCACACACTGACAGCATTCCAACAGCATTGCGACGGGCAGACCCAGTCCTCTCAAAGCTGGGAACGACAGGCTGTGACTAGAATCTCTGCTGGACAGAACTGGAGGCTTGGATGATGGTGGGGGTGACTATGGGGATTCCAAAATAAGGCAAGGCGTAAGAGCAAAACTTCTGACTCTCCACCCCCAAAATGGGATCTGAGCACCACGCAGATCAGACAGTGAGGCAGGTGTCACACAGGGTCAATAGGCAGAAGCCACCACATGTACTGAGTGAGGCATTCACTCACTTGACCCAGCATGGGGAAGCCTGTGGTAACACAGGTCACAGTCCTCCAGCATGTCCCCCATCCACTAACCACGAGAGGAGTGCTGAAAGGGGGAACACCATGGCCACAGAGAACTCAGACAGCAAAATACAGACTCTGCAATGGCCACCAAGAGTTGGAGTATGGCTGGTGAAGTGGCTGAAGTGGTAAGAGTCTAGTAGGTGTGATGCTCTGAGTTCAAACCCCAGTATCGACAAAAACAACAAACAAAAAAGAGTTGGAACTGGGCACTGGTGGCTTACTCCTGTAATCCTAGCTACTCAGGGGGCAAGATCAGGAAGATCATGGTTTGAAGCCTGCCCCAGACAAATAGTTCCTGAGATCCTATCTCAAAAAAAACCCTTCACAAAAAAGGACTGGTAGAGTGGCTCAAGGTGTAGACCTGGAGTTCAAGCCCAGAGACAACAAAGAAACAAAAAAGAGTTGGGGTAATATTTTAACCAGTTCTGTATGCAGATTTAGCAGGTCTAGGAAAAAGGTGAGAAAGAATTCTAACCGAGGGGACATTTGCATGAACATATAGGGACATGGCAGGAAATGGCTGTTGTGGGAACCTAGGAATTCCTTCATGTAACAAAGGCCTAGGGGTGTGGTCAGGAGACCAGCAGATGAACTTCTAGCATGTGTAATAATAGTTAAATGGTGAAGGCCATGGGCACAGTTGTGTTTGCCACAAAAAGATCAGCACACACATGCACCCTGGGTGTCTTCATAACATCCTCAAGCTGAAACCCAAGGCTAAGGGTTGGGGGCTTAATTTGGAGGCCAGTGCAGCTCATGAAATGGCCCCGGACACATGCATCCAATCACTGAGAGACTTGCCTACAGGCAAATTCTGGGTTCCGCGTTTTCCCCAAGATGCTGACTCACTAGACAACGTGTGGGCCCCTAGAAGCTCCAATTCCAGTAAGTACCCCCACTGCAGTCGGTCCAATGACTCAAGACAGAGACTAGCCGGGCGCTGGTGGCTCACACCTGTAATCCTAGCTACTCAGGAGGCAGAGATCAGGAGGATCACAGTTCCAAGCCAGCCAGGAAAATAGTTCTCAAGACCCTATCTCGAAAAAACCCTTCACAAAAAAGGGCTGGTGGAGTGGCTCAAGGTGTAGACCCTGAGTTCAAACCCCAGTACTGCAAAAACAAAAAACAAAAACAAAAACCAACCAACCAAACAAAAGAAATAAAAGAGGGAGACTAGAAGAGGAGATGGTTTCAGGCATGACTATTTAATGTGACACAAGGAGTCTGTGTCATATTCATTTATGCAAATGATAGGACAATATAAGGTGTGCATTAAATAGCTACTATGGTGCATTTATTTTGCATATATTTATCCCTCCTATAAATCTTGAACTCAGATATTTGAAGAGATTAAATATAATAATAGTGACAGTTATAAGCAAATAACATAATCGAGAAGGATTTTAGTGACATTAACTGGAAAGGTAACTAAGATTTGGTTCTACAAATTTATGTCAAGAAATCCTTTCTTCCAACATGGAGCCAAGGCTCTTCCATCTGGACATCTGCCCAGCTCTGTAGTCTGTGACTGGTCACCAAGGTCCCTCATGTGACTTGGGGACATGCCAGGTCTTAATATAACTGGTGCCCTAAGAAGGACACTTATCAAGGTTGGGCTTTTCCACTTTAAGGCACGACCTTGTTTTGACCCAGCTTTTAGGATGGGTCCCTTGTTTCATGTCCACTGCTAAGAAGAAGGGTGAGCATGTTTAAGAGAAAAAATTTCCCAAAGACAGAGGGTGAATGCTAAGGGAGGGGGTGGGGGCAGGGGGGAGAAATGAACCAAGCCTTGTATGCACATATGAATAATAAAAGAAAAAAGAAAAAGAGGGTGAATGCAATTTTAATATTTAAGGATTGATGGGAGCAGGCCCAAGAAAACCATCTTCATCTATTTAGTCCACATCTATTGTGCTAGTTAGTCTTGTTGCTTGACTTCAAGAAATCTCAAGTTGGCTGGGCGTCAGTAGCTCACGCCTGTAACCCTAGCTACTTGGGAGGCAGAGATCAGGAAGATCAAGGTCCGAAGCCATCCCTGTGCGAGACCTTATCTTAAAAACACTTAACACAAAACCAAAAAAGGGTTGGTGGAGTGGCTCAAGTGATAAAGCTACTGCTTAGCAAGTGTGAGGCCCTGAGTTCAAATCCAAGTATTGCCAGTAATGATAATAATAATAATAATAATAACTAAAGCTTAGATGGGTATAAAAGATTGTTGTGACAACCAAAGCTCACCAAGCACCCTGCTCAGGAAGGTTTTGCTCAATTTGACTTGAATTTAGAAAAAAAAAACCTCATTTCTAGTTGGAGGTGACAGGAAGAAAGTATTTTAGCTGGGCTAGAAGGAGAGGTGAGATTTTAGTACATCAGGTGGATGAACTTTGGGCTGAAATAATCTTACCATCCAAAATCAAAGAAACTTCTAGATGGGTGACTCTCAATCTTGTCTGAATATCAGAATCATCCAGAATTTATAAATAAAACAACAAAGTCACCAATGGGGACTCTAATTTTCACCAGACTGGGCTGTGCATTACCAGATGCTGTGTTAAATGGTCACATCCTCTTGTGCTCAGGTGAGACCAGGTGAGGTCAGTTCCTGAGAGCTCCTTTAGAACTGGACGGGACCTCAGGGATACGGGTTGGAGAGGAAAGTTCTTGACACATCGGATTCATTTTGTTTGGGGATTGCTAACACTTTGATTTGGAATGTCCTCTCAAAGATCCATGTGTTAAGTAAAAGCTTAGCCCCCACCTTGGCACTACTGGGAGGTGGTGGAACCTTTAAGAGGTGGGGCTTAATGGGAAGTTTTCCTGTCACTGGGGGCGTGGCTATGGAGACCCTGGCTCCTCCTCTTCATCTCTTTCCACCTGCCCATGAGGTAAGTGGACCTCCTCCACCACACCCTGCTGCTACAGACCCCAACCAACAGGGCCAATCAGTTATGGACTGAAATCTCCAAAACTGTAAACCAAAAGAACCTTTCTTCTTTTTAAGTTGATTTTTTTTTTCCCCTGAGGTACTGGGGTTTGAACTCAGGGCCTACACCTTGAGCCACTCCACCAGCACTTTTTTGTGATGGGTTTTTTTTGAGATAGGGTCTTACGAATTATTTGCCTGAGCTGGCTTCGAACTGTGATCCTCCTGATCTCTGCCTCCTGAATACCTAGGATTACAGTCATGAGTCATGGCCTCTAAGTTGATTTATGTCAAGTATTTGGTATGATAATGGAAAACTGACTAATACAGAGATTACAATTTGCTAACTCAATGATCGTTCACCCCACATTTTCTCTTGGATGGGGAGGAACCAAGAGTAGGGAAGACTTGGTTTGATCTATGATACAATATATTTCATTAGTGAATAAGGAATATCTTGGTCTTAAATATTGAACTCATATATAAAGTAATTCTTTGGTGTCTTGTCACCTACATTATATTTCAGTTAAAATTTAAGATATAAAAAAATCCATTTACTAATGAAATTCCAAATGTGCTTACTTTACCTTTCAGAGTAAAAGAACAACTTAAATTAAAAACCATTAAACGTATCAGGGTGACTAAATAATTTTAGGTCTTAAACAAATTAAACTCATTAGTTTCAACAATTTTTAGCCTTTAGAAACCAGGACAAAAGGCTTGCAGAGTGAATATACCTTGCTAATGACCCCAGTTCACATGGTGACTTACCTCTGTAATTATCCACAGGCTCACCAGCTGGCAATGCAAAATAGTAGTGGGTATCTCTCCCGTGATACAGGGTGCGTTTGGAGGCGTTTCCTATCTGGTAACTAAATTCATAATGAAAATCCTATAATACAATCCATGGGGAGCACAAAGAAAAACAGGATAGTTGAGCATACTGTGAACGGTGTCACTGGTAAACATCCACCCACCTGCTGCTTTCACTGCACCTGAGGACATCTTTTGCAGCCAGGAACAGGGCAAATAAATTAATAACGAAGAACTGTCTCTGGCTCCCCTGTCCTTTCTACCTGCCCAATGGGGTCTGCTAGCTTTCCTTGCCCTGGAGCCTCCCAGCAGTCACGAATCAGACTGTCACCCCCTCAGACACACCCCAAGGGTGAAGGGGACCCTGCTGTACTCAGCTTCCCACTGCACAGCTTGATGCGGACACTTGGGAAAGGGAGGTGGGGCCACCCTGTCTGTGTTAGAAACAGAGGTCGTCAGTTGGAAATAGGCCCAGAGGGACGGCCAGGGTTTGGTCCCTCCTGAGGACAAGGGCAGGCTTCTGAAAAGGAACAACATGGGCAAGATAGAAGGACAGGGACTGGCAGTGTCCACAGAGAGGATGAGAAAACTGTGCCAGGATTCTAACGTCACAGCTCCTGCCCTACCCACCACCTGACCTCAGGAGGAAGTCCCTCTATATCCAACTTCTACTCTAATCCCCACAAGATCCTATACATAAAACCAGAGCGGCTTTCTCAGGGCCCATATTAGGAGGGTGAGGTCAAGTCCAGGTTAGAGGCGTGCCTGGTGTGGGATTAGGATCCTCATGCGGTCACCACCGCCTGCGTACGTGTGCAGCGTGAGCAGATACCCCTGCTGCGACCGAACGTGGGGCCCTCAGTGCCCTGCGAGGGGTCCTGCTCTCCTTCTGAACCAGACCACTCTGCACCCTTCTCACTAGCAGGTGAAAGTTCCTAATCACACCCAAGCTACTCTCTGACATCCAAATGCAGGCCAAGGCCTTCCCAGCTGGGGACAATGAGGCGTCACACTCCTTGGCTTACTGTTCAGGGAGCACTTGCTACAGACAAGGGGTTGTCACATACCGGTTGCCCTGACATGCAGAAGACACTGAAGATGGTGTGTGCCTCGAGGCCATGGTGAGGCTGCACCTGACAAGTCACATCCTGGGGAGCTCGGTTGACAGTCAGGTAGAGCTGCGCTTTGCCTAGTAAGCCATGCCTTGAAGCTAAGAGAGACAAGATGGAGATTTTAGCTAGGAGGGAGAGCTATGGCAGAGGATTCAGGGGTTTTTTGTTTTTTGTGTGTTTTTTTTGGTAGGACTGGGGTTTGAACTCAGGGCTTCATGTTTGCAAAGTAGGCGCTCTACTTCTTCTCCACATCTCCAGTCCATTTTGCCCTGGTTATTTTGGAAATGGGGTCTTGCAAACTATTTGCCTGAACTGGCCTTGAACAATGATCCTCCCAATCTCAACCTCCCAAGTAGTCAGGATTACAGGCGTGAGCCACTGGCACCCAGCCAGAATTCACTTTTTCTAACACAACATCCCAGCAGAGGCTCCCCAAGTGAGATCTCTAGACCAGCAGGATCAGCAGCTTCTGTGAGCTGGTTAGAGGCAACTTCTTGGACCTCACCCCAGACCTGCAGACTCAGAACAAATACCCGGGAGTCTGTTTCAGCACCCAGAGGGGGGATCTGTGAGCACTGGAGGCTGGGAACACTAGGCTCTGGTAAATAAAGGAGAAGGAGCAGACCAGTCTCCTACGCAGGAGCCAGACAACACCCCCGACACCAAAATCTTAGGAGAGAGGACACTGACAGACGTGTCCCCAGGTGCACCCAACCTCCTTCCTTATTCCCTCAGACACACACACACAGAGGAACAGCTGAGTTGAATTTATAACTCTGATAAAATTTTATGTCTTGTTTCATTAATTGTATTACTACCATGAGTATTTCCCAGGTTACTCTACGGAGTCCGAAGTCCCTGTCGTACACAGTGGAATGAGATCCCACTGCTATGTACACCCCAGTGTACATAGCTATCACTCCCCAATGATTTCTGTTTCCTGCTATTATTAATCGCCCTAGAATGATTTGTCTCCTATGTAACATTTTTTTAACTTGTAATACATTTTTTTCTTGGGATGAACTATAGGATGGGTGTTTACGTACTGGGTTGTTCAAAGTCTGTGAAAATGATCATGATTCATCCCAGCAGGAGCTATTCACAGAGTGTCTGATTCATGCCAGGAGCTGGTTAGACACTGTTCACGTGGTATGCTTTTCTACCTCACACCAACCATGCAAAAACAGATCTTTCAACACAGCAGAATCCAAGAGGAAGCACTGACTAATTCTGCCTGGCCAACCAGGGAAATCTTCACAAAACAAGGTACAATTTAAGCAATCAGTCCTGGGATTCAAGTCATATGCTGGTAGGAAGGAACAAAGGGACAAGGATTGGGTGTTTCAGCCCAAACCACCATAGGGAAAGACACTTACACAGTGGTCTGTGTGATGGGAAGAGCAGGATGGGGGCAAGCTGAGCAGGATGCCTTGAGCCCAAGCTCATCTCTCTTTGGGTGGCCAAGGACACTGAACAGGACCTGGGGGCCATGGAAGGCTCTCAGGGACCTGATGTACCAATAACAAACATCCAAAAGAATGACTTCTAGTTTGTCACTTGGACAAGTTTCAGAGGCAAGAGAAAGAGGCCCAGCTAAAAGGCAAAGGTATTCGTTGAAATAAAAGCAAGTGTCACCCATTGTCTGGCCCAAGCAGGTGCTCAGGGCTTAGTGTCTAAGTGTGGCTGTGCACAAGGCAGGTGAAGGCTCCCAGCAATAATGAGGACTCAGGAGATCCTGGGGGTAACCCAGAGCCCTGTCTACCAAGTTTCAGAAGAAATTAAACCTCATGTTTATTCCCTGAGGGAGGTACCCACAAACACAGGATGAACGATTGGAAATGCATGTTGGGTTGGTTGTTTTTGTTTCTAGGCAGGGTCTTACTATGCAGACCAGGCTGACCTTGAACTCACAATCCTCTATTCAGCCTTCTGAGTACTGAGATTCTAGACATGCACCACCATGCCTGGCTTATGGTTGGTTTTAATGAATGTAAAATGTGGACATTGAAGCAAATCTTTCTGTGAATATAAATTGTTCAATCCTTTGTTTTTGTTCAATGAAGAGAAACATCTAGAAGTTACCCAAAAGGATAATCAAAGATTGCATCATGGAAATGAAAGAAAGGTAAGGGGAGGCAGGGTAAGCGTGTGACTCACACTGACCACATAGAACAATGACACCTGGTTGGAAGTTCAATACTCAGAGATTCCTGACAGATTTGCAGGGAAGAAATCGACTTATTGAGTTGCTGCCACAAATAAAATACACATGTAATTTAAAAAGGCAACTGTTCAGCCTTTACCCTGTTCTATGCACACAACTGATTCCACAGGATAAAGTCACAGAAACGCGACCACCTTCTGCAGCTCCCCTTAGCAGAAGGCAAGAGTGAGAAGGGAGGTGGTAGCAGGAGAGAAGGGGACAGTCAGGACTCAGGAGAAAGTCTAAGGAAGTGAGAAGTAATGATCTCTTCCAAGAAAAAATATGAATTTGACCAAAGCCCTTAGGGTTTCCCCATACCAAACTCGGTTGGCCAAAGGACATACCCACAGACGCTTGTAGGACATATGTCTCTCCACTGCTCAGTGAGTACGGCTTTATTGTCACAGCTGGTCCTGTGATACCTATAGAAAAGGAGGTAGCCACATGGACATGGTGGTCATTAGGCTGTGTGCGGGCAGGAAGACAGAGTCCTGGAGCAAGGCAAAATATTTCCCAATTATATGGCCAATTGTTCTTTGGAAACACCAGGAGTGGGTTGGTTACCAGCCTTCTCTGAAGAGTTGAAATCACACCTCTGAGCTTCCTCACCCATCAGAAGTTGTCCTGAGGGTAGACTGGTCATCCTGGGCTCAGGACTCAGAAATGCCACCAATTTACACACACACACACACACACACACACACACACACACACACACATATGAAGTGTGATTAAGGTATTCCAAAGCAATTTTTAAGCCTTTGTTGAATACAGGTTATGAAAACTGCTGACCCAGTGACTGGATTACTTCCTCAGCAGGGGGGAGGCTGGCCCCACACTGCTTACCCTGAATGCAAGATAGGTGACATACACAGCCATTACCATTTTGAAACAACACTTCCTGAAATGTTACAAGCAAAGAGCAAGGAAGAAATCACGTAAAAACAGTGTGAAATGCAGGAGTTGCCCTAGAGGCATCCAAGGGTATCTAATCACAGTGACATAACAAAGTGGTGAGAGCCAAACTCAACTCGTCATGGGCAGCTGTTTTGATTCACTTTTGTCAGCATCTCAGCTGCCCTGTGGAGGTACCGGGTAGACACGCAGCCCCTTGCTGGTCTGCAGGGGCCCCTGAGGCAGCAGAAGCTAGCTCCACCCTGGGTGGAGGAGTTGTGGGTTGTGGTCCATAGAGCAACAAATCCAAGTAGAAAAAGTGGGATGAATCCAAATACTTATCCATTAAAATGGAAGCTTCAGAAGAAATGGATACCCCAAAATCCTTTGGACTAGCCATGGATTTCCACATAGAGATGTTCATACCCGATGATGTGTAACCTTGGAAAACAGTTGGGTTGATCTGGGCCTTGGGCCAGTCGGTCATGAGAGTTGGTGCTGATCTGCTTGGAGTGAGGAAAGGACCCAGCAGGTTATCTCCGTCATGGGGGCTCTCCTCAGCACTCATGCTCGGCTCTGATCCTGGGAGGCTGCTGCTGCTTCCTAAAAGGAAAGCCAAATAAATCCCTGGGTGATAAAGAAGAAAGTTAGGATCTTTCTAAAGCATGAAGGGTCAATGTGGTAATAACTTCTTTTATGACTGCTGGGTACCACACATCTGAAGCAATGACTTCAGCAGCTTATCATATTCGAGATGTACTTTGTTATCATATTATCAGCCATCCAGTTCTGTGCTCCTTCCTTCCTTCATTTATTCTACAGATATTTATTATGGTCTATTACATCCATATTTGAGAACCAGAGACAGTTATGAACCAAATCAACAGAGTCCTTCTAGCTTGGAGTTTCATAAATGAGGGAGTTAGAAAAATAACAAGAAAACAAATAATGCCAAGTTGGGTAAGATAAATGCTGAAGAGAAAAAAAGGAGGGTAGATTGCCAGGTGACACACACTTATGCAGGGGCAGAAATCAGGAGGCTTGTGGTTTGAAGCCAACCCATAAAATAGTTCATGAAAATAGTTCATGAGACCCTATCTCAGGAAAAACCATCACAAAATAGGCCTGGCAGAGTGGCTTAAGTGGTAGAGTACCTGCCTAGCAAGCATGAAGCTCTGAGTTCAAACTCCCAGTACCACCAAAAAAGAGAGACAGACAGACCAACAAGAGAAATAAAGCAGGATTTGCAGAGAAAGCAAGCATGGGGAGTGGAAGACAGCTCAAATGTGAGGGGTGGTGGGGCGAGCCTCTGTCTATCAGGGACCACAGAGTGGACTGGATGAGCTCTGTGAAGATCTGGAGGAAGGGGCCACTCCCCCAGGCTGAGCACAAACAAAATGCATGAGGACGGCCCTGTGTGGGGGAACCATGTGGCCTTTGTCCCGAGTGTGGTGGGAAGCCAGTGGAGGGACTGGTTGGAGGTATCAGTCTGCTTTGTAGTGGAATAGACTTTGGGCAGCAGGAACAAGGGAAGGCAGGGAGACCCAAGGCTGCTACACAGTGTGGGGAGGAAGGACGGCTAGACGGTGCAAGGGTAAGAAGACCAAGTTAAGGGTTCAGACAATGATCATTGAAACAAGATGTAAGACATACAAAACCAGAAAAATACCAGACTAGAATGCCTCCTACGAGAAAGAGGAATGTTATGAAAACAAGATGTAAGACATACAAAACCAGATAAATACCAGACTAGAATGCCTCCTATGAGAAACAGGAATGTTATGAAAGCAATAAAACAACCTATCTTTTCTTTATCCATTCAAAATACTGAAGCATTAATCATGAATGTAAACATGGGCCCTAAACAGACCTATACATGCATTGTAAATCTTTAAATTGTTTGCATATTATGATGTCTTGATATTAAAACAACAGGAACAACAATAGAAAACACTTTTCTGGTTAAACCCTCTAAATTCTTTTTTCTTTTGGCAGCACCGGGGTTTGAACTCAGGGCCTCACACTTGCTGAGCAGGCACTCTTACCACTTGAGCCCCTCCACCAGCCCTTTTTTGTGATGGATTTTTTTTGACATAGGGTCTCTCGAACTCTGCCCAGGACTGTCTTTGAGCTGCGATTCTCCTGATCTCTGCTTCCTGAGTGGCTAGGATTATAGGTGTGAGCCATTTGGTGCCCGGCAAGCCCTCTAAATTCTTACAGATAGCCAGGGCCCAGCCAAAAGCATACCTTTGATATGCCAACTACCATATTCAGAGCTAGGGTCTCTATCCTAGCTGCATGCCCTGGGAGGTGACATTCCTTTGCTGTCATCCAGGGTCAGGTGCCAGGGACCACTCTGTACCCCAGAGCACCGAAATGATTTATACTAGCAGATCCTAAACTTCCTGTTATCTGTCTTGCCATTCATTCCCTCAGAAACCCCAGTGAAGGTCAGGCCTCATTCCGCCCTCCCACTCTTCCCATCTCCCCCACGCTTTCACCTTCCCACCCCCCACCCCTCCTGGCTTCTGTTTCTTGACCACTCTGATGCTTCCATGTGGCTCTGAGTCACCACTCAGCAGCACCTCTGTCTCTATGACCTGGGAGTCCTGAGTCTGTCCTCTGCTTCCTCCTGTGGCTGCCTGGACTGAGCATCTCACACAGAGCACCAAATACCATGACACACAGGAACAAAAACCACTGGGAGGCTGAAGGAGCTGTGAAGTTAGGGGCAGGTGAAAAAGACCGTCAAAGAAAACATATCCACCCATCCATCTTGTCACCCCAAACAAATCTATCAGCATCCATCTACCTTTTCAGCTGACACATACACAACATTTCCCATTCGTTCAACAGATAAACCTTTCTCTGATCATCGCTCATCATGCAACTGTTCCTCTGATATAAATCATTCATCTGTTCACATGACACATACACAGATCATCTTCTGATCATCCACTTGTTCAACAATGGACTTACTGAGACCATTCTGAGCATACAAGTAAGAGTGAGCCATGGAAGCATTCCTTAAATGGACAGACACACAGATATGATTAGGCCAGGTGCCACCTGCTTCAAACAGGTAGGAGTGAGTACACTGGTTGGCAGGGCTCATTACATGACTAAAGGGGATTTCAGAGAGAGACCTGGAGCAGAAAGGACGAAGCTTGGCAAGAACACTGAGAAACAGGCGTTGGGCAGATGACCCCCACTACAAGGCCCAGAAGAGCTGGACTGCCCTCTCGGGGGCCTGAGACCACCGTGGGGGTGTGGGAACTCTGAGTAGGAAATGTGTAGAAACCAGTGAGCCACCATAACATTAAGTCTGAGCCACGCTGTCACCCTTTGACTTCTGGGAGTTCCAAGTGGCCTGGAAGGTGTGCAGGGTAGATGGCATGCAGCAGGCTTGGTCCCAGGGCTCCACACAGAGGGAACAATTCCAGGAGCACTCACCTGGCTGTCTTCCTCTAGATGGCAGTGCTTCTTGGATGTCACTGTAAAAGGCTTCAAAATCTATACAAGAGGACAAAATAATAATATTTCATTTTAAGCCTCAATTAGTTCGTGCAGGATATGAATCCAGACCTCACCATAGCCTGTGTGATTTTAAATCTAACCCACCAGATTCACTCCTTTCTTTGCAACCCTGGTGCCCAGATATGAGGGACAGCATACAGAGATGGTGGCACTTACCATCCAGGGTAGGGAAGGAGCTGGGTCGGGGCCAGGTTCCCTCAGAGGGACTTGTCCTTGGAGAGTCCAGGAACCCTAGCTCTGGGCCTGGTGTCCCATCTTCAGAAGGCTCCCCTGAGAACACAGTGCCACTGGCAGCAGGAATGTGGTGGTCACCCACCATGGATTCCGTGACTGAAAAGGCTGGCCAACCCAGAGAGGAGAGTGAAGACCTCTGTGAGAACTGTGTGAGTGTTTCATCAGCATGTGCGGTGGCGTTTGGCTCCATGACCAGTGAATTCGACTCTGGTGACTTCAAAATGGTCCCAAGTGCTATGGCACCCAGCAATCCCACAGCACTACAAAAGGGAACTTAAACACACGGGGCAGTGTTAAGATTCTGGTACCAATTCAAAACACTTGTTTTTATTTTTATATGCATTTATTTTTGCCTATTTATTATTTTCATATTGTTGTACTGGGGGTCCACTGTGACATTTACAAAAGTCATTGTGATATTTCACAGTTGAATTCACTCCCTCCATCATTCTCCTTTATCCCCTCCCCCATTCCTGGAATAGTTTCAACAGGTCTCATTTTTCCATTTTCATACATGAGTGCATAATATTCCACCATATTCATCTTCCCGCCTCTTTCTTTATATTCTCCCCCTTTCCATTGGTACCAACCCCCAGACGGGACCTAGTTTATCTTCCCACTCTCCGTTTTTTTTAAAAAAAGCCATTTTTATTAGTTTTAGATATCTATAGAGGGAGTTTCCTTATGACATTTCTATGTATATATGTATTATTACCCGAATTGGTTCATTCCCTCCATTTTTCTCCTTTCTACCTTAATCCCCTTCTTATGGTGATTTCAACAGGTTTGAAAATTCTGTATTCATTCTTGTACAGGAAGTACATCAACCATATTCACCTTCTTAACTTCCTTCTTTTGTCCTCCCTCTCTCATATGTGACCTCCCCTTAGTGTGACCTGTTTTTCATAATATTGCTATATTTGTATTAGGTCTATATTCCACATATGAGAGAAAACATGCAACCTTTGGTTTTCTGAACCTGGCTAACTTCACTTAAGATGATGTCTTCCAATTGCAAATATTTACCTGCAATAAAACGTTTATTTTTAAAAGTATAAGGCTGTATGAGCATGTCTAATTTAAACAAATCTGAAATTAACCACCTAAACAGATCTATAACGTGTAATGAAATTGAAGCAGCAATAAAGAGCCTTCCAAGTCCAGAACCTGACGGATTCTCAGCTGAATTCTACCAGACCTTTGAAGAAAAACTGATACCAACCCTTCTTAAACCTTTCCACAAAATAGAAAGGGAAGGAACACTACCCAACTCATTGCATGAAGCCAGTATTACACTCATCCCAAACTGGACAAGGACACATCCAAAAAGGAGAACTAAAATTGGAAACTGTAGGCTTAAGAGATAGGGGCCACCGGTGTGGTTTTCACCTAGTGGTCAACACCTCGTACAAGCATATGGAAGTGGGAAAAGGATTTACAACTCTTCCCCTGGAATTTGCTCTCACCAGGCTCCATATAGAAGTGAGTGGGGTCCTGTCAGATCCTCTGTACCCCAGCACAGGTGACTCCTGTGTATTCTAGAATTTGAGGCATACTTATTCCCTTGCCTCACAGCAAAGATCTAGTACAATTTTAAAGTTATTGTTGGAATTTATGAGAAAGATCAACAGCAAAGCAACAACTAAAGCAAAAGGCCATGAAAATGACCTCTCTTCTCACTGCGGGCTTTGACTGTGGAGGAGGAAGTTTCTTTGAGATACATCCTCCTTGGGTAATCACTGCGTGTGTTTGCACTAGCATGTCCTCTAATCTCTGCAGCTTGGGCTTTGACTCAGAAAAATCTCGATTTACCTGAAAGAATTTGAGAATGCCTCTCCTGCAGAGAAGGCCAAAATTACACAGTGTCCCCTTACACACTGAAGCCAGCTATACTCAGGGCTCTACTATGAAAGCTTTGTATGTTCCTATTGAATGGGTTTTTAAAAAATGGCAGGTGGCCAGCAGTAGGACCTCGGTGGCCAGCCCAGAGACAAAGCCCCTCTGTTTGCCACCAGAGCCACCTCCCTGAGAGCATGCACCACTACAGAGAACTCAGTCTTAATGCTGAATCACACCTAAGTGTCACACAGCACACATAGGCCAGCACTGTTACTTTATTTTAGCTCTAATACCACTCTGTGAAGTAGTAGGAGAGAGGGCTGAAAGTGGCACAATGGTTTACTGTATAAGAACCTTCTTCTTATTACTTTTTTTTTTTAGCCTATAAAAACCCAGTTCCTCTTGGATGCCATTCTGGGAGCACTTATTCTGGGGAACTAGAATTCCTGTCCTTTCCCCGGGTCACCATTCTCCTTTGGGTTTAGATAAACTCCTTGTTCTCGTGCTTGGTGTGTGGTATGACAACATATAGGTACCATCTTTCACCGGAGAAGATAGAACCTTAGGGACACCAGATGGCAGTGTGGGCTGAGGACCAGAGGTAGGGCTCCCCAGGCAGATGAGGAGGGGCTGCACAGAAAACAGACACAGTCTCCCCTGCTCCGCCCTCACGACACAGATCCCTTCTGCCATCTACAAAGATGGGATTTCTCCCCACCTGGAAGCAAGCATGCAAGAGATTCTGCAGCGACACCACCAGGGGTCCGCTAACCCAAACTAGCTACCTGGAGGTAGCATCACATCGCACACGCTGAGGGCTGGTCCCCAAGACGGTCCCCACTTCAGACGTCAATCACAAGCCCCAAGTGGTTTTACCTGTTCTTCTGACTGATGGGTCATAAATCGGGGTTCCTGCAACCCCCTCCTCAGGTTCAGTTAATTTGTTCTAGAAGCTCATAGAACTCAAGGAGACTCTCACAGAGAAGAGCTGCTCTGCGCTCTCTGGGGCGCCTGCCCCCCTCCAGGAACCTCTAATGTGCTCAGCTGCCTGGAAGCGTTAGATACCCTGTCCTTTGTGGGTTTTATGGAAGCTTGATTGATTAGATCATCAGTATTGGTGATCTGCTGGGACTAGAAGTCCCAACTCAATCCTGCCCTGGCTTTTTCCAGACCAAATTGCATCCTAAAGCCACCTAGGGGCTGCCAGCCATCAATCAGCTCATTCATATACAAAAGGACACCATCACTTTGAAGATTCCAAGGTAGGCCTCAGGGCGGAGTGGGTGGTAAGGGAGGGGGTGGGGGCAGGAGGGAGAAATGACCCAAGCCTTGTATGCACATATGAATAAAAAAAAAAAAGTGTATACTAAATGGTTTCACAGGGACATGGCCCTCTGAATGGTTGAGTCATACGGTCCTTGTCAAAACCCTAGTGTGGCTGTGAACGAATAAAATTGCCTAAGTGAGTGCTGGGCTCGACCACGAGGATGAGGAGCTCATAAAACTAAAAAGCTTCTGCTCATCAAAAGAAATGGTCTCTAAACTGAAGAGAACACCCACAGAGTGGGAGAAAATATTTGCCAATTATACATCAGACAAAGGACTGATAACCAGAATATACAGGGAACTTAAAAAACTAAATTCTCCCAAAACTAATGAACCAATAAAGAAATGGGCATGTGAACTAAACAGAACTTTCTGAAAAGAAGAAATTCAAATGGCCAGAAAACACATGAAAAAATGCTCACCATCTCTAGCAATAAAGGAAATGCAAATTAAAACCACACTAAGATTCCACCTCACCCCTGTTAGAATAGCCATCATCAGCAACACCACCAACAACAGGTGTTGGCGAGGATGCGGGGAAAAAGGAACCCTCTTACACTGTTGGTGGGAATGTAGACTAGTACAACCACTCTGGAAAAAAATTTGGAGGCTACTTAAAAAGCTGGACATCGATCTACCATTTGATCCAGCAATACCACTCTTGGGGATATACCCAAAAGACTGTTACTCCAGAGGCACCTGCACATCCATGTTTATTGCGGCACTATTCACAATAGCCAAGTTATGGAAACAGCCAAGATGCCCCAGCACTGACGAATGGATTAAGAAAATGTGGTATCTATACACAATGGAATTTTATGCAGCCATGAAGAAGAACGAAATGTTATCATTCGCTGGTAAATGGATGGAATTGGAGAACATCATTCTGAGTGAGGTTAGCCTGGCTCAAAAGACCAAAAATCGTATGTTCTCCCTCATATGTGGACATTAGATCAAGGGCAAACACAACAAGGGGATTGGACTATGAGCACATGATAAAAGCGAGAGCACACAAGGGAGGGGTGAGGATAGGTAAGACACCTAAAAAACTAGCTAGCATTTGTTGCCCTTAATGCAGAGAAACTAAAGCAGATACCTTAAAGCAACTGAGGCCAATAGGAAAAGGGGACCAGGAACTAGAGAAAAGGTTAGATTAAAAAGAATTAACCTAGAAGGTAACACCCATGCACAGGAAATCAATGTGAGTCAATGCCCTGTATAGCTATCCTTATCTCAACCAGCAAAACCCCTTGTTCCTTCCTATTATTGCTTATACTCTCTCTACAACAAAATTAGAGATAAGGGCAAAATAGTTTCTGCTGGGTATTGAGGGGGGGAGCGGGAGGGGGTGGAGTGGGTGGTAAGGGAGGGGGTGGGGGCAGGGGGGAGAAATAAACCAAGCCTTGTATGCACATATGAATAATAAAAGAAAAATGGAAAAAAAAAAAAAAGTGTATACTAAATGGTTTCACAGGGACATGGCCCTCTGAATGGTTGAGTCATACGGTCCTTGTCAAAGCCCTAGTGTGGCTGTGAACGAATAAAATTGCCTAAGTGAGTGCTGGGCTCGACCACGAGGATGAGGAGTGGAATTTGGTACTTCTTCCCTTCTGCTGTTCTCACTAGTGCAACTGGAGGTTGGAAGCCAGAGGCAGTGGGGAGGCAGAGCCATCAACAGTGTAGATCGGACCCACTGGGTCAGCCCAAACCTTAGCAATGCTGGAATAACTCTGAGCTTTTTCCTCCCTCAGCAAAATAAAGCAAGCCATCATTTTCACCTTCTATCCTATGCTTTTCTGTTGCGTTGACTAAGAAAAGCTCCCAGGAGTAAGAGAGACCCGGGGTTTCTCCACAGCCTTCACACGTAGATAGGAGAGAAAGTTCTTCATTCCAGTTGACACGGATGTCTTTAAAGTTGATCCAGGAGATGTGGACCAACCTGGAATACACAATGCAGCTTGGTATCTTAGGAAAACAGTGTCAGGCTCTTTGGCAGTATTCATTTGAGTTGGGCCTGTTTGACTTGTTCATTTTGGCTCTGTATTGTGTGAATGGACTGGTGATACCACTGCCTCTGAGTGCCTGGGACAGAGCACAGACTATTCAAGGCCACCACGTGAACACACCAAACACAACAGGCAAGCACACTACTCAGCTCAGAAAGACAATATGACATCTTCAAGGTCACTCAGTGCTGGGCCTGCATCTTGGCCAACCTCTAGAAACAGAGGGGCAGCACCTGAGATCTCTCTTCACACCTTCTCACCTCAGACGTGCTTCTTCTGCTGTAAACCTGCCCTCACCTGAACGCTTCTAAGCCATCTACCTTTGCCACTGCCAGCCGCCTCGGCTTTGCCTCTTTCCTGGGCAAGGCCAAGGGACAAGGGCTATCCCCCCACAAACACCACACCTCACATACAGCTTCATAGCCCCCGCACAGCTCCATACCCTACACCCTTCTCTAGACCCCACATAACAGCTCAACACCCCACATACGGAGTCTCATACCCCACACGTGGCTCCAAACCCCACACACAGCTCCATACCCTACACACAGCTCCAGACCCCACACAGCCTCATACCCCATGCACAGCTTCATACCCCACATATAGCCTTACACCCTATACACGGCTCCACACTCCTCACACAGCCACATACCCCACACATGGCCCCACACCTCTCACACAGCTCCATACACCTTACACATGGCCCCACACCTCCTCCATGTCCACACACCACACACACAGGGCCCCACACCTCATATACCCAGCCCCATACCCACACGGGTCTGCATCACTGTAGCCACCTCCTGACACTTCCTCTGGTCTCTTTGCTCTGGCACTTTCCAAAGCACATTCTCTGTTTTATGGCTCCTCGAGACCTTACAAGGTGACTTGTAACTGTGTCAGACCTTGTCTTCACACAGATTTCTTTCCTGCAGGACACGGGGAGCCTATAAAAGCCAGGTGCTGAGGAGACTCTAAGTGACAGGTAGTGTTTCCCTTGAGAGCTCACAGCACATGTCTCAGGCTTGGGTCTCAGCACACAGTGCCCAGGACAGGAGGACGGTCCCATAGCTTCCTCACAGGGACCCAGGCCTGCCTGCCCACATGTGTCTGTGTATGGAGACACACATCCTTGTCCACAGTTTCACTTAACCGTGGTCAACCAAGGTCTGAAATACTAAATGGAAAATTCCAGATAAACAATTCATAAGTTTTAAATTGTGCCATTCTGAGTAGTATGGTGATAACTTGTGCCACCTCTACAGTGCTAGGCCCTGGGCTGTACCCTTTGCTCACTCATCTAATGGCCAGCCCCTTGGAGGAGAGACTGGGAGCTGCCACAACCCTCACTGGACACTCACCTCAGTCCTGGCACTGTGTTGGGCCCCTAGGACACACATGGCCCATGGGTGCTGGGCTAGCCTTTGTGCTACAAGGCTTGTGACTTTTGGTCACAGCATTTCTCTCCTACCACCTTTCATGGTCTCAGAGGTCACAACTGGGCCCACCCATACTGGTGTTCCTTCAGCCCTGCAATACTGGAAGGCTCCCAGTGTCTGTCTTGGAACTCGTATGGCTTTGCCTCACTCTGGTGTTGCTCAAAGCACTAAAATAGCCTCCTGTCTTGGGGGCAGGTGCTGTAACATGAGGGCTCCCTCTGAGTGGGGATTAGCCAGCATGCTCAGATTGTGGAAGCTGCCCAGGGGTCAGTCTGGAACCGGATCTCAGTTCCTAGTCCCTCCCTGACCAGGTTTTTCCTTCTCCTTAGCAGTGGGGATTCCATGGGACTTGACCCCACACTGTGGATGCTTTTCCTGGCTGCCTATACCAGCCAGGAGTGCTCAGCACCACACAGGTACCTGAAGGATGAGTCAGAGCGGGTGGACAGGACCACCTGGGCCTCTGAAGAGTTTCGGCCACCACTGGAGACCTTCAGCGTCACGAGGAACTGGTCACAGCATTCACTGAGCCATTTTGCTGGGAAGGAAACAATGGGAGCCCCAGCATCCAGTTGGTAGGGAGTGGAGTCGTCAAAGCAGGGCCACCCAGGTGAGCTGGCAACAGTGCATGTCCAGAGATACCTGTGGGAGAAGTCATTGAAGGGGCAGAGTCAGGGCACCATCATGCAAGGGGACATCAGATGGGGAAGAGATGACATCCATTCACTCCCCGATGTAACTGTTGGATGCTTGAGCTGGCTCCCCTACTCATGGCAGAAGGCCCTGAGTTCATGCAGGTCTTGCTTCCTGCTGACTGGCACATTCTAACCTGACCTGGGAGTGCCTGGTGACCCCCTCTGCTCACAGTAACACAGCCACACTCCTCTCAAGAATCTGCCAGGCACTGCACCTTGTTCACGTGACAATTCCTCATGATAGACAGGAATACTGTCAGCCTTCTAACAGTAGGAAGAAAACACATTTCTAGAGGCCTCGGGGAGGTGCCCTGTCCCAGTTGGTAAAAGGTGGCACTGACAGATGGCTGTAGATGTCTCTCCTCTATCTCACCATCTTTTTTTTTGCTATATGATAATGGCCATGTGCAACAAGACAAACATGGTTGCTCCATCAAGGTCAAGTGGGAATGAAGGCAGCATCACCCCAGCTTTGGGCAGGACACACACTCAAACAGGCAGTTTGGTAGGGAGGAAGCCCTCTCAAGGAAGTCTTGCCTCAGTCAACAATTTCTGCAGGTGCCACATGAGTTCACTGAGTTTTAAAAGTACATTTCCCTGTCTGGTTAGTAACCACTACATTCTAGATCTCTCCGTTCCCAAAGCTGCATGAGGTAGCACTGCCACAGCCCATCAACCACCCTGGGGGCAAAAGCCACCTCTAGACACAGCTGGACTTGCACTAGGAAAAACATTCGCTGCATCCCCGCTCCAGGACTTAACTGGAATATTCCCTCCTCTCCAGGAGCAAATCCACCAGAACACACTGAGCCTTTCTTTTCAAGCACCATGCTGGGTGCTGAGAGGTGGCTGTGCAAAGATGACCATGACATATCCTCTCTGCCTCAGACTTGGGGGTTAGGGCTGCACACAGCCAGCTGAGAGCTGTGCCTACAATAGGTTGCACATGAGGAACTGGGAGTCCAGGGGAGAGCCTCTTGCTTCCATTGCACTAAAGAAACACTGAACCTCCCTCCTAGTGTACAGCAAGCAGGTGCGGGATCCCAGGACTTAAAGCAACAAAGCCACCCTCTACTTATTCACAAGTATCTCCTGGATAGGAAGCGGTGCCAGGCACAACAAGTGCCCTCCTTGCGCTTGGATCCAATGCAGGATAGGAAATAAGCAGTGGCCATCTGAGTGAGAAAATAATGAGGAAAGGCAGGATCCACCATGTTGAATGGGGTCTTGGGGTAGGCCTCCTTGAAGGTGCTGCTTGAACACCAGGTGGAAAGAAGACGGTGGTACTGATACAAGAAGGAACCTGGTTGCCAGAAAGCTGAGGGGTGAGCGATCAAGGTTGAGCAATGGAGCCAGGGTGAAGAATAGCTGAAGCTGGAGGGGTCTGGGGAAGACCACACATGTTGGGCTCATAGGCAGTTGAGAACACTGGCTTCTACTCTGAGTGAAAAGGAAATGCTAAGCTGGACACAGTGGCTCACCCCTGAAACTGTAGCTACTTAGGAGGCTGAAATTTAGAGGATTACAGTTCAAGACCAGCCCAAGCAAGTAGCTCATAAGACCCAATCTCAACCAATAGCTGGGTACAGTGGTGCACACGTGTCATTTTAGCTATGTAGGAGACTGAGATTGGAAGTCACAGTTTTAGGCCAGATCAGATCAAAAAAAAAAAACTTTGGGAGACCACATCTCAATGGGAAAAAAAAGCTGGACACAGCACATGCCTGTCATTCCAGCTATAGCAGAAAGCAGAAAATAGAAAGAGGCCCTATCTCAAAAATAATCAGAGCAAAAAGGGCTGGAGACATGGCTCAAGTGTAGAGCACTTGACTAGCAAGTGTGAAATCATGAGTTCAAACCCTAGTACCACCTAAAACAAGGGCTTGGGGGAGAGACTGCTGGATGATCAGAGCAATGAAGTAAGGGCTTCTGGCTTGTTCTAGAACACTCTGTTCTCTGCCTTGGACAATCAGATACAGAGAGGTGGAGGTCTCTTGACAGAAATCATCTGGGACATGGGCCAAGGCCCTGGCAGCTCAAACCACACAAATCAGGGGAGGTGTGTGGAGCTGGTGTATAAGAGGAGATGTTAAGTGTGAGGAAGGACAAGTCAAAAATGCCGCTAAGCTGGTGGTTGAATCATTCCCTGGGTGGAGATGGGGAAGCCAGATGGGAGGGGGTAGGTTTTGTGGCTGAGATTTCTAGAGGCACAGGACAATGGGCGTTGATAAAGGGGCCCTCAGTGGTCAGGTGGAGGATATCAGACTTAGGCTCCCAGACAGGGATGGGTCACTAGGGATCTGTGTTGGAGGGCACCGGCCATGGCTAGAGCCACATCAGGAGACTGGCAGGCCCTCAGGGTGGGCTGTGGATGGGTATGGGCTAGGTGTGAGCTGGGGCCTCCGACAGCAAGAGACGCACCCATGGGTGTGTGGCCCTCACCCTCTCACACACCAAGGCATCTCACCAAGCAGGAATCATAACCAAAGAGCAACTCTCACACCTTCAATTCCAAAATCAGTTTAAACACCATCTTGCAAAGTTACCTTCATTTTACTCCCGTCTTCACCACTTTACCTTCTATTTGGATCCTAAATGAAACAGTTAAACTTATGAAAGCTGTTGCACTGAAATGTTTTAAAACTATTTTGGCAGAATTCCAAAGCCGACTTTCCCAATGTTCTTGAGCCCCAAAGTTTGAAGAATTCAGAGTCCAAGAAGAATTCAGAGTCGCAAAGCTCTGTGGCCTCACCTGAGAGCAGCCCCTGGATTGTCAGGGTCGTAGGATTGGGACCCTTTGAGAACGAAGGGGAGCGAGGTGGCCCTGGGGATGAAGAGGTGTGTGCCCTCTGAGATTATGCTGACAGGTACCTTGGCTCGTACCTCCACACCCACGCGATAGCTGCTGTGTACCACGCTGCCCTGGATGTGAACCTGTGGGACCAATGACAACGGGGAGTGTCACACAGGGATGAAGCAAGGTGCTCACTCACTGGACCTACTGCCCATGTACTGCTAGAAAGGAAAGTGGCATGTCTATATTATATCCTTGGCTCCATCAAAACCAGTCACAATTGTCAAAATAAACTACCTACTGGGTCTGCATTAGTATACAACACTGTGCAGGTGTGTGAATACAATGCCACAAATGACACCATTCAATGTGTGCACAGTATACAGTTCTTAAACTTCTTCCATCAATGGTAAAACAGGATCTTGGCATTTGTGTGCCTCTCTTTATGCTTCTCTAAGCTACTTCTTTCTAAGGTCTAAACATACAATGGATTTTAAGAAATGTACATGCAGTTGGGCTTTGGTGGCTCACATCTGTAATCCTAGCTACTCAGGAGGCAGAGATTAGGAGGATTGTGGTTCAAGGCCAGCCCAGGCAAATAGTTCTTGAGACCCTATCTCTAAAAAAAAACATCACAAGAAAGGGCTGGTGGAGTGGCTCAAGTGGTAGAGCACCTGCCTAGCAACTAGCAAGCATAAGGCCCTAAGTTCAAACCTTACTACCACTAAAAAAAAAAAAAAAATTCAAGAAACTTCAGATGAATACTTTTTGAATTTAGGAATCCTGAAACATTTTATAAATAAGACATTCAAGTGTTTTTTTTATAAAACTTGATGCAATTAAAAAAAAAAAAAAACCACACGGTCTAACCTTGCTGTGCCTCTCCCTGGGTCTCAGCCTCACCATTCTGGGTTTTCTTCCTACAGCACTCGTAACTTCCTGCTGTCTGATTTCCCAAGTAGGACAGAGATAATGAAATGACTACATGATCAAAACTTCCATTTATGACCCCAGCCTGCATTTGTCCTGCTGCTACAGCTCCAAGGAAGCTCTGAGAGGGTTCCACATCTACGAACGACAGAAGGAGCTCAACATTGGAGCTGTTGTCAGAGATACAGCCAGGTGAGGAGCTCAGAAGCTGAGGATCTGGGCACCAAACATGAGAGCAGAACTAGCAATGCACTGTATCTCCCCTACTCTGCTCTCTGTCCATGTCCCTGTTTTATCCTCTATGTATTTTTCTTCTTTTTTCTTTTTTCGTCCCTCTCTTCCTTTCTTTCCCAGGCTGGCCTTGAACTCATGATCTTCCTGCTCCAGGGCTGGGATCACCTGCGTTCACTGCCACTGCTTTGAAGTGTGTCTTCACGTCTCTACTAGAACACTGTCCCCACATCCCACCCTTTCTAGCTTCTCCAAAGCTAGTATTTCCAGAGAGGTGTATGTGTTGGCCTTGGAAACTGAGTTTTTCCTATTACCTGCCACTAACACAGGGTCCCTCAAGAGCAAGCTGTGGTCCTCTGTCACGGTGCTGACTGTTTGGGTCTAGTTCACGCTGTGAGGGATCCTGTAGTGAGCCGCTTGTAGTCTGGGCTCGGACTCAGAAAGACCATGTGCCCCACAAAGTAAAAGAACCCAATTCTCCACTGTAGAAATTTGGGGGAGTCCCCTCTGTGGTCCCAAGGCATCTTCTCAGCCTGGCCTTCCCCACCTTATTACAGTCTGAACCCAGACCCTCCTTCCAGGATCAGTTCAAAACCCCAAGCTGTCACCCCCCCACCACCCCCCAAAGTCTGTGAACACCATTTTCAGGACCCCTCCTTCACAAAGCCCACTCTTACAGCATTCATTTTCACCAGCCAAAATACACTGAGTGTTGGCCTCAAAGTGTCCCACTGTTGTCACTATAGATGTCTCACGCATGGCCCTGCCTCTAATGGACATCGTCCTTCCTTTCTTCAAATGACAGGGTCAACTATTCTCCTGATGTGCCAGTACCAGCCCAGGGCTTGTTCAAGCAGGTGCTTTGCAAGGTTTGGTTAAAAGGACTAGAAGGCGAGCTTTTCATTGATTACTTGGCCAGCACTGGAATGTATGCTCTCTTGGGAATGTATGTTCTCTTAAAATCCTGTCCATGCCTTTATTCCAACAACCCCATTTTTTTTGGACAGAACTTGTTTAGAGTTACAAATTCTGAGCTTTTTTGTAGGTCTGGGCTAGCAGTATGGAAAGAGCAGACTGACCTTGGCAATGGCAGTGTAGTTCCCATACTCCAGTGCAAAGCTTGGGAGCACGAGGGTCTGTCTGTGGGTGTTGATGGCAGCAGGGAGGGTGACAAGGGACCCCTTGGAGTCCAAAATTCTCCAGGTATAAGAAAGACCTTGGGAAATGTCACAGAGGACAGCAGCTTCAAATGTCACTCCTAGTCTCAGGGGTTGAGACCGCCATATCTGAGTATTGACAAGAGAAGAATCTCAGTAAATGTCCATCTCAGTAAATGACAATGATATGATAAATTACTAGAAAATCTCACTTATAAACCTCCAATCACAGGATGGGATCCAGGACTTTAGATAGCACCAGCAGAAATACTACATCTGTTTTAAAGACAAATGCAAAAAAGCAAAAGAAAAATAGTGTTTGTATTTACAAACTCCTAACGGGAAAAGGAAACTTTATGAGCATAAAATTTGATTACATACAATTTTTCAACTTGTAAATGTCAAAAATATAAACTCTAAAAACAATAGAAAAAAAAAGAAAATGACTTGTAATAAATGTGACATATATTTGCATTTTCTGTTTTATTTTCCTTGCCAAAGAAAGTCTCAGAAATCTGGATATTTGAACCCTAAATGTTTAATATGTATATCTTTAAAAGCTAAGGGTATTTTCTTACACAAACACAATATTATCCTATCTCAACAATTATCAATGATTTTTTTTGAACTCAAGTACTACTTGAGCCACTCAGACAGATAGATGGATGGATGGATGGATGGGTGGTGGGTGGATGGATGGATGGATGGGTGGATGGTTAGATAGACAGATAGATAGATAGACAGATAGATAGCAGTTACTTTGTCCTGCTTAGCCACTGTACCCTCTCTCTTCCCCCTTCTCCCTCCCCCTGACCCCCCCCATAGTCCTCCTTTACACTCATGTTCTATTATTATCATCATTATTATTATTATTTTATCATCATCATTTAGCTCATCATTTAGGAATCTAGATTCTGCATATAAGTGAAAACACGTTTGACTTTTTGAGCTTGGCTTATCTCACTCAACATGATGATTTCCAGTCCCACCCATTCTCCTGCCGATGATATGATTTCATTCTTATTTACATATATATCCCACATTTTCTGTATCTGCTCATTGGTTGTTGGGCACCTAGGCTGCTTCCAAAGCTTGGCTATTATAAACAGTGCTGTGATAAACATGGCTGTGCAGGTATTTCTCTTGAGTGTTGACTTGGATTCTTTTGGATCTATGTCCAAGAGTCTATGGTGGGGTCATAAGGTAGGTCTATTGGAGTTTCTTGAGGAACCTCCACACTGATTTCCATAGGGTTGGCACCAGTTTACATTCACACCAACAGTGCTTCCAACAGGGTCCCTTTTCCCCACATCCTCACCAGCATCTTTCTCTTGATTATGGCCAATCTGACTGGGGTGAGATGGAATCTCAGTGTAGCTTTGATTTGCATTTCCCTTTTGGCTGTGGGACATTGAACATTTCTTCATGCATTTTTAACTCAGGGCCTCAGGCTTGCATAGCAGGCTCTCTTACTGCTTGACCCTGCCAGCTCAATTATTTATTATTTTGGTGTTTAGATTTTTTGAGCTCTTTGTGTGTTCTGGAATTAATCTTTTATCTTACAAATAGTTGGCAAAGAAGATGCCCCACTACTGACAAATGGATCAAGAAAATGTGGTATCTATACACAATGGAATTTTATGCAGCCATGAAGAAGAATGAAATGTTATCATTCGCTGGTAAGTGGCTAGAATTGGAGAATATCATTCTGAGTGAGGTTAGCCTGGCCCAAAAGACCAAAATCATATATTCTCCTTCATATGCGGACATTAGATCAAGGGCAAACACAACAAGGGGATTGGACTTTGAGCACATGATAAAAGCGAGAGCACACAAGGGAGGGGTGAGGATAGGTAAGACATCTAAAAAATTGGCTAGCATTTGTTGCCCTCAATGCAGAGAAACTAAAGCAGATACCTTAAAAGCAACTGAGGCCAATAGGAGAAGGGGACCAGGAACTAGAGAAAAGGTTAGATCAAAAAGAATTAAAGAATTAACCTAGAAGGTAACACACATGCACAGGAAATTAATGTGAGTCAACTCCCTGTATAGCTATCCTTATCTCAACTAGCAAAACCCTTGTTCCTTCCTATTATTGCTTATACTCTCTCTTCAACAAAATTAGAGATAAGGGCAGAATAGTTTCTGCTGGGTATTGAGGGGGTTGGGGGGGAGAGGGAGGGGGTGGAGTGGGTGGTAAGGGAGGGGGTGGGGGAGGGGAGAGAAATGACCCAAGCCTTGTATGCACATATGAATAACAAAACAATAAAAAAATGCAGTAGATTGTTCCTTTAAGATGTTCCTAAATCCTTAGTCCTCATTCTATAGTATTGTCTTGACAAATAAAAATAGCACCATTCATTTACTGAGCACTTACTATATGCAGCAATAAGTGAAGTTGTTTATTATCTGTTATGTGCTAGTCAATCTTATTTTTTTAACAATACTCTCATTAATCAAATTTTTATATATGAGAAATGCAAAATGTGCAGAGGTTAAATAGCTTTTCCAAATTCATAGTTAAACCTGGGTTATGTAGAATCTGATGATTATCCAAGGATAATAAAGTAATAAAGAAGTGATAATTTTTTTTTTCAAAAAAAAAAAAAACATAGTTGGCAAAGTCTTTCTCCCTTTCTGTAGGCTGTCTCTTCATTTTGGTAAGTGTTTCTTTTGGTATGCAGAAGCTTTTAAATTTGATGCAACCCCGTTTGTCAATCCTTGCTCTTATTTCCTGGACAATTGGAGTCCTATCCAGGAAATAATTGTCTATAAGTGTCTCCCCTGTGTTTTCCTGTAGTACTTTCAAAGTTTCAGGTCTTTGATCCATTTTGAACGATCTTTGAACAGGGTAACAAACAGGGGTCTAGTTTAGTCTTCTACAGGCGGATATCCAGTTCTCTCATCATCATTTGTTGAAGAGGCTGCCTTTTCTCCAATGTGTATTTTGGGATCCTTTGTCATAATCAGGTGGCCATACCTGGGTGGGTTTATTTCTGGGTCTTCTATTCTGTTCCATTAGTCTTTGTGTCTGTTTTTTGTTTGTCATGCTTTTTCTGTTTACTACGGCTCTGAAATATAATTGGAAATTTGGTACTGTAATATCTCCAGTACTGCTATTTCTTGTATGTTTCCACAAGAATTTTAGGAATGATCTTCCTATTTCTGTGAAGAGTGATATTAGGATTTTGATGGGGATTGCAATGAATCTGTAGATTGCTTTTGGTAATACATCATTTTCATAATACTAATTCTGCCAATCCATGAACATGGGAGGTCTTTCTGTCTTCTGGTATTCTCTTCAATTTTTTACTTCAGGATTTTATATTTTTTTGTTATAGAGGTCTTTCACCTCCTTAGTTAAGTTTAATTCTTCTTTTTTGGTGGTACTGGGGCTTCAACTCAGGGAACTTGAACACTTGCTAGGCAGGTGCTCTACCACTTGAGTCACTCCATCAGCTCTAAGTTTATTATTATTATTATTGTTATTATTATTTTGCAGTACTGGGGCTTGAACTCAGGGCATTCACCCTGAGCCACTCCAAAAGCCCTTCTTTGTGGTAGGTTTTTTCAAGACAGGGTCTCGTGAACTAGTTGCCTGGACTGACTTGAATCATGATCTGCTGATCTCTGCCTCCTGAGTAGCGAGTATTCCAGCTGTGAGCCACCAGTGCCTGGGTATTCTTACTTTTTTTTGAGGCTACTATGAATGAAATTCCTTTCCTGATTTCCTTCTCAGCCTATTCATTGTTATTGACTTTTGTATGTCAATTTTATATCCTGCCACATTGCTGAAAGTGTTTTGGTGGAGTTTTTAGAGTCTTTTAAGTATAGGATCATATAGGGATAATTTGACTTCTTCCTTCCCTATTTGAATCTCTTTAATTTCTTCTCTTGCCTTATTGCTCTGGCTAGTAATTTCAGTACCATATTGAGTAAGAGTGGGAAAAGTGTGCACTCTTACTTCATTCCTGACTTTAGAGGTAATCAGTTTTTTCCTGTTCGTATGATGTTGGCTATAGATCTGTCATATACAGACTCTATTGTGTTGAGGTACATTCCTTCTATTCCTAGGTTCTTCAGAACTTTATCTTGCAGCTAGGATTTCCTAGGTGGAGCTGTGACTGGTAGGTACTGTGCTGATCCTTAGGACTCTATTTTTTGTTTTGTGTGGCAACTGGTGTGTCCTCCTGGGTTTCCATTGAGGGCCCTGTCTGGCCAGACCCAAGATCTCCACCACCTGTAGTTTCTCTTGCTCAGCTCTGTCCCTACTGCTTTAGGAGTCCATGGGATCTGTGCCATAGTTGTCCACAGAGAGTTCGCAGGGTGCTGATAGAACCAGATGTACTGAGCTCATGGGGTGCTGATGGAACCAGATGTACTGAGCTCGTGGGGTGCTTATTGAATCGGTGCCATCTTCCCTCAAATCTCTCTTTCCCTTAATTACCACGTCAGAGTGAGAAGTTGTGTGACTGACTGCCTCCAGTGGCCACCAGTGTGCTGTGTGTAGCTGCCTGTTTGTCAGGACAAGGTAGCTTCTTCTTTTTCTTTTAGAGCATTGATTTTTTAAAATACTATTATTCATTCATTTGTAGACATCTTTTAGATGCTTAAAGTGGTCTATTTCAGACCTGGTTCTGATAACTTGATAAAACCCCACTTTTCTTTGTAAGTGGTGGGTTTCTTGTACTTTTCTTTCAACTTTATTTACACAAGAATTTCCATAATTAGAAATTTTAAATATAAATAGTAGGTTTTGCCTTGTTTTTTGGCAGTACTGAGCTTTGTACTTAGGGACTCACACAAGTGGCAGGTCCTTTACCACTTGAGCCATGCCCCAAACGCTTTTTGCTTTTAGTTTACTTTTCAGGTAGGGTCTTGCACTTTCTTCCCAGGCCAACCAGGGAACCTCAGGATAGGGGTTCTGCCCAGCCAGGGGCACTATCTCTCCTGGGACTGATGCTGGGTGCAAGGACATCCCCTGGAGGACTTTTCTCTCCTTACAAGTTCCATAAAAATTGGAAAGAAGTATGTCCAGAAGGAGTTGAGAAATGGGATATTAAGAAACACTGGTTCTTGGTATAAATGGACTTTTGCTTTTGGCATTCTATAGGTGGCATTAGTCATCATTTAAACTACTTTTCAGTTATTTTTATTGTGTCCATTCCATGACACTATTTTAGGATTTGTCACAAAACTGCATAGTTTATGCAAATTTTAATACTGAAATGCTAATTGCAGCCCATTAGTAATAATGCATATTGCAGGTGCATAATTCTACTTGATTCACTCCCCAGCCCCAATTTCATGATAAACACACATCTTGCAAATACACATCCACCCTTGACATATTAAAAAGCATTAGGAAAACATTGAAAATAAATGCCTCAGGTGATTAACGGTGGCTATCCATCTTCTGCTGGCTGAATTTCAATTTTTTCCTAACATCTTTAGAAAATGTATAAAGCATTAACCTGATTTATAAATATTGCTTTCTTTGCTTTATCGATGACAAATCTCAAATGAAAAAGTTTTAAAGATTAAAAATACCAGGGCTGGCAGAGTGGCTCAACTGATAAGAGCTCCTGCCTAGCAAGCTTGAAGCCCTGGGTTCAAATTCCAGTGCCACTAAAAAAAAAAAAATTAAAAACTAGATTCATTAATATGCACAAATTTTATGTTTCTATGTATCAGCTAAAAAATAAAACTAAAATTTAATAATAGAGCCAGGTGTGGCACACCTGTAATCCCAGCACTCAGAAGGCTGAGGGAGGAGAATCATAAGTCAGTCTGGTTACATAGTAAGTTCAAGGCCAGCTTGGGCTACATAGTGAGTGAGCCTGACCTGTCCTCCAAATAAGTAAATAAATATCAGGGCGTCAGTGGTTCATGCCTGTAATCCTAGCTACTCAGGAGGCAGAGATCAGAAGGATCACAGTTGGAAGCCATCCCTGGCAAACAGTTCACAAGACCCTATCTTGAAAGAAAACCATCACAAAAAAGGGCTGGCAGGGTGGCTCAAGTTACAGACCCTGAGTTCAAACCCCAGCACTGCAAAATAAATACATAAACAAACAAACAGTAATAATAATAAAAATAACCCCTTCCCAAAAATGGTGGCGCCTTATGACTTGGCCTCCCAGTAGAATTAGGATCCCAGCCTGAGCCTCTGGTCCCAGCCTTGTGACTGCCCAGTTGTGGTCTCTTTCTCAAGTCCCCTCGATTTTTGATCTGTCTTCTTCTCCCCCTCCCCCAGAGGGCACTGAGCTGCCTAGAGGGTGGGTAGGGGTCTTGCCTGTGAGGGGCTGGAGAGGCCTAGGCCTTCCCCAGGCAGTGTCATGTGCTCTCTTGATCTCCACTGCATACACTGGGGGTACAGCGACCCCAAGACTCCCAGGGCCCAGCAACTGACCTCTGGGGCTTTCTGCCTGCAGGAGGAAATATTTTGGCAAATGCTCTGTTACAGATTTGAATTTCCATGTGTTATCTGAGCATTTCTGCCCTGAAAGTATAAATGAAAGACCTCAAAGGAATGAAAGAAATAAAGGCAATCCTGTTTTTCCCAAAACTATAGCTGGTGCTCAAAAAATTGATTATTTAATTTGAGTGTCAAATTTTCCTTTTTCTTGCATACACTACAGTTCTCTGTTCAATTAGAACAAAAAAGAAGTTTGAAAAAAAAAAAAAAAACCAACTCAAAGTGAGCTGTGCTGGATGCCAGAGGCATAGATGAATAAAGGACTTATTCACACGCTAGAAACCAGGCTTCCCCCACCCCCCACCTCACCCCCGCTTGTGGAGGACTAGCCTCACCCCACAACTGCTACAAAGCCCTCATAGCAGCTCCTTTGTGTACAGTGCAGCAGTCCAGCTTCACAAAGTCTGCTTCGTTCCCCAAAGAGCTGGCTGATCTGGACACTTAGATGCATTTGGAGCCAGTACAACACGAAGGCCTAGGCCCCTGGCCCTACCTGCACCTTTGCAAGCCCCATGTTCTTCACTGGGGGTGGCTGGCAGGGCTTGTGCACAATGAAGACGTGCTTCCTTAGGACAGCGGAGCTGACACTGTTGAAGGTATAGACCTCCACTGTAAATTCTCCCTCCCTGGAAGGGGGAGAGACAGAGAAACGAGAAGGAATAGGTTGTTATCTACTGGCTCACTTTGTCCTTCATAACCAGACCTGTATAGCTACAGGTCTTGATGGCTACTTTATCCAGAGAGTGGGGACAGAGAGGCATGGATCACAGAGGTCATTCCTGTCCAATTGACGGACAGCCACTCACCCCATGTGGGTCAAACCCAGTGCTCACTGACTGGAACTCACCTGCTCTGGATAACACAACACAGTCGGGTGAGAACACACTGCTTCCAGCAGCCATGCCCTATCGTCCTGCTGATTACAGGGCTATCCAAGGTTTTCCTTGTGTGATGTGATCCAAACCTAAGGGTCTCTGTGAAGATCTTCCTAGTCTGGTCTTTGCTCCCAGGGTCAGATTTCTTGACTAATCTCTTAGGCCACTGAAAACTTAGAAGGCACAGGATAGGTCCCCAACTCAGCCCTGTGTCCAGCCCCAGGTTGGGTGAAGAGATATGGCACAGGAGGAATGTGGGAACCAGGTAGCTCCTGATCCCGCAGGCCATACTGCACTGATGAAATACACATCGATACAGCAAATGATGCAAAATAGAGTCATTCAAGACTTCTGAATTTGAAACAAAAAAAAAAAATAGTCCCATCAGAACACCACACATTCAAGTTGACTGGGACCTGAATGTCACCTGCCATCCTGGAGCTCCAGGAAGAAAGGCAGGATGAAGGCTGTGTGGTGGTCTCAGGTTGAGGGGAACCCAGGGCAGACGCTGGTAATGACCCTGATGGTCCAGGGTGGCATGAGAGGACTTCTAGGTTCCAGATACCTAAATGCGCCAATCCACCAGGCACTCTTGCTCAATTCCTTCTGCCTAAAATCTATTTCTGGTAGAGAAATCCTGAATTGTGGCCAGTAAAGGATCATTCAGGAGTCCTCATGAAAGTGAGAGGAGCCCCAGACATAGGATCTGTGGACATCCTGCAGTGACATAAGTCTGCAATCTTTCCCGGGTGCCACTCCCACCCACATCTTGCTTTCTGGATGCTCTGTACACTGATGTCCCCTGTGGCAGCACAAAGGTGCCAGGCCAGTCTTAGGCTCGGCCTCAGCCATGCTTATCTCTCACAACTTTGAGGACTGGGTGCTGACTGGGAGGTCTCTTTCTGCCCCCACTCAGGACCTAGGACTCACTCTAGTCAGAGACTCAGCTGGCCTGTTCTTCTGCATGTTGTCACATTCCTAACATCTTTGAGATGTACAGTTCTGTGATTTGCACCTGTATTTATTTTGGATAAAGACAGTCATATCTCTTTCTTATCTGGGCATGTGTTACAGACTGACATTTTGGTGGAAAGACCACATATCCAAAGGTGGTCCCATCTTATGGGAGTCCCCACATTTTTTCTGCCAAACTCCTGCTCAGGGTTTGCCCTTTCGCCCACATGCAAATGCCCCTGTGAGAAGCGGAATAAGTTATCTCCACAGCACACCTGCCTCTTTTGCAGCAGGAACCCCCTTTGGAGGCCTGAAGGTCTCTGTCTGTCTGTCTCCCTCTGTCTTCTCTCTCCCTTCCTCTCTCCCTCTCTTTTTCTCCCCCCACCCGTCTCTCTCTGTCTTCTCCCTCCCTCCCTCTTTCCCTCCCTCTCTCCCCCTCCCTCTCTCTCTTCCTCCCTGCCTCTCTCCCTCTTGCTCTGTTTCTCGCCCCTTTCCTCTCTGTCTCTCTGCCTGCCTCTCTGTCTCTTTCTTCCTTTCCCCTGGATTGTAATCTCCTCCACAGCCACAGTCAGGTCTGATTTGTCTCTGTTTTACAGCTGTCACCTACATTGCCTGAAAGGCAGGACAGCAGTAGGGAACCAAGAGCTGGTCTGTGAGAAGCAATCTCAGCTACCACGTGTAGCGACCTGTCACCCACTCCACATGGCTTACCTGCTGTAGACATGGCTGGCGAAGCTGCCCCCTAGGCTGATGGTACTATCCCCAAAGTCCCACCGATAGGTGACATCTGTGCCAAAGTTGATTCTACACTCAAAGGCCACACTGGTGTTTACCAGGGCTGAGGCGGGGGACACGAGCCGGTTGGTCACAATTCTCTTCTGCACCCTGATGAGGTGGGGCTCAGAGACCACACTGCTGATCCCATTAGAGGCCTTGACTGTTACACGGTACCTGCGGGATGGAGAAGGAGGGCAGAAAAGCCACATGGTAAGATGAAAACAGAGATGGACAGAGTCTTTAACAGAAAGACAGGGAGTGGGGTTAGCTTCAGGAATTATCATAGTACCCAGTGACTTTCACCTTATCAGGAACAAGGGAGAGTCATATTTTTTAGCTTGTCTGCCTCATTATTTTGTTCATGTGTCCAAGCAGGGGATAGGCCCGCTGCCCTTCCTCAAGGGAAGAATGCCTTAGATCACAAGATTTGAACCTGGGATTGCCCTGCACCCTGTCACTTAGGGCACACTGAAGGGAAGGGAGTCCTTTCTTTAGATCTTGTGCCTGAGTTCAATTCAAAGAAATATAGTGGCTCATCAGAGTACAAGCATGACACCCTTAAAGTTGTTTTGGCAGCAGCAGGGCAATCTTGACCCTATTCGGGCTGCATTACCACGCCACCCATTATGATAATGGTGGCTACAGACCACTGGGGGATGCTGAGTCTCCTTCTGACACTTCTAGAAGTTGTCCTCACTGGCGGATGGTTCTCAAAATGCCACACAAACTCCAGGGTTGTGGTCTCCTTGGTCACAGCCACAAAGGTGATGTCTGTGTTTGCAGCAAACACGGTTCCGTTTGTGTAGACAGAGACAGCTATGACAAAATGAGGGAGACGTGGGCATGTTAACACAGAAGGGTTGGAATCCACAGAAGGGTATCAGTATCTAGACTTTCCTCTTAGTCATGACTGAGAAATGGGAATGCACCTCCATACTGGAGCACAGGGCTGGGTCTGAGGTGCAGTCCAAGTTTAAGGTCATTGGTAACAGTTTGAAAGGCAAGATGGTGGCTCCTTTGGGACTTGTGCTTGGAAGGCTGTGGGATGTAAGGCCACAGATGACTGTGTGACAGCCCACCTTCTCATGCCCTGAGTGGGAACCTCACAGCCTATGATTATTGGAAAAATCCCATAACAAACTGCCCATGAACACAAAGCCTGTGGAAGACAGAACCCACAGCAGAACTGGTGTCACCTGTGGCTTTAGTCACTGCAGCCAACATAGAGGGAGGGTCTGTTAAATATAACTTAGACCAAAACGTACATTGCATCTTATACCAAACAGTCACGCTGGGCCAAGTCTGACTGTCACCCACTTGGGACATAGAAATAAAGGACACATTGTATGAAGAGATGGATGGAAAATGATGCATTACAACAGTACCTAAAATAAGAAAAAAAATAAGAAAATAATCTTAAAATTAATTCACTTTTGCCATGCCACATATAGCAATATTTTCCATTTTTAACTTTCTTTAAATTCCAATAATTTTCAAAATTTGGAACACTTGTTCTGAAACCAGAGGGGTCTGGGAAATACAAATTTTGTTGCAGAATTTCTCTTGTAAAAATTTTCTTTAATCTGGGTGCTGGTGGTTCACACCGCAATCCTAGCCACTTGGAGGCTGGGATCAGGAGGATTACAATTCAAGGCCAGCCTGGGCAAATAGTTCATGAGGTCCCCGTCTCCAAAATAACCAGAGCAAAATGGACTAGAGGAGTGGCTCAAATGGTAGAGTGCCTGCTTTGCAAGTGTGAAGCCCTGAGTTCAAACTCCAGTCCCACCAGAAAAATTTATTTAAATGACTTGTCTTCAGAGAACTCCCTAGTTCCTCCCTTGCTTTAAAAGTATAATGAGTAATCTTTGTGTCACAGGGGTCCCTAAATGGGAGCTCAAAGATGAGCTCCCTGCATGTAAGACCACTAGAATGTTATGTGAGATTTTGTGTGTGTATATGTGTACATACTATACACCACACACACCTGTGTATGGATGGATTGGGAGACAGAAACCAAACACTAAACCAGATCCTAGAAGAGGGCTGTGGTTTCAAACAACTCATTTATCATAAAGGAATATTTTCAAAGGAGGTGGAATTATTATTATTATTATTACTATACTTTTGCATAGTTTTATTACAAAGACAAAATGCTTATTTATAACAGGGTAAAGTAAAATGAATATTTTGTCCATACACTAGAATTTATGAAAAATACATCATGAGTAAAAGTGACATGATCTCATTAACAACTGAAAACTGATGCTCACTACAGTCTGGCAGTCAGAAAGAATGAGGAAAGTACAATTTATGGATTGGCACAAGATTATCCAATTATCAATCTGTTGGACTTCAGATCCTAAATCCTGGCATGGAACCCACAGAATTCACACAGACTATGTTCAACCATTGACTAGAGTGGCTGCTTATCCATTTAAAACTTAGATAAACAAGTCAATATGAATGCCCAATGGCTGGCTGTGTAAGAGGTGCTCAAACTACTTTTGCTGAAAAGCACTGACTCCTTACTTGGGCCCACAAATTAACTAAAAACAGGAAAATCTTGGTATCCCTGCCCCTATTTTGTATCTGTCTTTGCTCTAAGCCATTCTCTTTGCAGTCACTTTACAATCACGTTGGATTCCAAAAAGGACAGAATGGATAACATCTTTATGACAAGGGACTGAAACTTCCCATAAGGAACAGTAGAGACTTGCAGGACAGACACCCTCCAAGTAGGACAATGACCTATAATGATGAGCCTGCACCCTGGAGCAGAAGCAATCATCTCATGGGAACCAGATGACTCCCCTCAAGTAATGACAGTGATGACATCTCTGGAACCCTTGGACTGAGATAATGGTCAACCAGACCACACCTGTGACTGGGACTGTTTAACTATGCATGCCTTTTGTCCTCTGTCCCCAGTTCTTTGTCTACTTAAACCTGTAGCTTATGTCTGTACCTTGAAGATGGCTGAAGATGGCTGAGTGTTTATTCTGCCTCTTCCATGGCATGCCCTGAGCCATGCAATAAACCTCCTTTCTCTGCCTTCACCATGACTCTTTATTTGGCATTTAGGGGCGGGTGGCCAGGCCTGCCATGTGGAATCTCAGGACTCTGGGCCTCTGGTTTCAGCTTGATTGTGATGACAGGTTTTAAAAGCCCTCCCCTACATAATTCTTGAATAGTTTCTCTCCCAGCTGAGTGTATGGGAAATGTGCAGTCAATGTACAGAATGAGTTATGAGCACTTCTCATGAATGAATTCACAGGCTGCATTTTCCTCTGTGTTCTCCTTTTTCCTACTCCTGGGAAGTGCTACCCATAAGTCCATCCACCTAAGCTGAGCACTTTGGGGTTCTCTTTCCCTGGCTCCCTGCTGGCTCTCTCTAGTGCATATGGATTCTTCCCTCCATTACAGTCCCTCTTCTATGCCCTAAGTCTCTGAGATTCAGATTCCTCCTTTGCAAAGCTGACAGGAAGGGAACAGAACACCTACTGCACAGGTAGGTGTGGGAAATTAGAGTTCCTGACACATCTGGAGCACTCAGTGCTACTTTTCAGCCCTGGCTTTGCTATGGTTGGAAGACAGGCTAAGAGAGGGAATTCGAGACTCTTAGAACATATATGACTTGATATTGTATTTCAGGTTGAACATTCTTCTCTATCTTTGAGCCTTCTTTTCAATTTGTCATTCACACCCAACTCAAGGACAACTCAAACCATCCCCACCTCAGCCCAGGGACCACGCATGCCCCACCCCTACCCTCATCAATTATTGGTTAGGAATTACCAGGTTCTTCCCTTCCCATAGGTTAGCACAGGTTTTAAAAGCACCTGGAAAGAGGAAGACACTCTCTCTGCTTCTGGCTTCCATTTGGCCCCACCATGGCCATTTGTAACTTCTTTCCTTAATCTTGAATAAATGCCATTACCTCCGTTACTGTACCCATGTGTCCTGCCTGGATGCTTCCACGTGGGACACAAGAATTTGAGAATCTTTTGATCAGAGACTGTACCAGCCTACAGCAGTTGTGCCGTCTGCTCAGAGTGTCTCCCACATCTGCCTTCGTGTTCATCAAATGTGTTAAGTGCCTATTTCAAGTAGTCCCTGTACCTCCAATTACCCACAATCCTTCGCTTGTCAACCCTTCACTTGTCAACTTCCCAGCCCCTGTCAATGCCCTTTTCCGGGCACTTTTCTGTCTTATCATCTCCCGTTTTCATACACATATCTTAATGCCTTCACTTGATTACAAATTCTTTGAGGTCAGTACTCTGTAGGACTCCATCGTTGTGTCCTCCCCATGCACAATATTTTGCAGTAATTACTTTGTGCATGAGAGAATAAATGAGAGTGCCTGTACCAATTTAGAATTGTTATAACTTGGATGGTAAAACTAAAGCAGAGAGAGGGAAAGGGACAGGGAGAGGGGAGGGAGAGAGAGGAGGGAGAGGGAGAGGAGGGAGTGGGAGAGGGACAGGGAGAGGAGGGAGAGGAAAGAGAGGGAGAGGGGGAGACAGAGAAGGGAGGGGAGAGGGAGACAGGCTGCTGTTCAGCTAGGGTCTTGTTGCTCAGCCTGCAGACACGGGTCTTACTTTTCTGCCTTAGGTTGGAGCCAGCGAACACAATAACTTCATCCTTGTGGACACTGCTGGAATTCAAGAGCACAGACACAGTCTCGTGGCCAATTTCCACATAATAAGGTCCAAGTTCCACTTCCGCTCCATGAAACCCACAAATAACAGCCTGGAGCTTGTAGACACCTTCTGGTAGAAGAAGAGAGAAGGGACATTTGATGGATTTGTAGACATGCAAAACAGCATCTGCAGAACGGTCAAAAAGGCGGACTAGCCTGGGAATTGACACCAGGGATTTTTCTTATCTCGTTTCCAGCTGGGTCATTTCCTGGACATGCCACCATACAGTGCACAGAGCACCACACTCAGCACTCAGTTTAATGTTCTGCTGTGCTGAAATTCTTCAAATTTTTTTTTATTAGTAAGGGATCCTGCGTTTATACTTCCTACTGGACCTGAGATGATGTATCCAGTCTTGTGCAGAAGGAAACAGTCACTGTGTGAAAATAGACATTGGTCATCTCAGGGCTGTCAAGAATAAAGTCAGTGGTGGTCCAGTTTCAAGGCAAGGTATTTGACTCTGGCTGCTGGCTTGCATATCAGCGTGTGGGTGTTGGGGGAGAGGCAACTGATAAGGGAACTTAAACTGGGAGGGGTAAATCATGATAGAATGAGGAAATGGGAAAAAACTGTGTATATGCCAGAAAGCAATATCAAGGGGAGACCTTCACACCACAAAAAGAGGCAGATTCCACTTCTAAAATTTAACCAATCCTGAGAGAGGCATATTTTAAAATAACCCAATAGGAATTAGGTGACATACAGGAATAGACTGTAAACTTCACAGTATTCAGCCAATGAGGAACTGGGGGAGGGACTTGCATGCTAGCAATAAATGCTTATTGTAACAACTTCTGGGGTCTCTCTGCTTGTCAGGCACCTGATCTTGCAAGACTGCCATTAAAGTCTCAGTTTCACTGTACTCCGGTGTCTCTGAGTCCATTCGTTGTTTGGACAGGTGAGCATGTTTCTCACAGGGCTAAGCACAAAACACTTCAACAGCCCAAGGAGATATATCAAGGAATGATTATGAAAGATTACAAAATGGCCCCAAGCCCTTCCCTGGTTTTCCCATCCTTCTAATATGACAGTAACATGTCACCGTGGTTCCTGTCATTAATGGTATAGCCTAGCGTTTTCACACTTTGAATTGGTGCTACTCTTGTGGTTAATGCACTTGCCAAGTGCTCACACAACTGGGTTTGGCCTCTCTTGCTTTGAAGTAGCCTGTGCTAAAGGATGAGAGACGCATAACTGAATTGTCCCATGGAGCCAGCTATCTCCAGAAAAAGAGCCATCCAACTGATGAGCAGCTGGCTTACAGATCTATGAATGAGCCCACTGAGACCAACCTAGACTCAAATCAAACATGGATGAGCAGGATCCATCCTAGAGGAAGGAAAGAAAAGATGTCATGAAATGAGAATTCAGTACAAAGGACTCAGTGGCTGTGAATGTCACAGACACATACCTGTGCACACACCTAACACACACACATGCCACCCATAGACAGCTAGTTCAGATAAAATCAACTTTACAATTATGAATAGTGTTATGAAGAAAGAAAGGAGAAAAGGAAGAGAGGAGGAGAGAGGGAGGGAGGAAGGCCCATTCAGAATATACAGAGTATGCTCATAATAGATTCAGATCAATTAATAGATCAAGATTTGCCAGGAAAACATTGCCCACTGGAAGGTAGAGGACTGAACAGCTTGGGGAATCATATCTGCTGTGATGCAAGACCAGAGAGAAGAAATGAAGGCAACATTTCAAAGACCATAACAAAAATAGAAACTGCAGAGTAAGAGAGAAGAGATACGGAGGAAGAAATGACAAGCAAGATGAGATGAAAATAAAGAACAAATAATAAGATTGGAAAAAACTAAATAGATGTAACACATCTATGACCAAAGTCTCCCCAAAACAATTCTACTAAACTATTGGAACAGAAAAAAATATTTAGCAACGTAATTAAAGAAATCTTTCCTGGAACATGAAAGGGCAACACACATGTCTACATGTGAAAAGGGATTGACTGGGGTTGGCAGAATGGCTCAAGTGGTAGAACACCTGCCTCGTAAGCACGAGGCCCTGAGTTCAAATGCCAGTACCACCCCCTCCAAAAAAAAGAAATAAAAGGAAAGGGATCAACTAAGACAAGCCCACATCCATCCAAATATCAGAAGACTAAGATAAATATGCAAAAGAAAAAAAAGGCTACTTAATGAAATGCATTTGAAAATTTATACAGCCTATCTGACATCTAGCCAGCAATTTCCATAAAAGCAAATTCTCTTTTTTTTTTCCTTTTTCTTTTATTATTCATATGTGCATACAAGGCTTGGTTCATTTCTCCCCCCTGCCCCCACCCCCTCCCTTACCACCCACTCCGCCCCCTCCCTCTCCCCCCCAATACCCAGCAGAAACTATTTTGCCCTTATTTCTAATTTTGTTGTAGAGAGAGTATAAGCAATAACAGGAAGGGACAAGGGTTTTTGCTGGTTGAGATAAGGATAGCTATACAGGGCATTGACTCACATTGATTTCCTGTGCGTGGGTGTTACCTTCTAGGTTAATTCTTTTTGATCTAACCTTTTCTCTAGTACCTGGTCCCCTTTTCCTATTGGCTTCAGTTGCTTTAAGGTATCTGCTTTAGTTTCTCTGCGTTAAGGGCAACAAATGCTAGTTTTTTAGGTGTTTTACCTATCCTCACCCCTTCCTTGTGTGCTCTTGCTTTTATCATGTGCTCATAGTCCAATCCCCTTGTTGTGTTTGCCCTTGATCTAATGTCCGCATATGAGGGAGAACATACGATTTTTGGTCTTTTGGGCCAGGCTAACCTCACTCAGAATGATGTTCTCCAATTCCATCCATTTACCAGCGAATGATAACATTTCGTTCTTCTTCATGGCTGCATAAAATTCCATTGTGTATAGATACCACATTTTCTTAATCCATTCGTCAGTGCTGGGGCATCTTGGCTGTTTCCATAACTTGGCTATTGTGAATAGTGCCGCAATAAACATGGGTGTGCAGGTGCCTCTAGAGTAACCTGTGTCACAGTCTTTTGGGTATATCCCCAAGAGTGGTATTGCTGCATCAAATGGTAGATTGATGTCTAGCTTTTTAAGTAGCCTCCAAATATTTTTCCAGAGTGGTTGTACTAGTCTACATTCCCACCAACAGTGTAAGAGGGTTCCTTTTTCCCGCATCCTCGCCAACACCTGTTGTTGGTGGTGTTGCTGATGATGGCTATTCTAACACCTGTTGTTGGTGGTGTTGCTGATGATGGCTATTCTAACAGGGGTGAGGTGGAATCTTAGCGTGGTTTTAATTTGCATTTCCTTTATTGCTAGAGATGGTGAGCATTTTTTCATGTGTTTTCTGGCCATTTGAATTTCTTCTTTTGAGAAAGTTCTGTTTAGTTCACTTGCCCATTTCTTTATTGGTTCATTAGTTTTGGGAGAATTTAGTTTTTTAAGTTCCCTATATATTCTGGTTATCAGTCCTTTGATGTATAGTTGGCAAATATTTTCTCCCACTCTGTGGGTGTTCTCTTCAGTTTAGAGACCATTTCTTTTGATGAACAGAAGCTTTTCAGCTTTATGAGGTCCATTTATCTATGCTATCTCTTAGTTGCTGTGAAAAGCAAATTCTCTTAACTCAACCATCTAAAATGAGGATTACCAGTAGTGTTCAAATGGCAAAAGCCAACTACACTGTGGAAAGAGAAACAGCTAAGACAGAGATTCCCAAAGCTGGATGATGAAAGGATGTCCACAATTGCATGCAGCAGGCCCTGTGATGAGGTGGGAACCACCCCATATGCCAGGGATCCCCTTCTCTCCCTCCCTCCCTGTGTCCCTCTCTTTCTTTCTCCCTCCCTCCCTCCCTTCCTCTGTCCCTGTCTCCCTCTCCATCTCTTTCCCATTGTTGGGTGGGGTGGTGAGAAGAAACAGGAAGGAGGGTACCTCAGGGCTCAGTAGATGGCAGATGCTGGAGCCACACACCCTGGCTGGACAGGAAGGACACTGGGATGTGACTCATGTGACCTGCTAAGCAGTCAAGTGTTTTCCTTTTTAACACTGACTGCATTTTAAGCCACAAAGACAATCTCAGAACTTTGTGTAAAAAAAGTCAAAATAGTAGAGAGAAAAATTGTTTATCATGTTGCATTAGGACTAGAAATTAAAAATTGAACCATGACAAGAAAAGCCACATGGCATATGTGCATATCAGGAAAGGAAGAACAAAACACTTGCAAAAAAAAAAAAAAAGCAAGAAGGAAACAAAGACCAAAGCACAAAGTAAAAATGATGGAAGGAAATAAGTACAGGTATTAATGAAAATTTAAAATCCGTAAGAAGACGGGCACCGGTGGCTCGCACTTGTAATCCTAGCTACTCCAGAGGCAGAGATCACAGGATCAAGGTTCGAAGCTAGCCCAGGCAAATAGATCACGAGACCCTGTCTTTAAAAAAACCCTTCACAATAAAAAGGGCTAGTGGAGTGGCTCAAGGGGTAGGCCTTGAGTTCAAGTCCCAGTACTACAAAAAATAAAAGAGAGAGAGAGAGACAAAGTATGCAAGAGTTGGCCAGAGCCCCAACTCTGTGCACATCCTACAAAGGAGCTACCAGACTGGATAGAAGGGGTTCACAGGGATGCAGTGCCCCCCCCCACCGCCAGGGTCACAATACTGCTTCTTATGTCCCCAGGCTCTGGAGGAGGATGCTATGTATCATACCTTTTTTGTACTGGTGGTAGGCAGTCATGGCCGTTGTCTCTGTCATGTTGCAAAGCCTCATTTCACCTCCAGAACCGTCCCCAAAATCCACCAGCAGACAAAGAATTGCTCCCGAATCCACGTGAACATGGAATGCAAGAGCTGGAGTGTCCGATTTAGGGAAGCAACAGATGGCTGGGCTCCCAGTCTTATCAGGACCTTGTGCGGGGGTAGCCCTAGGAGGATACTCACTGAGGCAACAGGGCCTCTCAGGAGCAGACCAGGGTGTGGGGATGCTGGGAAAGCGGGAAGCTCCAGGCAGAAGGCCCAAGTTGCTGTGGGAAAGAGGCAGAGACTTCAGATTTCAGGACAGTCTAACAGGAGCCTGGGAACATGGCACCGGATGGGGTGAGGGAAGGTATGAGCAGTCTGGCTGGGGTCAGCCAGTAGGAAATGAGGTGTGGGACACCTGGGGAAGGCCTTGGTTCACTGGTTCTCATGGTAGGCTCCAGCTGGCATCACCAACATCACTGCACCCTTGTGAGACAGTCACCCCAGAAATCCTGGGTCCAGGTCAGCAAGCCCCTAGAAGACCCTGAGCTCTGCAGAAAGTGGAAAACCACTGCTCTAGCTACAGAAATAAGAGCAAAGTACAAATATTTTTCTCTCATCCCTGAAGTAGTGAACCTGAAACTTGTGTCTCCCACATGCTATAGTTTTTGTCCAATGCTCTTCTCTGCTGGTCAGGCTTGAGATTTGGGGGACCAGGACTTTGCCAGTTGCTGTCACCTCAATTCCCACATCCATCCATGTCAGCCTCTTAGGTCTCAGTTCTGATTACTACTGCTGTCTGCAATGCAGGGAGTTCTGTATGGGACGGAGTTCTCTCAAGAGGAGATGAACTGTGATATGTGGTTAACTTCAAATCCAGGTCTGGTTCCTGGTGTCCCCCTGGCTCCACCTCCCCACCCTCCCTCAAGGTGCGGAAACTACTCTTGAGTGCTTTCAACAGCATGTCCCCCTGAACCTTCTGTCCTATGAGATGGACATCCTGAGTAACTCTGCCTGTTCGTAAGTGTCATACTTTCTAGTCCATTCATCATTCTGGTCACTTCCTATCTTTTATTTACATTTCTTTGGTTCTTAATGTATGAAGGGAGGAAGGAAGGAGAAAGAGCGGGGGATGGAAGGGAAAAGAAAGGAAAGAAAGAAAATCCTTGCTGTGTTGGCTGCTACCACTGTGGGCCAAGGACGGGCTGTGAACAGCAAGCAGCTCCCCCACCCAGAAGAACCCCACACAGCCACAGGTGCTGCGCTCCCAGTGTTCTGTTCCATTGGCCACCATTTGCACTCCAACCTGCTATCTGCAACACAGGGGCAGCCACCACGGGTGCACTAAGGAGGGGAGCGCCTGGGGACACAGAAGGTCATGTGTGTCTGCTCTGGCCTTTCTTCCTGTTTTCCTGCCTGCCACACAGAACTGACATACACAGCCCTTCCTTGCTGAGACACTCCTAGGACCCTAAGTGCCAACAGATAAGACCATACCCCTTATCTTGGTCCCAGGGCTCACAGTAATGACTAGTTCATCACCTGCACCCTTCTTCCCACTGCCTGCCCCATTCCCACCAGACACTGTTGTGGTGGATTTTCCGATGCCATTGCCCCAGGCCTGGCACAGAGCGGAGGTGATGCATGCCACTTCCAACGACAGACTGCAAGTGCCAGGGAGGGGAGGTGCCATTGCTGTTTCTCTCTGCCCAAGAAGGGCCTGTCTGCAGCCAGGCCTGTGCCTACAGCTGGACCCCAGAAGGAAGAGGCCAGAGGTCATAGAGCTGAATGTGGTTCACAGATGATAGGAAAATAAATCTTTGTTTTCTTTTTCTTTTATTTATTTACTTATTTTTGCTTTTCATTTTATTTACTTTTGGAAAATCTTTGTGGTTACAAACCAACACCTCTGGGCATGGAGTTGTTTGTCTCTGGGGGGCATAACCTTGCAAAGGTCATGCATGGATAGGTTCATACGTTCCCCCTAACATGTGCCTACCATGTCCCTTTTTTTGGATAGTACTGGGGTTTGAACTCAGGGCCTCATGCTTGCTAGGCAGGCGCTCTTACCACTGGACCACTCTGCCGGCCCTGTCGTGGCTTTACTGGACTAATACCTTTCCCTTATGTACCTACCTCACTCCTGCTTAGCAGTGGGGGCCTTCCTAACCCTTCCATACATGGTGCTGCATGAAGTTTGGAATATGTGAGCATCATCACATCCACCACTTGTTTATGGCCTCCTGCACTGGGGAACAATGATAACCCCAAATTCACTGCTAGCATGTAGTGGGCAGTGGCTCACGAAGGGGAAGTGGAAAGGGAAAGAGAATGACTGGGGGGGGAGGACAATGCAAAACTACAGTGCGTCTCCACCAGCCCTTTTTTGTGATGGGTCTTTTCAAGATAGGGTCTCCTGAACTCTTTACCTGGGGCTGGCTTCAAACTGCAATCCTCCTGATCTCTGCCTCCTTAGTAGCTAGGATTACAGACGTGAGCACCAGCACCTAGCTACTTCCCAGTTTTGATTATATAATACTGTTTGTTTTTCATTGTGGTTAAAAAAGAGAAAAACAGCAATAACATGGGTTGGTTGAGTGGCTCAAGTGGCAGAGCACCTGCCTAGCAAGCATGAAGCCCTGAGTTCAAATCCCAGTACTGCCAAATGAATAAATAGCATAATATAACATTAATCTGAGCATGGTGACCATTTTTAAGAGTGCAGTTAAGCCATCTTAAGTGCATTTACGTTGCGGTGCCAAAGTCCTCAGGGATGCTTACATCCTATGCAGATGAAACAACCCCCAGCCTCCCCACCCACCTGTCTATTTTCTGTCTCTGTTAACTAGACTTCTCTTGTACCTCCCGTAAGAAGTATACAGTACTTGCCTTTCTATGGTTGACTTATATCACAAAGCATAATGTCCACAGGGACATTACAGCATTATGATATGCATAACTAATAGCATTAATTAATACTATTGTTTTCAAATTCATGTACCTATGCAACCATGAACTACTGTGGTTAGAATATCAGTACTTGCATCCAGCTGAGAATAACCAAGTCAGTTCCCAAGTTCACCATAGTTGTAAGAGGTGTTCAAATTGCTTTTGCTGACAAGCACTGACTCCTTACTTGGGCCCACAAATTAACTAAAAACAGGAAAAGCTTGGCCTCCATGTTGTATCTGTCTTTGCTCTAAGCCATTCTCTTTCAGTCACTTTGTGATCACCTGGGATTCCAGAAAGGGCAGAACTGATAACATCTTTTGACAAAGGACTGAAACTCCCCCTAAGGAACAGTGGAGACTTGCAGGACAGACACCCTTCCAAATGAGGACAATGACCGTAATAATGAGGCTGCACCCTGGATCAGGAGCAATCATTTCATGGATTGCTCTCCTCAAGTGATGACAGTGATGACATCTTCTCCAGAACCCTTCTGGGAACCCTTGGACTGAGATCATGGTCAACTAGAACACACCTGTGACTGGGACTATTTAGCTATGCACACCTTTGTCCCCTGCCCCTAGTTCTTTGTTTACTTAAACCTATAGCTCATGTACTTATAGCTATAGGTTCTATACACCTATAGCTTCTGTACCCCAAAGATGGCTGAAGATGAGCTGAGTGCTCACTCTGCCTCTTCCCACAGCGTACCCCAAGCCAAGTAGTAAACCTCTTTTCTCTGCCTTCACCAGGCCTCTTTATTTGGTGTACAGGGACAGGTGGCCAGACCTGGCATATGGAATCTCAAGAGTTTGGGCCTTGGATCCAAAATTCCAGTTCCATTGTAATGATGAGGACTCTTATCTGATACAGCCTCCTATGGTACCCAAAACTCCAGATTAATTTGTCATCCTATCTAGTCTAATTCTGCAAATCAGCCTCAAAGTACTATTCTTTTTTTTTTTTTCCATTGGGGTTGAGAAGTACATTTCTAACCCACTCCTGTCGTGGAATAGGCTTTCACTTGGCCATCAGTTTAGAGAAGCTGACAAGGCTGTGGTTTGTTGACCTACCTGTCAGTGCTGTTACCCCAATCTGGAGGAGCTCGTGTTTTTCTGTTAACAACACTCAACACCACTTTACTAGAAGTTTTCAAAATGTTCTGTAATAAAAATAAAAAGCAAAATAAGTGAGAGTTGCTCCTGAAAACCTGGAATACCTGGTGAAGTAATACCGTCCATTCACAAAGAGTCTGGGCCGCCAAGCTGCACTGAGTGTGAGAGAAACAGCAAAGAGGCCTGCTCTTGGAAGGACAGGAAGGGAGGGGCTGCAGTAGGAGGGTGAGTGATGTTTTGTGCCACTAAGGTGTGACACAAGGCTGGAGGAAGAGGGACACAGAGCTGTGCCGAGCGGTGAACAAACCCGCCTCCGAGGAGGAGTGTCCAGACGGCCAGTGGGACTGTGGACAATGAGAGGGCCCAAAAAGTGACCTCGGAATCAGTGGAGGCCAGGCGGGTCAGATTGAGGACCTGGACTTCCATTCTGAAAAAGATAAAGGGTCCCTGTCTCACCTGCACTGTAGAAGCATCAGTCTAGCCTCTGTAAAAAGAGTGACTGTGGGAGGCAAGGGTGAGGCAGGGGACCCATTTGAACAGGAGATGACAGTGGCATGCCCCAGTGTGGCCAGGGGGGTGGGGATGGATGAGCTTCTGGACCAGAAGGACTCCATGATGAGCCCATGGAGTTTGGTCTGAGCCAAGTCAGAGCTTAGGTTAATGGGGGGTTGGACTTGGACGAGGCAGGTGAAGGAGTCTGGGGGCTTTGAGCTATGAGATTTTATCAACTTGGCTTTGTGCCACACAGCCGTTCTTGAGACAAAACCTGGATTCCTGTATGACAGGGACAGCAGAGAGATGCCCGTAGTTATGGAGAAAGTCTCTGCCCAAATATGGCGCCCTCTGGGTTGGTTTTGTACTCTGCAGTCTAAGCTCATCCCTGTTTAACGCCAAGTCACTCTGTGAGGTAGCAGACAGCCATGAGTGACAGGGATGTGCAGAGGGAACCTAGATCCTTCAATCGTGAGGTTGAAGAGATTAAGAGAAAAACAATGCAATTGTTTCCAACTCTTAGCAACCTTTCAGATCAAAACAGTTCACCAAGGTCATGGGCTTGTTCACAGGACATTTTTGAGTCACCCTCCCAAAGGTGGGTCAATATCAGTTCCTAAAACAACAACAAAAAAAGCCCCTTTACTTATCAAAGACCCAGGCCTGTAAACCACACCCTAGGGGTCAGGTGAACCCAAGAATACTTGGTAAATTGTAAATCTGCCTCG